TACGAGGAGACAATTTTGAGTTATGGAAAAATAAGTTTCAGCCTTCTAAAAGTTGTCGGTCAATACAATGCGACAGCTTTAAATAAAAATCGAACTTATGCGTTTTATTTTGGACGGAAAACTTTATTGCTCACAATAAGTCCATTTTCTGGTTGATCATTTAAATTATCATCTGTGATATAAGTTTCATGGAAAAATCTGCTTCCATAATTGCACAAAAGGCCATCAAAGTTTCAACTTCGAACACAATTTTCTCGAAAATCATTGGTCAGAGAAATCTTTTAATAGCACTAACGGACATAGTTTTAATACCTATACAAATCGACAGAGTTTTAATTTGCAAGAAATTAACTTTCACCCGTTTCTGTCCATTTGTGTAAAGTTGTGTCAATTTGTGCACAAATGTTTCTTTTAAGCAACAAACTGGTTGATATTGTATTGTAAATGGCAATAAAGTAGACTATTTTTGGGTGTTTAATGAGGAGTTTAGTTAAAGATGATCTTTTTCTTGGAGGCTACAGTCGTTATATTCAAAATGCAATGTCGGTGACTCAAACTTATTGCTATTTATGCAGAATTTGACTGCAAATTAGTCTTTTTATGATTAAAAATTGTGTTAATTGTGTCCTTTTAATAACAAAACAATCTAATGTACAATAATATCGATCAGTACTTTGTATTACTTTAGGGCGACCGCTGCTGGGAATTTGCTATTGGATTATATTTAATTAAATTGAATCCCGACTCATTGCTATTGTCAGCTCTTCACGGAATCTTAGCATCATCTTTAACCATTATAATAGTGCCATATCTTGGTCGTTGGATATCAAAAGCACCGAGACTCAAAGAAGTTGCTGTCTTCTTGTTTGTCCAAAACTTTTGCGTCTTCATAAGTGCTACTTTTGTTGCGTTTTACTTCATTGGAGATGATATTCTTGGTCCATCGTTGAATCGGGTATGTTTTAATGATGCGATTGCATATAAATATTGCTTTTGAATCATCGTTTTCATACAATTATATGTTTAATTAACCAATTCAATTGCTCAGATTGCAGATAGATTCGCTCCATGTATTCTGGTAATTTTTTCAGCTCTTGCTCAAGTCTTTTCTTATGGCTACACTTTGTCCCTTGAAAAAGATTGGATTATTGTGATTTCTAAGAATGGTGGGAATTTATCAGGTAAATAATTTACTTCATTCAAACCAATTAAGACTTCGATTAATAACCATTTTTATGTCCTATTGTTTAGAGCTGAATGCTACTTTGAGGCGGATTGATTTAATAATGAAAACGATTGCTCCACTTATTGTTGGTTTTATAATGGAATGGTCAAGTTTGGCTTCTGCATTGTTTTTGATGTTTTTCAATGTAGTTTCTGGTTTACTCGAATATTTAATTATGGTCAAAATTTACAAATTAGTCCCTGAATTAGCAAAAGATAAAAGATTAACAACTGTGGGATCAGATCTAGCAATTGAAAACAGCACTAAAAATAAAGTCACTTTCATCGAATCAATTGTTAGCTATTTGAAATATTTTGGTTTGCCTGGTATTTCATTTGGTTTAATTTATCTTTCTGTATTGGGTTTTGATTCAATAACAGTTGGTTTCATCAAATCACAAGGAGTGACTGAGAGTGTAATTGGGATAATAAGTGTTCTTGGAGCTGTTACCGGAATCATTGGTACAATATTTTTTCAATCAATGGTTAAACACTCAAATCTGAATGCAATATCAACAATTGGTTATTTCATGGATCTAATACCCTTAACATTGTGTTTAATTATCGTTTTTGCTCCATCTCATCTCTTAGGAGTTAAATTATTCAAATATGACTTGTCAATTGTACTATTTCTAGCTGGAATAACTTTATCACGGATTGGTTTATGGTCAGCAGATTTGGCGACTAATCAATTGATTCAAACAACAACTCCAAATCCACCTTTGATTGGAGGTATACAAAATAGTGTTAATACATCAGCCGAGCTAATCAAATTCATTATAACCGCTATTCTGTCCAGTGTATCTCAATTTTACATATTAATTCTAGTTTCTTATGGTTCCATATTGATAGCTACTTTAATTTCTATATTTTACACAATCAATTGCCTCAAAAAATTGAAAACCAAATCTATTATTGTGGATAAAGATATGCCAAACATTAGCCGGACTGTCGCTGATACAGTTGTTTAAACTGGGCGAATTGAACAAAATAATAATACGATAATTTAATTTTGTACTTTTTCTTATGTACAAAATGGATGTAAATTTAATGATAAATTAAATAACATGATGAGTAATGCAAAAATGAGTGTTTATCTTAAGTTGATTCGTCCGATTAAAAGCAATTTGTAACAGATTCGCTAAATATTATTAATAGTAATTCATTAGTCATTCAATCCTTCTTTTTCGTTTCATCTCTTCTTGGTATCTCAACCTTGGGACCATTATCATCACCTTTCTTGGCTGTAAAGATGCAAAAAGATTATTATTATTAAAAATAGCAAATTAAATCACATCGATAACTAAGTATTGTGTATATTACCATTTGATATAATGTGACTCAATGCATCCCAAACACCTCCTAAGAAGATGGCACAGAAGAGATTTTCAAATGGAATAAAAGGATCATGGATTCCAAGTAGCATGGAAGATAATTTGAAATATACAAAGAAGATGACTACTCCAAAGTAGATGAGAGCATGAGGAACTGAGATCCAATCAGTTTTCTTGTCAATGATAAAAATAATCGAAGCAGCAATTGAAGCTTTGGTTGCACTGAAAATGGATTGGCAAAAAAAGAAACAGATTAATATATGAAGACAAAATTTAAAATTAGTTTGACGAAATACAAACTCACAAAGATGGTGTTAAAATTTCCATGGCATTAGGTGTCCAAACCCCTCTCATTAAACGTTCAATAATCTTGATAAACCCTGCACCATTACCTGTGAGAAAAGTAAAACAAAATTAGAGTTACACTTGCATATAGGGATAAAAAAGTATCCAGTAACGTACCTTTAACTGTCCCTACGATAACCATTATGATAAATCCGTTTGGATATACTTTTGAAGCATGAGAAACACCATCATAAATCTTTTTACATCGGATAACCTCCTTCATAGCGGATAAAATAACTTTACAGGGAATAAATTTGCATGCTTTATAAGCAAAATCAAAGGGCGAGTAAAATATAAGATACCAGACGACAGTGGATAAGATAATTTGATTCGGATTTTTAAAAGCACCTATGATGGGTTCACCAAGAAGAAAGTTGGCCAAAATAACACTGGCATAGATGTTGACCATTGAAGATAGCCAACATGAGAAAGGGTGTTTTCGCGAGAAAGGATGTGATCCTGAACCTAGATCTTCCCTTATGTAAAGACAGCTAATCACTGCATGGGCCATCTCAAAGTATGGGAACACTTTTATCTTAATCACGGCATTAGCAATATCAAGAAATTGCTCTGGATCCATCTTTAATTGGTGAACTTATACAACCTTCAATTACCAAAGTAAAAAAGTTGTTGACTAGGTTCTTTGTTTATGAACTATGATGAACAATGGTGATAGAGCAGCTCACCAAATTAAAACACAGTTATAGATGAAGCGATAGATAGTTGATGGAGTAAATGGTGGAAAGATATTCTCATTTGGCTTCTGGACTTGTACCAGTACAATGGGTTATGATGGTGATTGTGATGGAACCAAAGATATTTTGAAGCAACCAACATTTGGGTGCAAGGTAAGCGAACAAAGTGTCTTAAATTATCACAGTTGACTGTAAAAAAAAGAGAATGTACAATATGGAAGTAAAAGAAATACAAGCCTTCCAAAAATATTTAAACACTGTAAGAATTAAAATCTTAGTGATATTTTTAGACTAAATTAAATTAGGTCTCTCAGTTTAAAAGTAACAAAATTAATTTTAGACATTGAACCGACACCATTTGAGAGCCAAATTTTTCATTCGCAAAATAATCTCTTTTACCCTTCAACACATTAGATGGCATCACCAATTTGATTATAATCTTCCTAAATTATCAACCATCGAGTCGACTGTTGAAAGGATAACCAAGAAAACATGATATTTTCAATTATTATAAATATCTTATTATGAAAAGCAAGATAAATAAAGTGATTTCTGATTACTGACAAGGGAAGGATTCCAGGTCACTCAGACCGATTTCAATGATTCGCGTCTCATTTTATTTGTGCTAATAACTAACACTAAACTTCGACATATTTTGATTCGCAAATGAAGAGAAGGCTCGAAAACGCTATTTATTCCCACACAATGAGATACATTGTCTTACACACCATTGAGATAAGCAATGATATCTCATTGTATGAACCTTTCTGTTTTGTATCCTCATCATGCTGAAATGTAAAAAAATTATTTCTTTATACAGTTTTTCTGGGTTATCTTTGATTTGTAAATCTAAAGCTTTCGAGGGAATTAAACACTCATAGAACCAAATCGTTTTATCATGAAAATATTGATTTTTATCTGACTGGCCTGGGAAGCTTCCCTTTTGAGTAAAGATTTCTGCTCTTCTCCAATCTCAGACATTGGAGCATCGAATTGTGTAATTAATCAAGATTATGGATGAGTTTAAACAATACTTGTATTTAAAATTAACTATTTTCCCAATATTTAATAAGACATGATTGATCATTTTAAATTAATTAGGATAAACTCAAACCAATCCAAAGATGACAATGTTTACTTCTTTATTGGAATAAATCCGAAGGTTTTATAACAGGTTTCTTCATTTGTCTGCATCAAAAAAACACAAGTGTTCATTGTTTGCATGGCATCTACTGGGAACAATGAGTATCACTGAGTTGTGTGCAAGTAACTTAAAAAATCATTAATGTTGTTGACCTAATTAATGATTCCAGAACAAAAAAAGGAAGTGAATCCGCCGAAACCCGGGATTGAACCAGGGACCTTTAGATCTTCAGTCTAACGCTCTCCCAACTGAGCTATTTCGGCTTCTATGGAAACCTAGTATTATTGAGATTTTCATTCAATATGCTGGTAAATTAGTTCGTCTATTTTCCATATTTAATAGACATTTAAATTTTGTTTTCAGTCTCTCATTGAAAAAATGTAATTGTTGGTCTCGAATTTAGTTACTAGTCAATTGTTTAATGAGTCTGAATAACGTATCTGTTAGCTGATTTAGCTTATACAGAGGTAAATCTGTTTATATGCTGCATTATTGAAACAATTATTCACAACGATGACACTTTGGGAGTAAAATCCTTGAGACATTATTATAGAATCCAAAAGCTGTTTGATTGGTCATCCCTCTTAAAGTGGATGTAATTGGTACATTGTTGTTCATATATTCCTTTTTTTGTTGTAATTTTTTCTTCATTTGTTTGATTGTTTGGTTTTCAAGATTACGTTTGTTTAAATGAGTTCTAACAATACTGAAAAAAATGGGAGTAAAAATGGATCCAAAAAGAACGATAAATCGAAAGTTGAACAATCTAATAATGGTGGGTCATCGGTTTCAACTATGATTGGTAGTACAGCATCTAGTGGGGTTTCAGATGTTAATCAAAACTCTGGAATGTATGAGCAGCTTTGTGAGTTGATAGAAAGTGAGTTGAAATGTGCCATTTGTCAACAGTTGGTTAACAATGCAGTGAATATTAATTGCTCGCACACCTTTTGTTTCAATTGTTTGGCCCAATGGAGACGAGAGACAGGCCGATGTCCTATTTGCCGAGTGAATTATTCCAATCGAAGTCGAGTATTGATGGTTGATAATTTGATTCGCCGGTATTGCCAATTGGCCAATATTAAATTAGAAAAAGTATCACCAATTTCTAGTCCTGTCAGCTCGAGTGATTCAACAATAACCAACGATTCATTCAATTTTATCACATGGCCTGAAAATATTGTTTTACCAACTATCAGAGATGTTGGAGTCAATACATCACCTCGATCTCAAAACAGTGGAATCGTAGAGCCCAGTAGACAACTTCAAATGGAAATATTTCAGCCAAGAGAAAATCGACCGGAGAACAATTATTTTAGCTCAGGAGTGAATAGACAAACTCGTCGTAGAAGAAGAAATCGTCGACAGCGCAATCAAGCACGAGCCAATCGTCGTGGTAGGCGAAGAAGGGGTAACCAAGAATCAGGTAAATCAATTTGTATGGCCTCAGTACTTCTACAGTAGATATTAATCATGAATAATTTTAAATAGATGTACGTTCCGCTTCTGACCGAAGATCTGAAGTTAGAAGAAGAAGAGGTGATGTTAATAGATGATTCTGATCAGTGTAATCATGTACAGCACCACACGAAATAATAACTGATCGTAATATTAAAACCCAATTACATTCTCCACTTGGATTTAAACAAAGAGATTGGAAATGTCTATTCTCAACATTTTTTTAATTTTACTCGCCAAACTTCAAATCGATGGTTTATGTCAGAATTTGTGTGTAGCTTCATTTTGGATAAAGCAAAATCGTCCGGACATCCTTTTTGTAATGGCATATCCAATGTATTTATAGATTGATCCAAAAAGAAAATTCTTCTGATTCTTGAATGGAGAAGGCCCATGGAACACATTATACAAGGTTCTTTGGTTAAATAAACGTCATGTCCAGTACATAAATAAGAATCAGGATCATACTCTGTACTTAACAGTGATGAATTTTCATCAAGTTTTCCTTGATTATACCAAACTCCACCACCTTGAGTTGAAGCCATTAAATCAATCAAATTCATTGAACAATGTCGTAAGGGATGATCATTAATTTTATCACCAGAAATAACCAAAACTTGAAAATTTGATGTTACGATTGCACCATAAGTTCGGTCAACATTTTCCTTTGTCCTATTTACTAAATCTTTCATTATTTGATAAATGAAAAGTCGATCAGTTGAGTCAAGACAAGTTCCATCGAGTCTATGAGTTATCCTAGAATATGTAAAAGAAGTTTAGTTTTATCGTGTCGGAAGTACATTGCGTTTTTCTTACTCTTTATTTTCAAAAAAATTTGTTGGCCAAAGGCGTGATGATTTCTCGAACTGCCAACGATTTAGAGGTGCATTACTTGGAACAGCGGCAATTTTCACACTGGAGTACTCTAATACATCAGATAATTTCACTTTGATTTGGTCTATATCAACTCCATCCACTTTACAAATGATTATTTCAATTTTATCGGCTTCTTTGTCAATTTTAACTCTCTTCAAGTGGATCAAATCTTTGGAAATAGGAAATAACTTCGCCAAACTTCTAATGGCAGGTGATATAGCTTTCTTATCTTTCAGAGTCGCCACCAAAACGTTGACTGTAATGAGAAATAAATAAAGTTTAGAAAAATTTGAATTTCTCAAAAAAATTTTGTGTGGATCACCTTCATATATATCTTTAGTTTCATATTGATCAGCAAGAATAATCTCTACTGATACTAAACTATCAATATCATCAATCGAACCTTCTGACCCCATCCAAAATTAATGAAAAAACTATAGAAAAAAACAATTTAGAAAATATTCTTCAAGTCTAATTTGGAATTCAGAAGTGATTTTCAGTCGCCAATTAATTAACAAAACTTGTTTTATCTCTCTACATTAATACTTTACATCATAGCTGAAAAAGTAAACAATGTAAAAAACAACGAAAAACTAATAGCGTAGGAAATAGACAACCACAATTGCCCTTTTAAGAGTTAAAACAAATAAAGTCTCCTCTTGTTGAAGAGAAAATTGCAACAATTGCTAACAAATTGCACTCTTAGTATGGGAAAATTGAACACTTAGTTTTAATCAAAAGCACAATTCACCATTCACAGTTAACTTTGTTTAATTTAACACATCATTTGAAGGGGGAAAACACTTTATATGAGCTTACAACAATTTCTAGTAGACTTTTTTGATCTAAGGGGTTACTAATGATGACTTTGTTACTTCGAAGCGTAATTTTAATAAAGGTGAAAGGTAATTTATTGGCACATTAACCAGAACCAGGTAATTTTGACAAATAAAAACATTGCAACTGCATTTTTCCGACAAATTTTGTCGGCAAGTAAAGAACCCATTTTCAACAATAGATGGCAGTAACCAGTAAAAAGTAACCAGAGAATCTCTAGATTACTTTACCCGGATCCGGATCTCGTATTACATAAATAACAAAAACATCTGAAATTTATTTTTTTATTGAAAAATAGTTTCTTCAAGTGTATATGCCAAAGCTCAATTTGATAGGGTTGAATTTCATCATCTCATTTCTTTTAATTGAACTGAATTTATTGACTTCCTCTGAAGTCCTTTTTATTGTGTAATATTAACATCTAACTTACTGTAAATACTGTTATGTCATCTCCACCAGAGACTCAAGATACAGAGTCATCCCAAAATCAACCCTATGAATCTACGAGTCATCCAATGAGAGAAGAGGATAATGACGATCCTCAAGTCGAGTTTTGTAATCTAGCTAGACGAAACCTTCAACGACCCAGTGACCATTATAATCCACCGCCAAGACGAACTCATATTGCCAGTAGGATTCTTCGTGAACCTTGGACAACAGCATTGACTCAATTCTCTAAAGTTACCAATCTTGTTCTTAATCCATACGAAGAATACGAAGGACCTACAATGGCCGATATACGGAACACTTTAAGAGACCCTTTGGGCTATGTCAGACAAAGGGAGGAAGGTGCTACCTATGGGCATCATCAAATGTCCAATCCGGCACCCATGAACCACCCACCTCCAGCATTACCACCTATTGATTGTTCTATTCCTCAGCAACGAGTTCCACCTTTAACTGCGGAGGAATATAATCAAAAATATGCAAACGCACCTCGAAGAGTACTTCTTGAGCGTATCTTTCAAGGGGTAAGTTTCTGTTAGAGCTCACCTTGAGTTAATCATTCAGTTGATCTAACCACCCCTTTTGATCCTTTTCTCACGTCTATCTCATAAATTAATTGAATTAATCTTCTTTTTTCATATTAAAATTTCAGGGTATTCAAAGTAACAAACTGAGGCGTATATTATGGCCAACCATTCTTTGCATTACCGAAAAATATAGTCTTGATTGGAAAGATTTAAACTTAGTCTACACTTACTATTCCAACCAATGGAAAACAATTTTACCAGATCAAGAAGCAAGATTTACTGCCTACAGGGAACGAAAATCATTAATTGGTGAGTTAAATGAAGATTATTAATGTTACTTATTGATTGTTACACAAAGGCTATTTATTGATATTTTTAGATGGACTAATATATTAATACAGAAAAACATTGGCCTACAACAAATAACATGCAAACAATCATAATCTTCAGCTAACAGCATGTTAACACAAAAGCATAAATTGGGGTTATCAGTCATTTGATTTGCATCATTACCATTATTCTGATCAGACCTAGATCATATGTGTCTTTATTACTGAACAATGCTTACCCCCTACTATTGCTGTTCAATTGTTACCAATTTTACGTAATACTAATAGTTGATTATTTAAGACCATTGAACACCATTATTCGAGCCTTAGCCGTTGATCTTAGCCTTTTTTCTTGTTCATCTTTATTGTTGTTATTGGTTTAATATTTCCAACTGAGTTTCATTGTTTGAATTGTTAAAATATATTTTCAATCTTCTTTTTTTAATCAATCTTCAATTACAGACAGAGATGTTGTTCGCTGTGATCGAACCCACTCCTTTTATTCTGAGTCCAACCCTGGAAACGTTGAGAAGCTTCGTCAACTTCTTATGACTTATATTATGTATGATTTTGATACTGGTTATGTTCAAGGTATGTCACCATCTAAATATAAATTTCAATTGTTCCTTCTGATAATGAAAAACAACCACCAAGCTTGATTAATAACAGTTTAATTTAAATTTATGACTCATTAAATATGGTTTCTTTTATCCTTCATCCGTTAACTATCAGTGATTGATTGTAATTTTCAATTGTTTCAATCCATTTCTCAACCAATTGGGAAACAATTAAAAAAACTCAAATCAACTTTGTCTTACATTTTTTACATCATATTACAAAATCTTTTTGTCAATATCAACAAAATCAGATTGCCTTTAAAATAACTGGCCCAAAATAAATTGACATTAATTACAATTAAACAACTAAACCATATTTAATGACAGTCTGATAATTAATGACATTTTTTTGCCAACTTATGATACAACTGACAAGTTATTAATTTTTTTTCTCTTATTGTGGGGACAATTTTTTCATTTATACCGTAAATGATTTGAAGTTGATTATCCAGTAGTTTTTCAAATTGTACTCTCTAAATTTACTAATCAATTCTCAATTAATCTCTAACAGGTATGACCGATTTAGCTGCTCCTTTGCTTTATGTTTGGGATGGTGATATACCCAAAGCATTTTGGTGTTTCGTTCAAGTGATGAAACTTTGTGTAAGTTGATTGTTTGATGAAAATCATATTACATCATGATAAATCTAATTTTTGTCTTTTAATTTACAGAAACGAAACTTTGAGATGTCCCAATTAGCAATTAAGAACCAGTTGAAAGCACTAATTAAATTGGTTCAGATCACTGATCCCGTTTTTGCACAACATCTATGTAACTATCCAATTTTCAATTATCTACGTTTTTCACAAGATGCTGCTGTATTTGATTGATTACCAAACGTTTTCTTTCTATTTAAACAGGTAGCAATGAATCTGCAAATTGTTATTTCGCCTTCCGTTGGATTATTTGTCTTTTTAAAAGGGAATTTATGAAACGTAAAACTGATGATTACCATGATTGTCTTATTGTCTGGGAAACAATTTGGTCCATACACAGTTTAGCCTCTTTAGATGATGAAGATAAGCAAGATATGTTTCTTGACCAGAGTCTTTCACCATTACTTAATCAAATAGGTGCTATAAAGCGTCAATATTGGTCTCATGAAGCCGATAACTCAGATAACTCATCCAATGGTATTATTGAATTACCCGATGCATCGACTCCATCTGAATGCGGATTTCCGATAATAATACCACCGCCAATTGATCATACCTTTTCCTTTGTGCCTAAAAGTGGGCCACAACGTATTTGTGAACTTAAAACAGTCGATGAAGATGTTAATGAAGCTAATTGCCCCGAAAATTCACCCAAATCACCTGTAAAAACGCTACCTAATGCGATACCCATTAAAACAACTCGACTCAAACTAAAAACTCCACCAAAACCACGACCTGTCTGTGCAAGTTCACCTAGATCACCTTCAAGACCATCTTTAATGTCAACCGTATTGTCACCACCAGTCCGAGAAATGTATTCACATCCCATGCCAGACAATGAATTTTTATTTAACTCAATAAGTTCTAGAAGTTCAAGTGATGAAGTCAAAAAGTCACCCGTTCCTGTTGGTAAAGAAGCAACTGAAAACAGACCTTTAGACTCTTCAGATGAGCTTAAAGCATATGAATTTGATCATTTAGCTGATGGATCCAACTCATCAGTAAATAAATCAGGAAAATTAGAAACATTGGAAAATATTGAACTCTTCTGCCTTTGCATTTCTTTGGCCATCATCAGAAGGGAAAGAGACATTATTTTATCTCGTAAATACGATTCATGTGCTATCCTCAAGGTAAGATACTTAGCATGAAATATTTAATTTGCCTTTGATAAGATGATAAACATTCCTCAGAATTACCAAATCTATTTCCAATCTCCTAACAAGTAATCCTAACTCATATTTAATTTAGCTTTTGATATTCACTTTCCTAAAATATTTCATTTCTAACATTTTGTAGTGTCAAATGAACCTTGATACCTTTCATACCTTTAAACATGTTATTTAATATCACCTCAACTAATTCAAATTTTTTCTCCTTATTTCCTGTTTTCATTACCACCATTGCTTACACGTCTTCACTCAACTACATTGGACCATTTCTATTTACATTAACTGTTTGTTTGGGGGTTATTTGATGGTATTACCGTTATTATTGACTGATTGTTGGTTTTGGTTGGCTGAAAAATTGACAAACAACATTCCTACTTTCAAAACTAAATGTTAATCATTGCAGCACTTCAACACACTTCATTTGAACGATTGTCTTAACAATATTTTACTTCATTCAATGACTATCTGGCATTGGTTAAAACACGATGGAGGAGAAAAGTCACTTTACAATGATGATGAGTTTAAACCAAGCAATACAAGTGTAGACGATTTTGATTTACTCAATGACGATGATGAAGTTGACTGTCAAAATTTTGCTGCATTAGCTGTATAGAAAGTGTTACATTCAATTCATTTCAACATAAATATCATCTTTATCATCAAACTTCACTGAATCCAATTATAAAGAAAAGGATAAACATTTTAACCAGTGATTTTAAAAATTCTGAATCCAAGAACCTGACCCTTCCATCACCATTGGTCTTAAAATATTTCAAAAGATCACAATTTAATCTACCAACTTTCATCAATCTCATTCTTTATGATTTAAATCTTTACTATGTTATCAATCCGATAGATATTCCCATTCAATTTACATATTGTCGATGAATATTTTTTTCACCCAATATTCATCCCTTAATAAGTAATTTGTATTAATTTCATCTCAAATTTGTATCATTTGAAACAATAATAATAAACATTAGATATTTTCTCAATCCATAATCAATGAATTGTTAAAATCTTATTGGTTTCACCTTAAACTGTATAATACAATAGCAATCATTTCTCTATCAAAGTTGAGTTTAATCACTAATCTTGATCATTCACCGATCATGCTGCAACTACTCATTTGATTGATTAGCAAACATTGCTAATCAACCTTTAATCACAAACCTTTGATTTAAATCTTCTAAACGATTGAAACCTGAATCGGTTGAACAATGAGCAGAAATGGCGAGTTATCATCTGATTAAAATGACAAAGTAAATTCCATGATTATGGGTTGAAATAATTTCACTTGACCGCAATTAACTAATTGTAATTTCCTCTCTTATCATCATTTCTTATCCTCTCCAACAATTAAAAAGCATCCATCTTTTGTTCATTTTTGCCTTCAATTCTTCTAGCTTGAACCTTTTAATTGTTGTTTTAAAGGTTAATGTTTCAACAAACTTAATGGCCAACAGTTTAAAACTGTTAAAAATTTGACTGTCATTTATCATCATTTTCCTTGTTTTCAAAACATTTAACCATCAGCAATACCAATCAACCTTTTGTCTAACCATTTAAACCAAATTATCAAAACACTTATTGTTTAACTTAATTTTGTTTTTCCTTTCCTTTCTTAGGCCTAAGATATTAAAACGTTTACACAAAAGCCTCTCACAATTGAGCTTAACCTCAAGACAATTAAACATCTTATCATTATGCTAGAATCATCACTTAATCAGATCAATGAATAATGTTGCACAAGGTTTGCATTAAATTTAATGCTTTTCACACTCACCAACTTCAATAGCCATGATGAATGCAAACTGTACTAGACTTTCAATGAGTTCAGATTCCAGCTAAACATATTTACTCGTCATGTTCACAAGAACCGGCAGAAACCTCCTTCTTCCTATTATACCACTCTTTGGTTACCGGAAACATGGCCTTTGTATGAAATTTGAAATGAATATTTTCCATGCTTGAGTTTAGCTAAATTTTTAGCTTATTAAAGCTCACAAAGCATTTGCTACTTGATCAGCTTAATAATTTCAGCTTTTAGCTCGCACAATCAGTTGACATCATTTAGCCATTTGCATTATTTGACAACAAATGGCTAAAACCTAAAAATGTTAAAGTCATTTTTTGATTCGATCTGTAGCATTTAATTTCACTGTCAAACCAGATTGTAAGATGGCTTAACAGATTCACACTTTAAACCTTTCAACCATTAGCAATTCCCCTTAACGATCAAAACTAGATTTGATCAATTTCACCATTTCAACAATAACCTAATGTCAGCAACTCAAGATGAGCAAAAGGTTTAATGTTTGTAAAAACTGAAAATGAGACATTAATATGAATCAAACCAACTATCATTAAGGTCGATACACTGTTAATACATTGTCATTTCTTGAATAAAACAAAATAAGCCAAAGATTTTCAATAACCTTGTCTCAGTCTGGTCACAGGTTAAGCTTTCAGCTTACAAGCTTGTTAGTTCAACAGAGCAACAATCATTGTAGTCAATAAACATTTTCATGTCTACAAGATAATATAACACTGAATAACCCAATGAATCTCACAATCAGCTCGTCAATCAAGACTACCGGTTAATATATTTCAATTTTAAGTGTCTGTTGGTATCAAATGAACATTAGTACTTAAAGGCAACACTGTGATTGATTTGTGCCTTTTAGGTTTGAAGAGATGAAAAAATTGCTCAAATTTTCATTAATTGCGCTCTAAGCTCATCTCAATCTGAAGAGCAATGACTTTTGTTGATGAAAAAGACTAATTATCTGAGATTTAATTTCCACCACTAACATAATTCATCTTAACTTGCCATCTAATTAACATGAAATTTTAATAATCTGATCAAATTATATCAAATTGCATCAATTTCATTTCTTTGTTACATTATCTTTTCCCAATTACATTAGTCCTTATTTGATGTATAAATTAACTAATCACTTTAAATTCAATTTGAATACAAAATTAACGCATGTTAATTGCAAGCCGTTTAATTATTAAATTAAACATTCATCTATGAACGCTTTTCCCTCTAATCAACTTAAATTATCAAACAAACAGCAACAAACCATTGATCAATCAAAGTGTCAATCCTTTTCATACATTCATTAAGCTCAGCTAATTTAAATCAATTTTAACCAATCAATTAAAAAAATCCCTTTAATCCAATGAACAACCCAAAAGCATGAACCCAAATTTACATTTAATTCAACTCATTTAAATCAGATTCATTAATAACAACCAATCTATTGTAATATAATATTGTAAAACAAAATCTTTTAATTGCTTTAATCATTAAAAGAAAACAATTTACAAATTCTTATTTAGATTGAAAAATGAATTTAAGGTAACATCAAATCTACAAGCAAAGCTAATCTAGATTGGGTTTAATTGTTGATTCAGTTGAGTTTAATAAACTTTCATCCTTTAATGATATTTTTGTAAATCAATTAATTTTCATTTCTCATGTTGAAACATTTTCCCATGATTATTGTTCAAGATTCACAATTTATGCTCTATTTCATGGAAACTTCACAATCACCAGATTTTGATACAATTTTTATAATAAAATCTCTCTCTTTTTTTTCATCAATTTTTCAATTTAATGTCTGTCAATGATTGTCATAACAATTGATAGTTCAGTTGATTATTAGCAAATGATTTGTAATTGAAACAAATATTTTCTTAATAAACTAGTTTAATAGTGAAATAAAAAACGGTTAAACATTGTTTTAGGTTTTGTTAAGTTAATCGTTTCCTTCATTCAGTAAATCAAGATGAATTTGATTATTTTTTCTGTTGCCTATCACTTTATTGAAAACGTTTTTTGATCAATTTGATATTGTTTAATAAGTGTGTTTATCATTAAACTTGCTGTATTGTTTCCCATGTTTAAATGAGCTTTGTACTGATTCCTTTATGAGGTTAGATGAATACAAGAAACGATAAACTCAAGACAATCAAGGGCATAACTAAACTGATTAGTATGGCTTTTGTTGCAGTTAACACTTAATTTGAGTTCACCTTAAATCAGATTAGCTGTTACAATTTATTAACTCAGTTAATCAGTTAACAGGATAATTGTGAGTGAAAAACAAGGTAAACAATATTTTCACCAAAATATGTGTAACTTACAAACAGTTTTGGGTTTACCTTATTGAATAGGTTAAGTCAAGTTCTGATAAAAATCATTGGTTTATTTTGCCTCATTGAAACAAAAGGCAAATTGTTTACAGGTAAACAAACTGTTAATTGGTTTGAGTTGATAAGTTTGATGATTAACATTGATTTTAAATATTTTCAACTTTGACTGATGCTTAATTGACTGATACACTGAACTGGAATGGCTGTGAATCAAGTATCCTTGGATTATTGAAATAAACAAAACTGAAAAGATTTAGTGTATCAATTACTGGGTGGATAATTTGTTGATTGTAAGTTGATTTAACTGTAAAAATATCCAATTGCTCTGATGAACCAGATTTTAGTTGCTTTTTGTAGGTTCACCAGTACCAATGGTATTGTATGACAGTTGCACTTTGAGTAACAATTTTCACTGGCAAACTCACTTTGATTCAGTCTCTGTGTTTAACAAAACGGATTTATATTGTAGCAGGAAATTAATTGTGGTTACATTGATGATAACTCTAGTGATTGAAGTCGATATTAGGCAAAGTAAATTCATTTTTTTGAATTATTGTAAAGTAGAAATGGAAAGATTGAAAATGTTCATTGCTGAGTAAAGTTATTTGATCACAACAAACATTTGAATTAGGTTCACTATTAGGGTCTCAACTTATGCTGATGGAGTTAACGATACACTTGACAATTGATTTATAAAAATGCTAATTTTTATTCATTTTCATGCAGAATTAATTTGGTTACATTGATTTTGTGGAAACATAATGTTGAGTTTTTAAAAATTGAATTCAATCCTTCAATTTACTGGTTTGTTTTCATTGATTGAAGTTAATCTGATTGAGGAGATTCTGGTCGTTTCTTTTCAACCTTTTCAGGCTTTTCAGCATTTTCTGGCTTTTCTGGCTCGGGTAAACCTTTGGATGCATCAATGATTCGGTTTCGAAGAGCATTGATTCCTTGTCGAAGCATTTCAATTGTAACCTTATTGGTATCACCATCTTCAGATAATCGCTCCTCAATGTAGTTGATCATTGATTGTAAAACACCTTCCGAAGCACTGTAAACCCAATCGGGAAGTTTACCATTGGTTCGAGTGGTTAACTTCTTGAAGAAGGTTCCCAATGAAGACTTGACATTGGTCCACATGCCACCGGCCTTTTCACGCATTTGTTTAACCCGATCGGCAGCTCCATAAATAAGAGTCTCTTCACCATATAATTGATCAATCTCGTCAACCTGAGTCAGCAAATCGTCAAGATGATTAACCAAATCGGTAATGTCAGCATCATCAAAAGCTAAGCCTTCAACATTTGAGGTTGAGGTTGAAACGTTTACTTCTTGGGCAGACATTTTCAATTTTGGATGAAGCTGAAATTTAATAAACTCACAAAATTAAAATCACAATTTTAAACAAGCTTTGAATTGCTTTGTAATTGCTTTGTAATCACAATGATTTGAATGATCGATCATCATGTTTATATACCAAATGATGGTCCATAGAAGAAGCAAAATGAGTACGAAAAATGATTCAAAAGAGGATTCCTGGTAATTAAAATAACCTTTTAGGGTTACAAGGAAACGATTGAATTGACAATTCCAGTGAAAACATTTACAAGCTCGTCATTTGAAAACCAAAGGTGAACCCAAATTCAAGTGAAACCAGATTTAACCCGAAAATAGTTCATTTCCAGCCGAAAATTGAGTTCAAATTGATACTTTGACATCAACAATTCACATCGCAGTCTTTAAAAGCAATTAAAAATTGTTAAACAACTCAACTCAATTTACTTGATTAACCAAATTCAATTTTACTAATCCTTTGAGTTTGGTCAGAAAAGCTGAAACAACCATTTTTAATAGCTTGACTTTTTGGTGACAAATAACAGTCTATCTGATGATTAATCACTGTCAACTGGTTAATAAATCAAGGTTAACAATTTATGAAGGTTAACATGAACTGTTAATCCTTTGAGTTGACAAATTTTCACCAAAAGACTTGAAATTGAAGACACAATTTTACTACAATTGGTTAACCTTGATGAATGATTTGAAGCTCTTTAGATGTCTAAAGGGTTACCTTATTCACAGCCTATTTAAATGATCACTGACCTGGGTCATTGTGATCAAGTCATGGTCAGTTAAGGTCACCATTAGAGTTGAAATAATGGATTACATTTAATTTCGTCAAAGGTAATTGTAGCGACAAGTTTCAAAGTAAAACAAAATGGTTTGTAAATTAATGGAAAATTAATAAATTAACTCTCCTTATAACCCAACCAACTCATCACAATTTAATCAAGATTAAAAATTGTCCATCTTTAACCTAATCACGACCCTTTTAACCAATTCCCAGAAATCAGGTTAACAATTAACTCGATTCAAATGAGTAGCTTTTGTCAGCAAGAACCAGAAAAAAACCAGAGTCTGTATTTATGGACATTGAAATGATCAATTTTAATCAACTTGAAAACTAATTCCAATAATTTCGTCGATTGCCACTTTAATTATCACTTTAGTGTCAAGTAATTGGTTTCATGTTTTTCAATTGCATTGATTTATTGCTTAAAGGTTAAACAATTTGTCGTCAACTTTTCCATTCAATACATTTAACCAGTTTTCTGCCATTTTATTTTCTCTTTTCTGGTAATATAATTAGTTGATTATGTTAATTGTAATAATCATGATGGTGGTGCTGATAAAGATGAAGATCATCACATAAAACCTTATATGGATTAACCTTGAAAGGTAAGGTTATAAAGATGTTTTGATGTTAACCAAAATTGGTATAACATTGGGATTGAAATCAACTTGCAGTTCTTAACCTTGTAGATGAGCTGGAAAACTCAAAAACAGTACAAAATTATTCAATAAATTATCATGTTTTGGGATTCGATAAAGTCAATGTTTAGTTATCTATTCATTCAGATGAATTGTTAGATGAAATTACTGAGGAAGGATTTTTAGATTAAGATTCACCATCAAACAGCTTTAACCAGTTTTGTCATTCTGTTGACCAAAATGAAATTGTTTACCATTTGCAAGCATCGGAAGCTAAGGATAGCATCTTTGTTTGATGCTGGAAATATATTTTTTCAGCTGTTTTATTACAATTTAACATTCCAATTGTTGTCGGTGTCTGATGAGGAAACAAATGCTGGCTGGTGATTGATAAAGAGAGCGAAGAGAAATGATGAGAAAATGATTAAAAATTTATCAACAAAATGAGCTTAGACGGTTAAAAAAACATCTTCAACCTGTTCTCATCATTTAGCCCGTGATTTTTACTTGATACTGTCCCAAATCACACTGTAAATAATAAAACACTTTTACCAATTAATTGTTGATTACATTGTCTAGTGAGACAGTAAATGTTAAATGTAAGATGAAAACAATCAAATTCAACCTTTTCTGTCTCACATCTTGAAACCGTTCATATGGTCAAACAGCAACTAACCAGATCAATGATTTGGAACTGACAAAAAAAAGTCAAATAACCGAGTAAATAGTCGGCTAATTAAGGTTATCAATATTTCACTCAATGATTAAAGATAACGTCTAGCGATTGTGAAAGTTGGAGGGAAAAAAATTAAGGCAAGATTTTGCGAGTCAACATAAAAAGTGTATTCACTTTTATTTTGCTGATGAGTTGTGAACATTTGATTTATGCTTGATTCAATCACCATAATCAGACTACATAAATGATCAACTAACAAACAAAAGATAACAAGAGCTGGGTCATCATCATTATCATTATCTTCATCATCATGTTATATGAAAAACAAAGCTGAAGCGAGTTCAGTGCATTACTATTCATATTGGACTTTTACATGTTGACCAGTTTTTCCCAAGTTAACACAACTTCATGAAGAGTAGATGAATTTACATGACCAAAAGATAATCAAGATTAAGATGATAATGATGATTATGAAGGAACAGCTACATATATAATGGGCAAGGGGGAAGAACCAACCCAATCTCATTCTTGTGTATTGATTAATACAAAAGTGCCTAATTTCATTCAAAGATCATCTCTCTACTTTTACCCGTTGACCGAATTATTTTTTTACTAAATTATTTCATTGTCTATTTTTACTATGATTATCATTTTTTATGAGATGATCCTTCATACTCATTATCATCATTTGTTGGTCAGATTATACTGGAAACCTCATTGTGGTAACAAGATGAGAGGAGGAAAGAGAAGCAATAAAACAAAGAAGAAAAAGAAACATCTTGAGAAATATTTCTTTAACCTCTTCCTTCCTCTCATCATTGTAGCACAATTTTACGCCCTTTATCATCATCTTCATTATCAATGAGATGACCGATTGGAGAAGCTGTTGTGTGAAGATGGATGAAAAAATAGCCATCATTGATTCCAATATGAAAAAAAGCTGAATCTCTCACTCTTCAGTGTTTTTCTTGTTGATATCATTTCTGTAACGTCTCATCAGGAAATAAGATGAAACTGTGTCTTTCTCAAGGTCATCATCATCTGTTTCATTTCATCGTTGCCATCAGCTGAATCCTATCATTTTCAATCATCTGTATTGTGAAAATAATTCAACAGAAGCATTGGAAAGGAACAATGCGAATATGAAGAGTCCCTAAAAGAAGAGAAGAAAAAAAATAAGGTCAAATTATTGAACCCTTTTCTTGATAACTTTGCATTGCTATTATTTGAGACGATGATGATGATTATTACGATTATAAATTAATGTGAATTATAAAGAATGGTAAAGTTAAATGATGATTTGGTATAAGAATGCAAAATCAACGGAAACTTCATCCAATTTCACCATTTTTCAAATGATCAAGTAAAGTTAGGCAAAGGAAGTTGATATTATTTTATATTTACTTCCTTTTTATCTTGATTTTTTGTTGCTGCAATTGCCTCTCTCATCCTCACCATCAGCATCACCATCCTTATCATCATTTTGCTCCTCATCTCCACCTCCACTATTCACCATTATAATGATAAATTTCATATCTCGAAAAGGTTGGTCAAAGGCAAAAATTAGAATGATTATGATGTTGATTAGGTGAATTCATAAATTCGGAATCACCATCTATCAGGAATAATCTTAATGAATCACATCCGTTCCGAGGCGAGGTTATCATTATCATCACCATTATCATCATTATTGTTGTTGGTTTTTTTTATTGTTGAAGAATTTAATTAACTCCTCAGTTTTCACCATCTAAACAGAATCAACAGTGCCATTCTAATTAAAACCACGTTTATGAAAAACAACAATTGATTTACCCCTTCAATTGAGTTGGGTTTCGATGGGAAAATCGGGTCCATTTGATTGATGATTTATAATACAATCAATTGAGGCAGGTATTGAATTAAATGATCAACTCTGGATTATCTAAAGACATGAAGAAAAGCAAAGGAAAAACAAAGGATTAGTTAAACTCTTGGTAAAACAATGTGGAAGGAATTAAATACAATTTAGTTTACTTGTGATATTTTGCATTCATCATTTGATTATTGCACAAAATGGAATCCGATTTACAGCATTAATACAAGCAAAAGCGTCCAAATTGTGATTCCAAGTTCAGGTGATAAAAAAACATGTCTTATTGTAATCCTGTTAAAGAAATGAAAGTAAATTAAATTGTGTACAAATTAAGCTGATTAGATGAAAAGATTATAAAATGGGCAATAAATCATCATTAATATGATTTTAAAGGTTTAACTTGAGATGGTTAAATTGTCAGATTTGCCCATCAAACCAGACAGTCTTGCAGACCATATTCAAGAAAAAATGATTAAATGTTGACACCAATATAATAGCAAAGTTATCAATTGGTTTCAACATTTGATTATTCATATATTTCAAATAAACCTTTTAATTATGGAGCCAGATTGTTAAGGTGAATGGAAAAAATTGATTGCTACAAAAGCTCTCTTCAATATGATTAATTGTAAGATGGAAAATGATTTCCGTTGTTAAACAATAGCTAATATCATTCCAAGTGTAGTGTGTTGGTTTAATTTATATTGTTAGGTGAAAAAAAGTAAGGGTTTGAAACTATCTTCAATTGAAATAAAAGAGGTAATTTGAAGAGAGCGAGAGAAAGACATTACAAGAAATGAAGACTTAGAAGGAAAAGGTTAATATGGCTGGTTGAAATGTTGACCCTAAGAATTAAAGATAATGGTAAATTAGATTGAAATTGGGTGTTTCTAAAATGATTTAGACCGAAGATGATGAGACAAAAGGGAAGATGGATGAAATTGAAGATTGTAAGATGTTAAGATGATGGAGAAAAGGTAAAAGGTAAACTGTTGTAGTTAACTTGAAGATAACCAGGAAACTCGTTATTTTTTACCACAGTTAACTTTACCTTCTCTCTTCTAAGGAAGTTATTAAAAGGATGAAAATGGTGGTGTTGAAGGCGATAAAGATGATGAACATCTATCAAAAATATTCATCAATATTTATTTGTGGATGGAGGTCAGTCTTTGAAAAGCCAAAATATCATTCTTGATTAAGTCCTCAGATTTCCTTGATCAATTGTTGATCCAATAGTGAAGCTAAAACAAGAAGTACAAGAAAAATGAAAGGATTAGTAACAAGTATGGACAATCAATTTCATTGCAATTTACTTACTGATTTGAAATATTTTTTCCGAGTTGTCACATCAGGTAAACTTGAATAGTCTCACAATTTTGCCACTTGAAACCGAGTCCGTTTTTATCTACAAAATGAGCAAAGTATGTTAATTAGGATTGTATAATTATCATGCAAGGGAAAAAAGGAAGTTTAATGTAACACAGGATAAAGTTAATTTCCAGTTACTTACTTAGTATTCATTATCAATGGTTTTTGATATTAAAATTAGCAATTTTTCTTTCCTTTTCATACAAGGTTAGGGGTTAAATTTTCAGGATGATTCTTAAGGTGTTCAAGTAATTTGAGTAAATTAAAAAGTAACCATGTCTAACTGTTAAACCTGTATTTTCAATTTAAGAAGAGATGAGAATATTAAACAGCGTTACAAGTGAGATTAATAAACTAGAGAGGAGGAAAAATGTTGATCATGTTGATGATGGTGTAGATGATGAAGATAACTGAACTATCAAAGGAAGAGGAAGAGAATTAAAGGTAAATTAAGAAAAAAAATAAGAGAATATAATGTTCAAAAAATGAGATTAAATTAGAGAAAAGGTTAGAAAAACATTTGAGAAGGAAAAGGTAAGATATTCATTGAAAATAGTTCTGGATAAGGTGAAAAAAGATTTAGGTACAGAAAGTAATGCACTAGATTAGTATTCAGAGTTGACATCAAGATAATTACAACAGAATGTTAGTTGATAGGAAACTTGTGATAAATCATGTATCAATAGTAGACAATGTTTCGATCTTGTTGGTAGCATTAAGGTTTGAGTGTATTACCTTAAAGGAAAGGTAAAATATAAATTAAGGATAAGTATAACAAAAAGTAGCAATCACAATAGTCATAAATGACGATGATGATTATAATAAAACATAACAGAGAGAAATTATTGTGATTGTCATCACTTTTTGTTTGATCTTTTAGCAAATTATGTAGGTGCTCATTCAAAGTCAACGTTAGGTTAAATGGTTATTGGGAGTAAACACTGTTAAATTGCTGATGATTGTTGACTGATTGCTTTGTAGTGTAATACACTTGCATACACTCACACACTCAGATCCATTAATTTTGTAGCAACCAAGGAGGAATAGTCAGGATAACAATAACAATTGGAGAAAGTAAATTAACTGTCGATAAGTCACGATTAATGATTGTAAAACATTTTGATGGTCGATTTGTCAAGGTTAATTATCATTTGGACAATAATAAGGTGAGACAGATTGTTAATTAAAGTTGACTCTTCTCACTTGTTTTGTATACGGTCTTTATGGTGTTGGTGGTGGCTCTGATTATGTTGATGGTGAGAATGATGATGATAATGTTGGTGATAGTGAAACTAATATTTAACTTTTCAATGTTTCTTTTAATGACGATGACGATCTTGATGATGATACTTGGCGGTTCTGCTGTAAAATCATAACTTAGGTTAACTTGCGTTGGCTTCCTTAAATAACCTTCATTTCAAGTATCCAGAGGCTATCTGTATTTGATGGAGAAAAAAATTAGAATATAAATTGTAATTAAAATGTTGGTCAAAGTCACAAAAAAAAGTCTTGAACAAACCTACATTTAACACGGTAAAGACAATCAAAGCATTTGAGACCAGCAAAAAATAGGGGAAAATGTTCCTCAATTTCCTCAATTTTATCAACCTCTTTTTTTACACAATAAAATAATTAATTAAAACTTGAAACAATTAGATTTATCTGCCACAAAACACAATAAAATATAAAACTTGACATTAACATGTGTTTATGATTCATGCAACAATTTCAAATTGGTTTAACTGTTAAAATACTTTCTTTTCATTGGCTAATGCGATTTGAATAAAGGATTAGGTTAAGATTGGATTTTATGGGATCAGATACGATTACTAGATCTTCATTAAAACGAAAACAAAGCTCTGAATTTGATTTAATCATCTCTATTAATTTTAAATCAAGTATTTCCATTAGTTATTTTCCAAGCTAATAAAATATTTACGATTAATGATTGTTTAATGTTCAATTGCAGTTTGGATTACTCTTGTCTCTCTAAGTAATGAATCATGAAAAGTTACTGGTTTCATCTGTTTCTTACTTGGATTAAATTGTTTTGTTTTTTAAACAGTGATTAGCTGATTAAATCCTTTAATTTTACTGTATCATTTGATTAGAAATGCTTTTCATCATAAATTGTCTCCAGTCGATTAAATTACGAATGTGCTGATTGTTTTCACTGATTTCTTGTGGTAAGTATTGAAAACGCTTTTCTTTACGGCCTTTTGCACTATAATTTCAATTGTTTTTATTTTCATTCAATTTAATACTTTTGAAACTATTGAACTATTGTTTACAGATTAATGATGTTAATTAACAGATAAAAGAGTATACGGGCATCCATTTTGGTTACATTTCACCCATCAGCTTATTCAAAAGCTGACATCTTCTCACCAGCTTTTTCAATGTAACCCATTGTAAAGGAATGGCATTTTATCTCCTGTTTTCCAAATTTTTTCACCACCAAATCAAAGTGAAACAATTTGAATTACTTTTACTCTCAATAAGCAACCTTATTACTTTTAATCAACACAACGTTAATGCTTAAATGTTTAACTCTCTTTCATCAAAATCAGTCATAATTTGACTGAAGGCCAAATTATTGGGTAAGTTTTCAAATCAAAGATCTGACCTTATCATCAACCAACACCAAACACTTGACCCTCGCCCTGATATTACTACCTCTTATCAATCTACTGATCAATATATTAACACCTTTCTTTCCCTGCTTCATTATTTCTAAATTGTTGTGATTCAGTAAACTATTAGCCCTTTACTATAAGGATAGCAGTCATTTTTTTGGACCAATTCAACCACCGAATGCAGCAAACTTTGGAGTGAACCAAATGTGAATCAATATTGGATAAACCTTTTTTTGTGGTAGATTTGGTAAGATCACAGACTTGAAATTTTACAATTGCTGTTTTTAATTGTTTACATTTTATTTTTAATTCAGGTTTAAATCCAGCTCATTGGAAATGGAAAAGTAGTATTGTTTTGTGCAATGTTTGGCTCTTCTTCAACAATCAAACGCTTCACTTGAAACACAATACTCTCCTGTTTACTGATTACTTTTTGTAACCAGCAAAAAAGGCGATTGGACGGTTGGAAGGTCAATTATTGGTGTTTTTGTTAAAAAATTATTTACCTGGTTGGTTTTGGTTAAATATTATTCTCGGGTGGAGAGAAACTCAAACAGCTGAAGGTTTGATTATACAGTCAATTGGAAGGCTTGATTGAAGGCAGACACCATTTCGATCATCATCTCAATCATCAACATCATTAGAATATATTTGTTAACCCATTATTTTGTTCTGTATTACAATGTTTTCACTTCTTTTTACCTCTCTCTCTCTCTCTCTTTCTATCCCCATTACCTCTTTAGGTTACTTCATGATGATTCTGTGTATTTCAGCATTCACTAAAGACAATTAAGTTTACCTGTTACTCAAAATCACTGGTAAAGGTCAACGTTTCGTTTCCTTGTTTATATTTAGTAAATGAATCTGGTTTACTTTTACATTTTAAACAATTAGCCTAAATAGTAAATAGACTTGTCAACGTTTCAGTTATATGCGAAATCAGAGAGCAGATTAACATTTAATTCAACATCCATCCATCTGATAATTTTAAAAGTCAACAAGCAACATTTAATCTCTTTGGTTAATTCAATGTTTCCTTCATTAAATCATCTATCATGGTAATTGATCATCAAACTGGTTAATTGTCGCCGTCTTTTGACCATTTAAACCTTCATCTTCATCAAGCCTGCTTTTCAATTGACTAATGCCATACAAACATTGAAAAAAAATGTTTCCTTCAATTGAATCTCTTTAAACACAGAAGAATCAACAACTAAGATTTCAATCATCATTAAACATCTCAATTGTGCCATTAGATAGTTAAATTACTTTTATAAATCACTTTTGATTAAACAAAATAACAATAATCTTGCTGTTGTTGGGTGTTGAACCTGATCTTGAAAGATTCATTTTGTCATACATTTGTATTTACATTTATTCAGATAACTTGCAATGTTAATCATGATTTATAAAAATATGAAAGCAACAATAATCCAAATAATAATTGAAATAATTGCAAGTTTGATTGGCTTTCATTACAATTTTGGGTGTTGAATCGGTTAATTTATCCTCAATCAGCTTTTGATATCTTCTGATTTTCGGGATTGGCTTTTAACCTCTTTGGTTTGTTATCAAACTTAGGCTTCATCTCTGATTAATTGTTATTAAGTGACCTACAATTGAATTAATAATTAATGATTAACCTTTTTCTGACAGTTGATGTAAATTAATTGATTGGGAACAGAAATGAATACAAGAAGAAAAAAACTGATTTCATTTCAACAGTTGTAACTTTTCAATGGTTACCGGTTAATGTCCTAATACACTTTTAATGTAATCAAATAATATTTTACCCAAAAAAACAACAACAAAATTGATATATTAACTTGTTTCAAATGCAATTCAACTCAACAATCAACAAGAAGAAATATTTTTAAATCATTTCATTAATCAAAAGGCAGTTTTCTTGGATCCACTAATCAACTCATTAAATGTTAATAAATCCATCCATACATTAAACAAATTGTATATTAATAAATCTACTTAATAAGACTTTTGTTTGCAGCTGATTGTAACAGTAATATAAACATAATTATATAAATCGTAAGGTAAAATGTTGGATAAATTTAATATCACAATTATTCAACTCACAGATATCAGATTAAAGACTATCATTTGAATTTGTTTGCAATTATAATTTGTAATAATCTTCTTAATATAACCATGTTAACTGGAATATTATACTATTATGTATCTCACCACCAAGAATCACTATTATTAAGCTTCATCTTACAATTGTATTGTTTCCTTGCCATCTTATAATGGTAACAATGTTTCCATTAAAACAATTAACATAATTAAATTGGTTACAAATAAACACTATTGTTGTCCAGTTTCAACCTTTCATACCAAGAAACGCTTCTCCTATGGATACTTTGACGGACAAGCTTGAATCCCGTTAACAGTAGATGTTGTTATCAGTTGAGTGTGATTCCAAGTATTTTCAACAGGATTAATGTTGATTGTCCTTTGTCTTATTGGATTAAAATGTATAACTTGTTATGATTAGCCAACAATCAAGCTTCCGCCCTTCTAAGTGTTCCAATTTTTGTACTTGAAAATGAGGCTCTGGTGACACAATGGAGTGAGAAGATGATGATGTTGATGAAAAAGAAGAGATGAAAGGTAAGAAGGAGGGAGGAAAGGAGAGAAAGGTTCAAGAGAGAAGAGAAAATTTTCAATGAAAAAGACAGGTAACCGGTCTTGGCATCGATTCTTTCTCAAACTTATTTTCTCACCTTTTTTACATCTTTCTTTCTCTCTCTCATCTGGCTCCCTAAGTTACCTGATTTCAATGAACATTCAATCCAGTTTGAGAGTTGTCTGTGTTGAGCCAACATTAACTGACATCCACAACAATAAGAGAGTAAACATAAACATTATAAACATTATCGTTCTCATTTTTGTGCCTTTTCTGTTCATTCATTTTAAGCCAATGTTTACCAGCAATCTTGGATTAAAGTTTACAAGATCATCTGTTAATGTTGTCCAATTTTAGTCCAGTCGGAATAACAAATTTAAAATGTAAAAGTACCTTTCAATTTTAGTACATTGATGGTCAGTATGCCCAATACAATCAACCTCAATCATCATGAGTTTAACTGCCTTGCCAAGGATCAGGTGAACCCTTTTCTGTGCATCACCAAAATGTAATCTCGCGTAATCATCTTGACATGTCTTAATATTTGTTGATACTTTTTTATCCGCTAAACAAAAAACATCGACAGCTGTGACTTTTATTTTCTAGTCGTTTTATTAAGTTTGTTTTTTCTCTACTTGGCTGGCTTTTCATCTGGCCATTGTTTTCCAACTTCCATTGAGATACAAAAAAGTGTGTTTTTGTACCAATTATCGGTTATACTGTTTATAACAAGCACTATGGATACCCTTGCTTATGGTTGGCTGTCAAACTGTGCTATTGCTCCGGCCATTGGTGCACTTTCCGTTTGGATACTGTTTATGTTTAACATTTATCGATCAGAATGGAGAAATGTTGATATCTTTTTGGTTTTGATAACATTACAACAGCTTCTCTCTTGTTCATCAATTTTTGCATATTCACTTGTTAATATCATTCGTTCCCGAGTGGAAACATCATGTAATTTAACAGTTTGGTCATTGACCACACTTCGTATTTTTCAATTGTCAACCATTGGTTCACTTGCCATGGACCGTGCTTTAACCTTAAAATGGCCTTATAAATATCGTTTCAGTGTTCGCTCAAACCAAATCTGTTATCATGTTGTTGTACTTGCTCTCATGTCAGGTTTAGTTGGAGTTGCTGGTGTTTTTGCACGAGTCTCATCAACTCAACAATTTAATGATGGCCGATCATTTCCATCATCATCATCATCATCCTCATCGTTATCATCTTCATCTGTAACATTATCTTCATCATTACCATCGTCATCGTTATCCTCAGCACCTTCATCACCATCTTCAACTGTATCCATATTAACCACAACCTCACCGTTGTCAGATCAGATGCTGTCAACAATGCCATCCAATCATACTCAATCTTCAGCTGGAACCTTGATCATCCCAATGAGCTCTCTAAACAACCATGTATGCAGTTTAAATCCACTTTCATGGGACATTCGGTTTAACCTTTTCTTCACTTGTCTCTGTGGTCTGTTAACCCTTTTAACCTTATCATCCTTTGTTTATATCGAGTGCAACCGTGATACCAATGATTCAACAAGGTCCACACCAAAGTCTAAAATGTTGCCAAATTCACGAATATCCTCTTTTGGTGATCTTGCCATTGAAAATCTTGGTTCCAATGATAATATAACCAATAGTAAATATCACTCGCCAAGTTCAATGGGAAGTGGTGGTGGCAGTGGTGGTAATGAGGGTGTTGGCGTCGGTGTAGGTGTTGTCAGTGTAAATGGTGGTGCAACTGGAACCGGAAGCCATAACAGTTTACAACGATTCTACAGCATAAGCAAAGAAGAATCAGTCAACAGTAATAATAATTTCCATCCTTCTCATCATCATCCAAACCATCATGGGAATGCCAATATTCTCAATCATATACGATCATCAGATATGAGATGGGCCGTTGTTGTTGCCATTACAAGTTTAAGTTATGCCGTTAACCAAGGTCCATCACTGGTAAGTTTCATTAAACATAATAACACCAATACCTTAATTACAAATGCAAATAAAGCAAAAAAAAACACAGTTCATTCAGGGTCATCTTCAGAAGATACATAAAAAACAATTTCATTTATCAATTGGTTTTGTGTTTTCTTGGCAACAAACTGAAAATTTGTATTCAAATAAAAAAATGAAACCTTACCTGAAAACAACAGTTTACGCATTTAATACACAAAATGCTTTCAGGGGGAAATGATAATGTTGAAAAAGTGGTTCAACACAGAAAAGGTTGTTTGTCCTTTTTTAATGTCATTTTCATTCAAGACATTACCTTTAAAAACAACGTATAATTAAAAATATATATACCAGTAATTAACAACTGTAAAGTGAAACAAAAACAAGCAAAAAAATTATTCATAGTGAAAATGAAAGGAAACGGTAAAGGTATTCCTGTAACATGCAGTTGACATTCAAAGTGAAACTTTGCGCGGTTATTATAAATATTCATAGGAAGTGATTTAATTTCAACATTTAAAGAGTTGGTTTCCAGTAATTTAACCGATTAATAGCACCACATAAATCTGACGATTGTTTAAGTCTACTGAAGTCTACTTACTACACTCGATGAAAGGTTTCCATTCAATTGCCATCCAATTGTAATCTCAATGACAATATTGTAGTGTGCTAATGACAATTATGATATTTATTAGTGGTACGGAACGCTACTAGAATAGTAAGATGATAATGGTAAAATTGAGAACTGAGAAGCAAGAAAAAAGGTGCATCAAAGGTAAAAATATGAAAAAAGCTGTGAGGCCATTTTTTTCAGGCCTCACAGAAATTGGCTTAATGAGGCATCAGAAGGATAACAAAGAGTAAAGGAGAGAGAGAAGATGAAAAAATGAAGAGAAGGGAAGAGAAAAAAAGAATTAGAAGAAAGTTGAAAAGCTAGATTCCAACGAGAAGAATGGTAATGAGCCTGATATTAAACAGCTTTTCGTTATAATGAGAATTCTGTGGAGCGCTAAAAGTTCTTGTCTCCTTCATCATCTTTTTTTCTTCTTCGCCATCTCTTTCTTTTGTGTCTATCCGTCTGGAATTGCTTCTTGAAACTCTGTTCATTTGTTTCCATCAGCTTTCCAATTGACTTTCCACTTTTGCTTCATTTCATCTGATCTTTTTACTATGGCCAAGTTGTTGACTTTCCCAAACCTCTCAAACCCTTGTCTTCATCAATGTGGATAGTTTCAAGGTTAGAATGATGAACATCATGATGATGCTCATGTACCTGATGATTGTAATGATAATAATGATAGTAATCTTGATCAGATAACTTGTTTCAACAGCAAACTTGTTTCCTTGATTCCTTGAATTGTGACTTAATTAATCCCCGAAAACCACCCAGAATATGAAATTTTCATTTTACTTTTTTCTTCTCTTCCAATCAAAAATTTCATTCTCAACCTCCCACACAAATCATTGATTAACGATACTTGTTTTTCATTATAACCATTTAAAATCAATTAATCATTAATTGACTGCCAATTGACTTGGTGACTATTTTTTTGGTTAAATTGTAAATTAAAGTGAAAGCAACATAAAAAATTGCTGTAAACTAACCATCAGTGCTGTTGTATCAACAAGGTACAGAAAGGCCAAAAAGTGGACTTTTCTCAACCGTTTTTCCTATCAACTATTAATGAAACTTTGCACTTGATCAAGATCATTCTCGTTGATGGCCGAGAATATAAAAAGTTAAATTAACCTTTTTTTCTCGTTCTAATCTAACCTTCTCAGCATTTAATGACATTATTAACTCTTGTTGATTTTTCTCTCTCTTTAGCTGATAGTTAATTGTAACCAGTTTCAATGTTTGTTCAATGGTTTATAATATACATGAGAAGAGATACTTTCTTATGCCATTTGCTCTATCATCAACAATAATTTGAGGCAAAAACACACGCAAACTAAACGCATGTATTAACACAATCAACTTCCTTGCCTGCCTAGGGCACAATCAATCAAACCACAATCAAATCGTGATCAGCTGATTCTGGGTTTAACAGCAATCAAGTAACTCCTGTAAGAAACAGAGAAAGAGAGAAAGAGAATTGGAAATTAATGGTTGATTTAATTTTGATAACATTAAAATCAATGTATAATAGCAATAATATTGATAATAATAATGATATCGTGAAAGGTAACAACGGTAAAAAAGTAATAATCACTTGAAATGCCATATAAAGTACAATCAAATAAATAATGATTACCATTGACTTTCACATTTCTTTTGCTAGGTGCATTAGTATGCAACTTGTAAACATATTTATGGTTAATTGTCATTCTTTAGGCTCTTATAATCATCATTATTATCATTATTAATAATATTATCATTACAATTGTTGCTTAAAATAATAAAGTGTTATAAATAATTTACTCAATGCTTTTGACTTCTCCTTACAAATGCATGTAAATGTGTGTTTTTGTATGTATGTGTGTGTGATTAAAGACAAAATTATACTTGAACCTTTACTGACCTTAACCAGATTGTATTATTAACAATTATAATTAGTAAAAAAAGAGAGAGAAAAATCAACACTAAAACATTGTTTTCTGAATTTATGTAAAATGCTGTTGTTGACTGATGATCATCATGATTAAATCTTGACTATATTTGTGTGTGTGTGTGTTTCAAATTTAACAGGTAAAGATAATAACAGTCTAAGTGCATATTTATCAAAGTAAAGCCTAAGGTTAAGTTACAATATTAGTCTATTGAATGAAAATGAAAGATAATAATTCTGTGAATCTGCAAAGGCAAATGTATCAGTATTATGTTCATGTACCTGAACATGAAACTGATGAGAAGGAGGAAGAAGAAACGAAAGCATCATGAAGATAATGTTTAGAGACAAATCTTAATCATCATTTGGGTTTCATTAAACAGGGTAAGGTTAGGATTGGGTCTTGGTTAATGAGGAAAATTTGCTCTCAAATTTGTTAACTTTAACAACTAAACCTTTCATTTTTCATGCTGAAAATTATTCTCAATATTCATGTTGATGTTACCTGTTCCAATAACATTGAATTGTTCCAATAATAATGATAATTCTGTTGTATAAAATTATCGATTGCCTTCCATTAGATTCCAGTAATGATTGGAGAAAAAAAATACAAATTTGATCGATTGGATATTTGTTTTTCATTAACTCCGTAAACCAACAATCCCGTTTCAAGTTCAATTCAACCGCACCTTTTTTAGTTTATCATGAATTGATTCTTCTCCTTGACTTTTTTTACTGTTTCCACCAAAATGATCATGAAATAAAGATAAAAAGTGATGTTAATTATTCCAATGATATAACACGTTTCTGTGATTACAATTTACTAAAATTGTTTTAGTTGAACACAAAATTGAACTGAAACTTACGCTCATTTGGCTTTGTTTTTAAGCTCAATATTGAAATCTTTGCTGATGTGGTTTGTTCCCTGTTTATATTGCAATTGATTGATCATCTGTTCAATTTGTATTGTTACTGTTACACTCGGTTAGCGGTTTAAAGCACACATTGATTCCTCTGATGATTGCCATTTCAAGCCGTTCTGGCCAATCAGCTATGTTGTCATAACAGGTTTGCATACGATTACATGTTTAACAAAAGTTGTAATCACCATAATCACCATCATCATCATCGTTATCGTTGTCATCATCAACCGATCATGTAATAACTTCCGATGAATGAATGAATGAGAAGAAGAGGAAAGAGAGTAAAATGAAACGATTGGGGAAAAAAGAAGAAGGCTGAGAAAAAGAGAAACAAAATCAAGTGAGAAATAAATGATGAAGTAATTTGCAATCAATGATAATTAAAAAAGTGTAACCCATTGGAGCAGAAAACATTGAATGAAGAGAAAAGAAGAGAAATTCAGAGAGAAAAAGTTGATTCAGAAAGAGATTCCTAAATGATTGTAAGTCATTGCCATTCCCTATCCATCTATCAACATCAACCTCGTTACTTCCCTTTTACTGTTTTCATTGCTTTATCATTTATTTTAAGATGAATTCTTGCTCTTTTTTTTGTATTTTATTTTCTTCTCTTCATTCTCTATTTCAAGTCATTTGATGAAAAAGAGAATCAGAGACTAGAAAATTTCTTCATCATTCAGGTAACTTACTGTTCATTTCATTTCATTTTCCTATTCAGTCTTTCTCTTTCTCCTTTTGTTTCCCTTGTTTATTTTCCGTAGCGGTTCCACGTTCATTCACATCTTTTTACAGCACTCCATGTGATTTCAAAGTTCATATTCACAATTGTTGTTATGATCAACACTCAACAATGCTGATCATGTTGACAGATGCACTTTTGTCGACTTGAGCAAAAAATAATTGTTATATCATTAATCCACCAAAAACAATCTGGAATATTGGTTAACAAATTATACTCCATTCTGGTTGTATTTACAACTCCACTCTCGCCAATGAACCACCAACATGAAAACATCCATTAATCATCCTTTTAACCACATATTAAAGGTCGAGTAATTGGTCCTTTTCTTGGGTTAATTTGTTGCTCAGCTTCACAGGGTTTCCAACATTTCTATCATTACTGTCTGAAGTTTATAAAAAAAACAAATGAAATATTTAACAATAATTTTCAATAATCTTACTCTTTGGTTTGAAGGGTCTCTGAAAAATAATGGCGATGAACATAATTTGAAAAAAAGTTAAAAAAAATTAGATAAATTGATTGACCGATAAATGTTATTTTCAGTCTTTATTAAACACTAAATACTAAAATTTTTAACAACTTTGACTGTGCACCTTTCATCAGATTAAGTCCAGAACAACTAGGTACTTTTTTGGCATATTATAGCTTTACACAATACACAGAAATAGGACGAAATTACAAAAATGTATTTGTCTTGTCTTTAACTCGATTTGTCTTGATATTAAACACTTGAATTATTAAGTTACAATTTTGTTTGCTTATCGACCGAATCCGTAACCAGCTTTACCACCGATTCCTTTGACTCCTGCGGCTCCTGCAGCACCAGCAGCCTGCTTGAAACCAGCAGCACCAGCAGCACCGGCTTTACCACCGGCTGCACCTGCAGCTCCAGTAGCGAATCCCTTTTTACCACCAGTAGCTCCACTCTTGAATCCACCGGCTCCAGCAGCACCAGCAAAACCACCTTTAGCTGCTTTTCCTCCAACAGCACCACCGGCAGCACCATGAGCAGCAGATTTGCCGAATTTGAAACCTTGGCTCATTCCGAACTTCTTGACTGCTCCGAACTTCTTGTTGTAACCAGCTCCTCCAGCCTTAGAGAAACCTCCCTTGGAACCAAACTTTTTACCGAAAGCACCAGAAGAGAAACCCCCCTTAGAAGCAGCACCCTTTGATCCACCAACAGCTCCTTTAGCACCATAAGCTGCACCTCCCTTTGCTCCTTTTGCACCAGCGGCATAACCAGCTTTTCCAGCCTTTCCACCAGCAAAACCGGCAGCTGCCCCACCAGCCGCTGCTCCTTTATAAGCACCGAGTCCTGCACCAGCTTTACCACCGATTCCTGATTCGGCACCTTCTAAATCAGCTGATACATCTCGTCTTGCTCTTTCCAAAGTTACGTCTTCTTCGCCATCGAAAGTTTCCTCAGCATCGAATTCCTCTTCGGCACGGACAAATTGAACACAAAGGATAAGAGTTGAGGCGAAAAGAGCGAATAACTGAAACCAGAAAAAAATTAAGTAGTAAAAGTAAAATTAGTGGAAAAATCTAATGTTAGTTGAACAATAATAGTTAAACGATATTTACCAATTGCTTGTTCATGTTGATTATTTGTGGTAATGCAAGAAAATTTTTCACTGAAATGTAGAAAAGTCAAAGTTGTTAAAAGTAAAGTTAGTAGTAGTGGTTTAATTAGTAGATTACAAAGAGTTGTTTTGATTTTTTACTATCTCAATGAGCTCTGAAACTCAACTTGTATTGTTGAAACTTTTTCCGAGCTCTTATATACTCAAATTTGGGAAACGGGAAGAAAAATGAAACTAGAGGTGAGTTTATCTCATTAGCCTAGTAATATGGTTTTTCTTGATTCGAGTGATTAAGAAAAGTAACCAATTATTAGCCTGGTTTGTTTTAATAGTTTTGTCTTTCCTTGGATTTACATCGATAAGACAAATTTCGAGTTGGGTTGCATTTAGTTACATTTGCTGCTTATTTCAAAATCCAGGAGCCATATTTCCGTTTACCTTTTTATGCAAAAACTATCTTAGTCTTTTCCATGTTAAGCGGGTTTCGTTCATGAGGTTTCCAACGGATAACCAAATAAAATCAGAGAGCTTGAAAATTTGACTAACAATCGTCAATCGTTAGTCAATCGTAAAAATGTAGACAGATGCTGCAAGTAGAGAGAAATACAGAAAGTTAGTAACATTTTTTTCTCGGATGAAATGTAAAGGAATAAAGGATCTACGAGTAAATATTAGTTGGAGGACAAGGTGAGTCGAGGTAACGTAAATTTGTAAGATCGTCAAAATCATTGAGTTAATTAGACACTTTGCATCTGGTCCATAGTTGAAAAATAGTCAAAGTCCTCTCGAAATTGGTATAATTAACAAAAATTGAATTTAACGAGAGTGTTTATTAGGTTACCATGATTCTGGGGGACAGTTTGAGAGGGTTGTGTACATTTGATTGAAAATGTTTACATCTGGTTATTTAACTCCAAGTGTAGGCCAATTGTTTTATAGCTTATCCATCCAGAATACAATTAACAGCTAATTGAGTCTCAATTAGATTTTGTTGGTTTCCGGATTATTACTTTAGTCTTTGAAAGAGTGAAAAAATGCATCATTACCATCATCATCATCATTCAACATCATTATTATTAATTGTTGGTATAAGTAGCATCATCAATGGAAGCTGGAAACTTGACCTCATCCAATCGCAATTTAAAATGGTGACTGGTTCCAATGTTGCCAAAATAAGGGCTACAAATCTTAACCCGTAATCATCGAAACTTGAAAGTTGAAATAAAAAGCAACCAGTTGAGTAAACAATCTGCTGTTTAATTTTCAATCTCTTGGTTTAGCATAATAACAGCAATATAATACGATAGCTGATTGTTGACTTTCAATGTCCAGTATCTCCTTTTTTTTATTGGTGGCGTTTATACATGCAAGCATTTGATTAAATTTACATGCAACACACGAATTGAACCACGAAAAAAGGCTCAATTGAGTGACTTAATTTACCTCTTATTAGGATAGATTAGCCAAGAAAACACACACATTTACTCAGACACACACACACATCAACATCATCATCATTAAAAATCATTTTTAGCCTCATCTTTTGCCTTGGGTTGTCTTTTTAATCTAACTGCTGGCTACTTGTTGTCATGTAAAAATTAGACAATTTTGCAATTCCATCCTTTTAATTGTCAACCTTTCCATTCAAATATTATCCTCATGTTACGGTTCAGTCTTGCTTGATGAAAATTAGATCGTAGATGAAGCAATAAAAATGTAACCGGACAACAGCACCAAGAGTGGTCAATCAATATATTGAAATGTTTCCGTCCTGTTCCTCTTTTCACTCTTCTTCCTATTATCATTTTGAATAAAGAGAAACACAAAACAATGTAATATCTATTTAAAATGGTTCAATTGGCACTACTTTGATAATAGATTTTGTTCTCGTTTTCATTAAATGTTTACCTTTTATCAAAATCTCTTTCTCGAAGTCTTGACTTTCTATTATTAATTCCGTTGAAGCACATTTTCTGATCAACTTTCAATCAATCCAATTTTCTCCTGGCTTTTGATCAATCTTGATACATCCAATTGGTCTTTTTAATCAGCTTTTGATGATGATTATGGTGACTATATAAATATATGTCTAAATATATATATATTTTTTCATTATTATTTAAAGCTCACACCTTTTTGGAAGGAAAAGAAGAAAGAAGAATCACCATTTTTTTCGCTCCCTTCATTTCATTCTGGTTTCACATAAATTCAGCATTAACAGTACACAAGTGAAAATCAACTGAGCAAATCAAATTTAATTTGAGAATCAGTAAAATGTTGAAAAAAGGATGAAATCCGAAAGTCATCTTCTTATCGTTTCCTTTTTTGCGTTCACCTTCTGCCATTCACTTTCCTTGATTCGTTCAAATTTAAGGCCTAAAAAATGTAAAGCAAAAAAAAGCCAACTTTACTCGTGATTATTTTGGTGGGACTTTACTGTTATTAGATTATTCAATCAATTACAGCTTAATAGCAGTTTGCTTAGTCCATATTTTAATGTAGCATACGGATGATGATAGCATTAGTCCATCTCGTTTTTTACCCAAAAGCAGGCTAATATCAGGTTACTTCACCATTTTGCTGGTTTAGGTTGCATTTGCCGCAGATCTTGAATGTGAAATAAAGGTTGAAAATGAGGGAAAAAAATGATTTCCATCCAATCTTGGAATTATCAATGACAATATATTGCGGTCGACCTGAGCTGTTGATTAAAATCAGTCAACCTGACCAGAAATTTTCTGCTGGTTCAAAGATAGAAACTAAATCAGCAAAAAAACGGCAACTTATTACACTTTTTTTTGCATTCACAATTTTGAATCAGCAAATAGACAAAAAAATGGACTTCGAACAGGATTGAATCTCGACACTTTAGGTTTACCAGTTTTTTTGCTTCTCGCTGCCTTCACTATGACTTCAAGTGTTGAAACTGTTGATGGTTGATGGTGCAAGGGTTGTTTGTTTGTTTTGATATTGTCTATTGATGGCAATCGCCAAACATTGAAACAGGATGAACAATCCTTGAGAAAATCGGGAAACAATAGTAAATGATGGTTGAAAGCTGCTCCAATTGATGATTTCAATTCATTTATTCAAGAAAGAGTAGTTCCTAAAGGAGAAAATTGAAAGTGATAAAATGCATTAAAATTTGAATCTTTTTGTTTCCTAAAGAGTTGCAAGTATTCATATTATCCCAAGCAAAGCTTACGAATAATTCAAACACTTCTACCTTACCTTTGAATCCGACTTGATAATCGTCTTTTGGGTAACTTTTACATCGCAATGTCTAATGTCCAGTACAGCGAAGATTTTCTGCTAATTCAATTGACCATTTACAATTCATTACTTGACACAATGAAATTCACATTACAACCATTATAATATGATTATATGTTGGCCTGTCATCGAAAGCTTTTAACATCGTGATCAGCATCATTTGTATACAATGCGAACCAGAAAACGTTAATGATAGTTGACTTTATCTAGAAAGTATCGTTAGCCATTTAGCTTTGCATCAAAGTTAGTTAATGGAGGAAACAGTGCCAATCGAAAGCGTTTCATTACTTCTTTGTGTATCGAGATGTTTACGGAAAGCTGCAATTTGCATCCAAGCAAACAAATCCTTCCACTATTTAACAATTTGCTAATGATTACGATGGCGATAATAATGAGTTGAATGTTTAAAATTTATCTAAAAATAAAAAGAGAAAAAATATTAAATCAAAAACAAAATAAAAGAAATAAAAGTTACATTAGTATTTTCATTGTTTTCCAACCAAATAATGAATCAATTCAATGGAACCAATTGTCGTTTCAACTCTTCCTTTTCCCAATCACCACCAAATGATGTGTATTTAATCACGGCTGCAAATGAATAAATATCAATATTAAATTGCCTGTTATAATTGTTCTCATGTTAACATCACCTTCACTTGACTAACCATGACTTGTTGACTATCACAGAGCTTGCGATTCATTATTGTTTTAATGAACATCCAATTAAACTGGAAAACGAAACCAAATCTGACAAAAAAATGAATAAATGCTCAAAATAACCCAATTTTTACTGTCATTTCAAACACTAAACTTAATGATCATTGATCAAACATGATTTACTTTCACCAATGGTGATAAAGTAGCAAAAATCATCCTTTTTTAACCATCTTTTTTCACTATTTTTGAGTTTTGACAGAAATTGAAAATTTTGACTTTCCTCTCTCAATAACCAATTAATTTGCAACCAACTTCACTTCAAATAGCAAGAATCGTTTCAACCTACGATTAAATTCTGATTTTTCAAGACAATTATTGGTTGGAAAATTTAAGGCTTGTAATAATTAAATTGGTTAGCCCAACACACATTTTAAAATAAACATCTCAAATTGATCATTATGTTTTCAAACTTAATTGTCTACAGTTAAACGCTTGCATTTCTGCCAAAACAAGCTATAATATATAAATAATAATTTGATATTAAAAAAGAAGACTAAAGCTTCCTATTAAATGATCTAAATGTAATCAAGTTTGAATATTTTAAAATGTGAAGACTATCCAAATGATAAGTTAATAACAATGGCAATCAAATTCATCAATCGATCCTGTTCGAAGTAAGCGGTTAAAATTAGAATGGATAATGACCCTAATCGTTGTACTTGACTTTGTAAAGTGTTTCAATCTAAAGTTAATTAACTGTAAAGTGCCCACCAATTCCAATAGTCAATTAATTGTTTCGATAGTTTCAGTGTCCTTTATCGATACTGAAATCAAATGAGAAAAAAATGTGAAAAGCTGAACAATTAAATTTAAGGGTCAGAATAGGAAAAGGTTCAATTGCGATGTTTACATTCAACTGTTGCAAAGTCTGGCGAGATGAGGTAAAAAACAGTTTACAGTGAAATTGTTTGGATTTTTGTTGCAATTATCTTCATTTTCATCATGATTTTCAGTCTCGAATGAAAAAGCAAATCATGTTGATGGAATAAAATAGTTTCTTTTCGGATTCTAATGAATGATTGATATTGTCATTAACAGTGTTAACATTATTACCCTTTAAAGTAACTATTCTTGGACCATCAGGTATGTCAAGCAAACAAATTGGAGAGCAGAAAGTCTTAATGATTGATTAATTTCACTTTACCTGTAATCTCATGAAAATTTAGTGTTCACAAATTGTTAATGAATAATCTCTTAATCGGATTAGTCTTTCATGAGCATTTTTAGGTTTCCTTGAAAACGGATGGTAATCAATTTTATGAAACTGTCCATAACTTTATTTGCTCAACCAGCAAACCATTGAAAGCACAATAGGACAAAATTGTAATTTCAACTTTGACCAACTAAAATTATGAACATTTTCAAAATTATCATCATTCTCACTGATCCTTAAACCTAAATATTTTCACCTCAGAAAGTTCCCTCGTGAACAAATCTAAATCATCGCTGATAATTGGTTATATAACCATAATAACAGTCAAGTGTAGATGGTCATAACCTTAGACAATGCGAGAAAAAAATGGTTCTGCAATCCAAGAAATTCTGCAATAAGTGATGAAAGTTTCCCAAAAAGTAGTAACTTTTTTACATTATCCTTAATTAAAAAGGCCAAATTCCAATTAAATGTAGAATCCAATTTTTGTGACCAAGAAAAAAACACAGCCAGAAAATATAGCCATCATTAATCCGTTAACGCTCACAATTATCCTTGGTTAAACTGTCGGTTCTGAGTTCACTTTGAATTTTTGGTTGATAATAAAATTCTGAAATAAATAATTGTACATAATTAGCCAAATACCACATCAAAATTTAATTGTAAAAGTACAAGTAGAAAAATATATAAACCTTACTTTTGGTGGTCCTTTGCTCTCCTGTTTTTCCAACGTTGTTCTTTTGGTTATGATTATTTTGAATAGTTTCATCACGAATGTTCCAATTTTAAGTTCTAATTTAATTAACCAGGTTCTGTATAATAAAATGGTAAACACCAAGACGATTGACCTAGAAACAAAAGGAAAAATTTAATTTAGATTATAATTGTTTTATTGGTTTAGTTGTTTGATGGTCTTTGATTTTGGATGGTTTCCTCTTGTTTTCCTCCTCCATTTTTTTCGCAAACGTAAATCCTTCCCATTGTAAATGTAAACCGTCTTACCAGTTGATTTAAACACAATTTACTGACCACGAACAGATAATCATCAAGAGTAGATACAGTTACATTGAATTGTCAAGTTCAAGGATGATAATTTGGCTAAACGCATTGTAATCAAACAAAATCAAGAACCATTTTTAAATGAAAAAAAACCAACAAAAAAGACGCTACAAAATGGCAGCAAACAAAAGCATAAGATTAAACTTGATGTCATCAAGGGCATGACCATTTTTTAAGATGAATTGATTGTCAACAACAATGGATTTCACTTTTATGATGAACCACAAACTGTTTAAGACGGTCATTATCAAAAAATGGATTACAATTTAATACTCAGCAGTTATAATTGAAAATCTATGGGTTGCATGAAAAAAATAATAAAAATCTAACAATTATCTTATGAAGTGATTTGAAGATGGCGCCTTACAGCAAGAGTTTCTTGAAATTAAGAGATGATGAAGGGTTTAAGTTTATAGTAACCGACAAGATGTCTTATTAGATAAGGATAAAAGCGGTTAAATTAGTGGAAAGGTCAGTCGAGAATTGGATTGTTTCTTTTGTTACTTTGTTTTTAAATATTCTTAAAACATAATCAACCGTTAGTTTGGTTAGGTCAACAATTTCCGTTAACAAACAGGGTCATTTTCAAGACAAATGATTACCTCAACTGTAGGACAACCAGTTTCACCGTGTGTTGACAATTATTACAACTATATTCTTTCAACGATGACAAATGGTTTGTGTTAAAGGATTTAAAGCAAGGAATGCCAATTACTTATAATCAACGTTTTCATCGGTGTTCACTGCTGGTCTCAACCCAGAACCAAGGTTTTTTACCAGATTACAAAAGCTTGCCAACCGTCAACTAAACGGCAATAGGCAACAGTTTACAGTTTCATAGCTGATTAATATGGAAATGTGATTTTTCGTGATCTGATTTTCTTTTCATGTCAAGTTCATGGTGGAAACGTTGAGTTGAATTTTTTCTCTCTTTTTTTTGTGCTCAAATAATTGGTAAACTTCTGACCATCAACTTTGCTGTTCTTGATACATTAATCCATTTTGATTTAACCCGAGTTGATTCACGTTTTACCTCAACAATAGAGATAAACAATCAAAATTCACTTTCAGGACAGGAGAAGTACAAAAGTACAATCTCATCAAGTCAACTAATTTAAGAATCATTTTTTCGTTATTGTTTCCCTTTTTTTACTCCATACAAATCTTATTAACAAGATGGAAGATATACTTTTCAAGATTGAATCCATCATCTCACACTTTTTTTTCTTTGTTTTATATCAACCAGTTTTTAACCTGGGTGAGGTTTTTTTTCAGTGAATCTTGATTTTTGTTTCTGATTGTTCAATGGTAAATTGTTGTTACTCTAATAATAAAACCTTATTAACTTGTTTATTGTTGGTTGTGAGCTTTGAATCAACGGCGAAAAATAAAACCAAATTAGCTCACCCAATTCATCATGTTGCTAAGCAAGATAAGGAAAAGATATAATGAGGATTGAATCCAATTCATCAACAAGATGAACACCATTATCATCTTCAACTCTAATTGTTTTAAATTTAAAATAAAACACCAAGTTTATTAAATTTAGTCCACTTTCGCATTGTAATTCCACAATACATTAACATGCTGAATAAATCTTGGGTTCAACCTGAGCCAAGATTAAACCCGATTAACATGTAATCCAATTTGAATCAAAAAATGTGCTTAACCATATTAACCAAGGATTTATTAATACCCAAAAACAAATAGACTCTTCCTTTTTGTTATCAAGTTAAACACAATTAAGACTGAACTCTTATCCAACCATAGTGTGTGTTACAATCTAATTGACAGCCTGACAATTTAAATAACTGTGTTTATGGGTTTATTTGTGATTATTGTGGGAAAATATTCAAATGTAAATTAACTTTGGTGAGAAGAGATGAAAAATTTCCGACAATTGTAACCATTAACAGTTTCTCATCAACTTTCACATTGTTAAATTGCAATGAAAATCAATTTAACTTCTGAAACAATTTAACACAACAACCGTAACAACATCAACAATAAGTATTGTGTTACCATTAGTAGTCTGATGACTACAACAATCACAATTTAAACTAATAATAATGTTGACCGGAAGAAAAGCAAATTGTTATAATAATCTGTTTTAATTCAAATCAATTTCATTTTTCAATTTCTTCTGTTAACACTCAACACTCATTAAGCTAAATCTGACTCTAATTGCAACATTAAAACCAACACAAAAAGGATTACAATCAACTGACCCATTCCTTTGATCATAATTACTTTAACGACAACTCACCTGATCCACTTACTGTTGACCATTTAGCTTCGAAATCATTTAATAGCCATTTAACATCCAATTTTAATAACCATTTTTACAACCAATATTTCAAGCTTTTCACCAAAGCCTGAAAGATTGATTAAACCTACGCATCAATATGATTAAATTGTTATTAACTGGATCATCATTTATCATCAGCCAATATTTAATCATCTTTTAAAATCAAAGGAAATCTTTGATTTACCAAATTGCAAGTAAAATTACGTCTTAATCAATGTTCAATTGTTAACTGCAATCATCTCTTGAATGATGATTAGTTTAGTGTTAATTTATTCATCAACCGTTAAAAGGTAAAAAAGATGATTGTTTAATACAATTGTATTAATTGTATTTACAATATTGAGTTAAGGTTAAAATGGTTATTGTAACTGGTTTAAAAAGGTTTACAATTATGGTTAATAACACAATCCAAGAAACATTGTAACTCTCCTAATCCAAGTTCAATTTTTGGCTAATAGTTATAATTAAGTTTCAATTGGCTTCACTTCCCGGTTCTGAAACAATTTACTCGGATAATGATTATATTATTAATTATAATAACTTATGAATTATTTCAACCTTGTCAATCTTTTAATGACAACTAAATTGAGATGGTAAAGGGTCATTTTTCAATTACAATTGTCCATTTCAAATTGATATCCAATTGGAATACAATTTTACCATTGAAACCAGCAAAACTAGATTCAATAGCAATCCTTTCAACTAATCAAATAGAATCAAAATTTAACTCAAATCTACATTACAATTAACTATTACTGTCCAGAGTTTAAAATATCATTTTGATAACCATTTTCATTGTGTTTAATAAAAGGCAATATTTGAACACAATTGAACCCAATTTTGCTGTTGAATATTTTGCTAAATTGTTAATCACTTTAATAATGGGAAGGGAAATGATTACATTACTATTAAAAGGGTTTGGCTATCATCGCTAACGGCAAATGTCCATTTCAATTTTCACTTTCCCACTTGAACACAATCCATTTTACATCTTGACAATTAACATTATCGGTGACAAGGCTAATTAAATGGACCAGTTCATTAAACTTGATGACAATTAAAACAGGTTTTGGTAAAACTAAATTTGGTCAAAAGCTGAAAGATATTTATGATTTTAATGGTAAATGTTTAACAAATTGACTTTGCTTGTTACATTATTATTAACAGTTGTAAGTAGCCAGTAATGATCATAATTTGCAGCCATTTTATTTGATTGTAGTCCGTTAAATTTGATTGTTCAGTGAGGTTAGATTAATGATAAAGGGTAACTCGATAATAAACGTAACAATCAATGTTTACTTGATCATCATCCATTGGGATCAACCGTTGTTGTCTAACAATAACAAGTGTAACAATGATGATGCGGATAATAATAATGGTTAATAATGATAATCATATTGATAGTAGTTGGTCAGGTGAAACAAGATGATTTAATAAGATAATCTGTTTGTCCATTATGTTCCCAGGTTAATCCGGTTAATCTGGTTTCTCAAAGAACCTTTTAAATTGTAAATTGAAAGGTTAATTCCTCTCCTTTCCTATTATTGTTCATTGACTGTTGGTTAAACATTTGTCTAACCATTTATCAAACAACATTCAAAATGGCTCAAAACGGTTTACCCTCAAGATATTGATTATTTTAGATATTTAATACATTTACAATTAACATTGATATTTAACTACATTCACTTGATTATACTTTAATCACTGTGATTGGTTCGCGATTCCAGTTTCAATTGATCATTTGCATGATCTTCAAACCAACAACATAATGATATTTTTATACATTTTCATCTTTTATTCCTACTTGATTAACCATTAACTGTTGTCTTTTGAAACCATTTTTAAATTGATAGCTTTGAATAGCTTCAAATTGTCACCTTGTTTCATCTAATTGTTGCTCATCAAATGGTAAAAATATCATTACAATTGTTAAATTGTAATCATAAAGTGAAGTGTTTTGAAAAAATAATGAAAGACCAGAAAAATTTGATCATTTGAAAGCTGTTCAACTATTGAATTGATTGTTGACATTTTCAGGTAAACTATTGTTATTGAGGTGAAACTGTTTTAATGATTAATCACTCGATTGTTGATGTTTGGATTGTTTATTGATTATTTTATGAACGATGAAACATTGTATTGTTTTGTAGTTAATTAATTAACTCTAACTGTTGTTTGAAGGCGCTGTGATAAACAATCAAAGTTGAACATTCTTCTTGCTTTCACTCAGCTTCAAAATGATGAAAATGATTGTTGATCAGAGTTAATTGTAACCACGTTATCATCATTAACAGCAACAATAAGCGATTAATTGTGAACGTCAATATTTACCGTTGAACTAGATCAAGTTTCAATGTTTCCTTTTTGTAGAAAAAAAAGTGAAACTTTTTTGGTGAAAATGTTGATTATCATTATTTTAACATTAAATTGTTACAAGATTCATCGATTAGATTTATTTCAATTTATCAAAATTGTTGATCGTGAGGCACGATTAATGATAATTTGTCGTTCAATCGACAGTGTCAAGGGTAACAATCAAGTTACAGTTGTATTCCTGTGTTAACTTCACTAACAATCATTGACGGAATAACAATCTTGATTGTAAATCATGGTGATGATGATGATGATAGTAATAATGGTTTTCATTTTGATTATGTTCAACTCTTTCAATTATTTTTTTTTCTTCTATTCCGATTGTAGCTTTTACCTTGATCTTTCCTGGTCAAGATAATGATAATTATATGGACATACGGAAGCGCAAAACACGATTTTATCCAGTCATTAAGATTGTTGAGATTATTGTTTATTAACATACTTAGAGTATGTTAAATTGTATTTTGCTTTGTAAGAAAAAATCACCAACTTTCACCATAAAATTCATGTTTTAACAATTCAAAATGAAATCTCAAGTACAATTTTCAATTTTCTTGAGATGAAATATTCTCGCCAGTTCAATCATTGAAAATTCATTTTCATTTTTCTCTTTTGATAAATGATTGTCTTTGACAATCTAGATTAGTGTTAATTTGTGTCTACAGTACAAATATTTGATACTAATCAACTACTGAATGATTGAAACTTCAACCTTGCTGCAATTTATTTCATTTACACACGAAAATTGATCATTTGTCTGAATCAAAATCTCCTTTGATGTTTCTCTTTACAAGTTTGTTTAATTCTGATGACCCTTTTTCCCTATTATTGATTATGAAAACAGACTCATACATCATTGCGATGATAAATTGATTAAAAATGAAACTGTCCAAAATGATGAAGATCACCAATCATCATCATCATAATTACAATGAGGGTGTGAGAAGCAAAGATTTGACACCTTTTAAGAAACTCTGATTTAAAATACATCAAGTTTCATGATGAACTTTGCTCTTCTTCACAACTGCTAATCGCCATCACCATCACCATCATCATACATGAATTTGATATTTGAAAAAAAGCATTGGCCTTGAAATGTTATCAAAATGATTGAACGAATCGCCTTAACGCAACAAAATTAATGTAATTTTGGGATCCAAACAGCTTTCCAACTCGGTCATGATGCTAATAAGAGGAAAATTTAAAAATGTTGATGAGTTGGTTGATGAGAAGTATTGGGTAAGGGTGATTATAATGAGAATAGGCAGTTATCAACTTACCAAGGGTTAACTCGTCTAAATTCAAAAGTAAAACTACAATAATTTTCATTTTACCATGTTCGCCTGAAATTTTGAAACAATTATCTGTAACAGGTAGTAATAACCTAATCCATCATAACAGTGTCTTGTTCATTTCATGTTTAGATCATCTCAAATCATCCTGATCCTCATCCTTGATCAATCCAAGTCTTTCTTCCTTATTCACTATGTTGTTACTCTTCAAGTTGTTGGTATTGTTCATGATAATCATCTCCATCTTTATCATTACCAGCATCATGTAAGAAATGTATTTTAACTCCTCGGATGGACGGTTCAATGGATTAAAGATGATGATGATATTAGCGTGACTCTGTTTCAAACCAAGATTTAGAGTTGAAAATCAGCCAAAAATATGGTAGTTGAGTTTTACCCGTTTGCCTGGTAACTCCATTACAACTGTATTTTTGTTCACTCCATCAATTGTAGGTAACAATTTAGCCTTTCAAAGTTCATATTAGGTGATTAACTGTATTTTAAATTCACAATTATGATTATTAAGTTACAGTTGTTAACAGTAGTGAAAAAATTTAGCAAGAAAACGTTTAAACCAAATGTCCGTTAACTTTACAAGCTAACCCAATGAGTAAGATTCAACTTTTTGCGGTTTTTTTGAATTACTGGTAATAATGTCAAAAGAAAAGGTTTCCAATTATATTAATTTTCTCAATGTAATTGTCATAACTAACAATTAGCTAAATAATTGAATTTAAAAACAATCAATATAAGAAGCAAGAAAAGTGATCTTGAAAGTAATGTTTAAATGACCGTTAAATTGTTGATATTAATAACTAAATCAGGTTGATTTATCAAAGTTAACCTGAAAGACATTTTTTCAACACACAAAAAAAGAGAAACAAATTGAACAAATTGTTTACCCTTAAGGTTAATCATCAAGGTTACCGATTTAAATCATTTCTCATGTTGTCATCAATTGTAGTTAAAACTAAATTTAATGTAATATTGATTATCATCACCACTAATAAGATTTATACTCAATAATTTAATAGAGTTAATCTAAACTTGAATCATAACATCTTCAGTGAATTTCATCTTTTTTTCATGTAAACTTCAATTTTTCACATCTAATTACCATCATAAATACCATTCAACAGTCTAATTAATCTAACCAATTTATAGAAACTGAAATTCGGCAATTCTTTTATTCAGTTCAATCAGCTCAGAGTATTCAGAGTTGAAACAAAAAAAGGCAAAATCAACAACCAAAAGCATATTCACATTATTAATGAAAAATGTTTTGATCTGAAAAAGTGTCTTTTTTGTTACTTTAATTGAATTCATTGCCTATCAAGTTACTGATGACGATTCAGTTTACTGATTTTTATACATTTATTCAGGTTAATTCAACCAGGTTAATAATAGATGATTAAGGATTTGAGTTGATCTTGATGAATGTGAAAAAATGATATCAACTGTTAACTTTATTTTACAAGGAAATTGCTTTTCTGTAGCTTTTCATTTTCATCATGTTCAGTATCATAATAGACGGCGATTCATTTTTCCAGCCAACCTTGCAATCTGAAGATTGAAGTCAAGAGTTTTAAACTTCAATGTTAACCTCTTCCAATTAGCTTTTCAGTGTTGAACATTTTTAAACTTTTAATGACAATTGAGCCAGAATAATACTTATTACTGGTCATCATGGTTGAGGTTGAATGGCAATCAAACAAAAAATCAATTTCCATTACTACCATGTATATCAAGTTAACATCAGTCAGGTTAATAACACTTGAATTACAATTATTTTTCAAGTCTCTTCTTCTATTTTCATTTCTTACCTGTTTAAACATTGCCTAAGCCGACGCTTAAAGATTTAACATTTACTTGATTAAAGGTAAATTGTAATTATAATCAAAGAGAAATGATAAGTTCAATTTTTAGTGGTAACTCAATACAACATTGCAACCGCCTCGAAAACATTAATCAATTGGTGAATAAGTGAGACAAGTAAATTGTCAATTAACTCAACTTGAAATCATTATAATTCATAATCTAATTTTATTTTTCCTTTCCTTGTTGTTTCAGATTTTCATGTTTGTTGGAATGATTGTGCCACATTTTTGGACTCCACTTCATGACAATGTGATTACCTGGTTTGCTTTGATTGAAGGATTTCTCCTTCCAATATCACTTTATTTGACTGATGACAATTTTCGTGATGCCGTTAAACTATCCTTTCGTCGTCATCGATCTGGTTCCTGTCATGCTAACCAAGAAAAATACAAACCATCCTCAGGAATGATCAATAAACCAGGATTTACTTTCCATTATAACGATTTTGTTCTCATAGATAAACCTTATTTGGGTTTAATGAAATCATCTGAAGCCAAACGGAGTCCATCAACGTTAAATTTAGTCTCATCATCCAGAAGTCCTTATCCTGGTCGTCATTCAACTGAAATCCTATCCAATCAAGGGAAACTTCAATCAAACAATAGAGTCAATGGATCGTCCAATATTAAACCATCTGGATTGTTTGGTCTAGGTAATCACTCGAAAGGTCAACTGGCTCGTAAAAGTTCCCATTTGAGTTACATTATGTCTGCAGAGTTTTGTAAGAAGCAACAACAATCTGGATTCTCATATGATTCACCTTCGGGTAAAAGATTTGGCCCGTTTTTCACCAATCACAATTCAACTTTAAACTCTAATTTAACTCGATCAGATGATTCAATGAGAAAGGAAAAGCTGGGCTCATCAATTGCTCGTCTATCTCCAATGGCTTGGTCGGTTAATGGAGATAATTGGCATTTTTCATTAGTTGACCGTAAACTTGCTTCAGCAATGGAATTGAATGATTCCAATGAAGTTGCCCACAATGTTAATGATGATGATGGCAAAGGAAGATTGATTGATAAATTGTCTAGGAAAAGGAAAGGAGAAAGTAAAGATTACAGTAAAAGCAAGGATAGATTTGGTGATGATGTTGATGATGACGGTGAACATATTTATGCTACTTTGAAGGTTAGATCAATTGGTGACTCTAATAGTGATTATGGATGTAAAGAGGTTACCAAACCAGCTGTTAATTCAATGGTCACTGATAATTCTGGGTTTGACGATGCTTCTATCAGTCGATTATCTTTTACAACAAATGCCAATGATGACTTTGAATTTCATGATACAAGAGAGTCTGGGTCCACAATTTACTCTAAACCAACCAATTTTGGTAAGATGGAAGAGGAAAGTGGTGATTCAACATCTTCTGGTGAAGATGTTTCAATAATAACAAGCGACTCATGTTCATCCAGTGATTCTGATAGTGATAATCACTTCAACCATCAACACCTTCAATCACAAATTCACCTTAAAGGTGGTATCAACAATTTTTTCTCGCAAATTCCAATAGCTGCACATCAAAATCGTCGTCACTACTCTTCTCAAATGTTACCCGGACCAAATTACCATGTAAATCATCTTCAAATGGACAAGGGAAACTTTTATGCTAACAAAACTGCCAATATAACTGCGGCCAATCCGATGTTGGGCTACAATCGTAACAAATCTCGATCAATATCGCAAATAACAAATCCAAATGGAGGTAATCTGAATGATTATGCCAGTAATAATAAAGGAGGTGAGGAAAAGCGTCGAGGTTGGCAATTTTTCTCGGCTAGTGATTTACATTCACTGGAAAATAAAGGCAACGAAAATGGTCAATTGAAACAAGACGCTTATTTCATAAACCCTTTGAATAGCAATAAAATGAAAAGTCAATTTGATGGACACGCTGTTGATGGAGCGATTGGTTCTCGTAGGACAATGAGTGAAACCAATCTAACACCGGCAAAATCTATCAGCCAATTGATTCAACAACAACAACAGCAACAGCAACAACAATTAATTTATGGATCAAGAGACGCTGGCTTGTATCAGCTCACTAGATCAACACATAATCGCATTCACCTTCCCTTTGACCCTAATTATCCTCACCATCTAAATCAACAGCATGATACTAATACAAGTATTAGTACAAACTCTAGTGTCAACAGCTCGGGAATTGGTGATCATAATAAACGATTCGCTAATTTAATCATGACAGGAGCAAATGGCGATAGAAGATTGGAAAGAATAAGCAGCTTTTCCAAGAATCGTCCTCGAATTCGTGCTCAAAAGTACCAATTATACAGACGAGCAGCTAAAAGACAGGATTCAATCAAGGAATTATCTGTCGACTATAGACGCAATTGTGTTGGTTCACGTTTAAGTTTAACTCAACAGGACTTGATGAGTGGTCCATCTGAGCAATTAGGAGCTTTTGTTAGTGTCAAATCAATGCCTGATTTAACGATAAACAGTTATTTGCCAATCTACAATCAATTATCTTCAAGCAAGAAGTAATAATAAATAGTGAATATCGAATTAGACAGATTGTTTTATTAATCATGAAACTTTGTACGAAATTGATCACTCATCTGTCAATAGTTGATCATGCATTGCAACAAACTACTTGAAAGCTTTCATCACAAAGGTTAAGCTGTTTGAATCGTGAAATTAAATTGATCAAAATCATACTGATTACCTTATGAATATGTATAATTTGTAAAAATTTATAAGAAAATTGAACATTGTGAAAGATAGAGAAAAAAATTAAAAATGTAATTTTTTATTTTATTTTTGGTTTTCTTTTCAATTTGATTCCTTGAGGAATTGGTCCGAGTTTGAAAACAGTATTACATGTTGAACAGATTGGAGAGAATGAACAAAATATTGAAAGACAAACTGAACATACATATCCAATGTCGATTAAATTTCTATGACAGAAACAGGCGGCTTTGTAGCTTACTTTTCTTTGTGTGGGTAAGACCAGTTTTTGTCGAGTTTCTGAATCAGGTAACATAGTCCAAATTAGATATTCAAGGAAAGCGTTAACGTGAGCAACTTTAAGATAAATACCACTTGTGAGATCTGATCCTTGTTGAAGAATGGACATTGAACCTCTACTGCTAAACTTATCTTTCATATCTTCAGGTTCATTAGGAGATAAAACGCATGAATCAATGACGATTCCCATCTTTTGAGCGGTGAAGAATACATTCATAAAATTCATGTATTGTGAAGTAAAGGCTGTTGAATCATAGTTGCTAGCAGCTATTACAGCGATTCGAGAAGAGTCAACATCTGACTTGTAACGTTGTATACAGCACAATCCCATGGCCAAAGCCCCTGAAATTAATGGATGAGCTTTTATGGTTTCTCCAGTCCTTGATTGATGAATTGTTTCAAGAGTTTGGCGACATTGTCTAACAGCCTTCTTGATTTGAGTATGAATAGTACGGGAAAGAATTGTAAACAGCTCATACTGTCCATTTGATTCTTTAAAATCAATTCCTTCAGGAGATTCAGAGGGATATAAAATTGTGTTACCATTGTAGTGAGATCCAATAATGTGCAACATGTTTTCATTGTTCATTAAAAGGTGAATGTTACAAAACGAGATTAAAGAGTTTAACCACATTTCATATGAGGAATCATTTCGCTGGAAAAGAAATATATTCGGTGACAAATCGATGATTATAACAAGATGAGTTTTCAAATTTTTCTCAGACTCAGCTGATTCCATCTTAGATTTAGTTGAGAAGGGAGTTAAAAAGAAGAATGACAACAAATATCAAAATTAAATGACTAAATAGAAGGATGAAATTCGGAAACAAGCTAAAATTCAAAAATAAATATTTTGCTTTCAGTTCACCAAACTGGTGATATCAATAAATCCCTAGCAACCAAGATGGTAACTTTAGTGAAGGAGGCAAATATAAAAGTCACTTTCATTTTCATTTTTCAATTTAATTACAAGCATCTTTTTTTTGAAATCACGAATCCGGACTGACACAATTGAACATAAATCTTTACATAATATAATATACAGTATAGTACTTAATTTTGTATAATTCACTTGTATTTTGAGTTAGACACCAGAAGCAAAAGAAGTAAACTTGACTTGACTGCCGTTAAACTGGCAATCTTAATTATTTAGCTACAAAATAAAAAGTTATGTTTGTTTGGAATTAAATTTATTAAGATTCAATTGATTATTGAGTCGTCATTCATTGGTGCATTATATCTCATAGCCATGTCCATTGGCATTCTCATACGATGGTTGTTCATAAAATTATCTCCTCCAGAGTTCATAAAAGGGGGACCATTATCCATTCGAGGACCATAACTATACGGTCCACAGTTCATCATATTGCCTGATTGCATAGATGGATCTTTGGGATCCGAAACAGGAACTGGACCTGGTCCGTGCATAGGCGGCCCATTCATATTATGATGACCTCCTTGCATCACAGGTCTAGGGCCTGGTCCGTGGTTTGGTGGACCATTCATGCCATGGTGTTGAGGAGCTCCTAAAACTGGACGTGGCCCTTGCACTGGACCTGATCCTGGGCCATGGCCACAATTCACTGATCCTGGACCATCCGTTGGAACTGGTCCTTGCATCATGTGCTGATTGTCTATTTTATCAAACGGTAAAGTCATTTTTTGTAAATTTTGTAAATGTGGTGAAGTTCCAGCTTCCCCAGAATTGTTCATATTCATACAGGGATGCTTCGGATGCTGTTGTTGGGGCGGTGGTGGTTGGTTATTAAGTTGGTTGCCTGTGTCTAGATTGTTTTTGATGAATTGATTACCATGAGGAGCAGGACCACCATTAAAAGGTACCTGATCAGGCATCATAGGAGCATAAACATTCATGCAGGGATTAAACTGCGGGCGCATTGAGCCATCATTCATTGGTGCATTATATCTCATAGCCATGTCCATTGGCATTCTCATACGATGGTTGTTCATAAAATTATCTCCTCCAGAGTTCATAAAAGGAGGACCATTGTCCATTCGAGGACCATAGTTATACGGTCCACAATTCATCATATTGCCTGATTGCATAGATGGATCTTTAGGATCTGAAACAGGAACTGGACCTGGTCCATGCATCGGTGGCCCATTCATATTATGATGACCTCCTTGCATCACAGGTCTAGGGCCTGGTCCGTGGTTTGGTGGACCATTCATGCCATGGTGTTGAGGAGCTCCTAAAACTGGGCCCACTGGCCGTGGACCTTGTACTGGACCTGATCCTGGGCCGTGACCACAGTTAACTGATCCTGGACCATTCGTAGGAAGTGGTCCTTGCATCATATGCTGATTGTCTATTTTATCAAACGGTGAAGTCATTTTCTGTAAATTTTGAAGACGAGGTGAGTTTCCTGACTCTCCAGAACTGTTCATATTCATACAAGGACGATTAGCGTGTTGTTGTTGGGGTGGGGGTGGTTGATTATTAAGTTGGTTGCCATTATCTAAGTTGTTTTTAATGAATTGATTGCCATGAGGCGCAGGACCACCATTAAATGGTACCTGATCAGGCATCATAGGAGCATATACATTCATACGAGGATTAAACTGTGAGCGCATTGAGCCGTCATTCATTGGTGCATTATATCTCATGGCCATATCCATTGGCATTCTCATCCGGTGATTGTTCATATAGTTGTCCCCACCAGAGTTCATAAAAGGAGGACCATTGTCCATTCGAGGACCATAACTATACGGTCCACAATTCATCATATTGCCTGATTGCATAGATGGATCTTTGGGATCCGAGACAGGAACCGGACCTGGTCCATGCATCGGTGGTTCATTCATATTATGAATACCTCCTTGCATGCCAGGTCCAGGTCCTGGTCCTGAGATTGACACATTACCAGGAACAGGACCGTTTGGTGGCACACGATTAGCATCAACATAAGGAGGAAATGAGTATCTTTGAGGACCCTCTGAGCCCATGAATCTGGGATTAGGATCATATGGAGCTCCTCCGCAGTTTGCAGATGGGTTAGGAAATCTTGAATTTAAGTTAGTATCTGAGGTCATAAAACGAGACCCGTTATCCAATGAGTTGTTAGGAAAATGATGAGGTGATGAAAAATCATGAAAGCCTGAATCTAAGTCTGGTGATGAAATTAAGTCGTTATCTCGCAAACTTGTATTTGGTTGACGTTGTATGGTTAACTCTTGTCCATCAAATGAGTCTAAATATTGAATTTGTTGGGGCGATGGAACTGGTAAAATATGAGGTTCTCCTTTACATAAATCAGGAGATTGGCAGATACCAGCCATATGAGGATTTGAGTTATGGGCAGATGATTGATCCTGATTACTATTGTGTAATTTCACTTTCTTTGAACCAGGGGATGGTGAAGTAGTTGTGGTCATTGATGAAGGAGGACAGCTTGTAGGTGTTCGAGATAATGATGGTGATGGACCGCCAGGCGTCGGAGTGATACTCGCTGAGTTCGATCCGGGTTTAGGTGAATTAATTGAGGGGTGAAGCCATTGAAAGACTATTATGGGGCCGAAGGTGTTGGTGGACCAGGACTTGTATAAGATAATCTAATATTGCCAGGAACCATACCTGGTCCTCCAGCATTACCACCGGATGAGTTGTACTGTTGTCTAGATGAGTGAATTGATGATGGCATGGATAATGAGTTGTTGACATTCATGGATGAAATTGATGATAATGTTCTGTAGCCTTGTTGATATGGTGGTGGACCTGGCAACATAGCGCCCGGGCTCTGTGCAATATTAGGATTCGGACTACTCAATGAAGATGAACTTTGTGACATTGGTGAGGGATGAGAAGGTGCATTAGCTGCTTGACTTTGATTTTTTCTTTTTCTTTTACGCGTTGTCGGTTGTTGTTGAGGTTGAGGTTGTGGTTGGAGTTGGGGTTGAAGTTGAGGTTGAATTTGGGATTGAAGTTGAGGTTGAATTTGGGATTGAAGTTGAGGTTGGATCTGGGATTGAAGTTGAGGTTGAAGTTGTGGTTGAAGTTGCTGCTGAAGGGGCGATTGTTGCTGTTGAGATGGTGGCGGTTGATGTTGCTGAGGATGTTGCTGTGGATGCTGTGGTTGATGCTGTTGAGGATGCTGTTGTGGATGTTGTTGAGGATGCTGTTGTTGATGTTGTTGTGGATGTTGTTGTGGATGCTGCTGTGGGTGCTGTTGTGGGTGCTGCGGTGGAAGTTGTGGACGCTGTTGTTGTTGTTGTGGATGTTGCTTTTGTTGTTGCTGATTCAGTTGTTGTGATTGTTGTTGCTGCTGTTGCTGTTGTACCTGTTGTTGCTGCTGCTGTTGTTGTTGTTGTTGCTGCTGTTGTTGTTGTTGCTGTTGCTGCTGCTGTGTAACTTGTTGAGAGTATGATTGTGTATTTAAAAGATGGCTGATGGCATCCAATTGAGCTAATTTTTCTTGTCTCCTTTGATTAGCATGAGATGTCATATTCTCATCACAGTTACTCCACGGTTCAACATTGGGAAAATTAGTTCCCATTTTGGATTTGAGCACCGTTTCTTAACTGTCAGTTTGTGATGAGTTAAGTTGTCAAACGCAAATTAATACAGGTCAACATAAATAATTAAGTAAATTTAAATAAATTAAACTGATAAATCATTAAGTAAAAAAACTTGCTGGTTCCTTTGTCGATTTCAAAGCTATGAGTTCACAATGACAATTCTTCTAATAGCTGGCGCTTGCGTCACTTAGCGCGCCCATTTTGAAATTAAACTACAACTGTAAAAAAAGTTGATCAAAAATTATTACAATTTGATAGAAGCAAAGAAGACAAATTAAATTATCTCAAGATAGTCAATCAATACCAATAATCTAGAAATTAAAAAAGAGCAAAGTTTCATAGCTTGAGCATGAATTAAGCATGAAATATCAAGAAATAAATTAAAAATGAAACCAAAGAAATTTTCACAAACTTAGTTTCAACTGAATCATTTGATCACTAATCAAACAATTTCATTATCTTTTTTCCATCTGAATACAATCAACAATATTTATATAATGACAATAAAAAGGTGAAAATGAAGAGTATAAAGTAGCAAGTTATGGGTTTTTAATGATTATTGAGGCAGCAATCATTAATATTGAATGTTTCTGGTTATTGGCAAATGAAAATGTATATTTTTCTGGTTAACGAGATATACTTTCAGCTTTGGTTTAATAATTAATCTGTTGTTCAAAAATCTGGATAATATTTAACATGGATATAGCTATTAAAAAACGATTAGCAATTTGCTTCTTTAAATCCAAGTTCAGTGACATTGAACTAAACCATCTTTTTCCCTAAATAATTCAAGGTTGTTAGATGAGTGTTTAGTCTTTGAGTCGCTAACAAATTCAGTGTATTTTTGCTTTGGAAATCAACCAACAGATTGTGCTTTTATTCATCAAAGCTGTTGCATATTTTAAGGAAACAAAGATGAATAAGAAAGGAAAATTCCAATCAATTTTTAATCAATTTTTTTAATCGTGCCTTGATCAAGACTTGATCATGTCTGGAAAAGATTACCAGTGAATCATCATTTTAATGACAGCCTTAACCGTTTACCAAACCTATTGTCCAATCTATAGAGCTAAGATGCTTTACATAGACTGATATTGAACCCAAATCAGTATGGGTTTACTCGAGAATCTGGTTAATTTAGACTAACCCAATTATAATTTATCAAAGGTAAGTTGCTGCTGAATTGTGAAACCAAGATTTAAGGTTTAGTCAACTCAAGATTTGGTTCTTGGTAAATGGAAACTAGAAAGTTACCAGAAAAAAAACAACAAAAGTACAACAAAAATACCATTGAATGGCCATGAAATTAGTTCATTTTTGTGGCTAAGAAAGTCTCTCATCATCATCATATAATTACCGGTAGCATGAAAGATGAAGGAGAAGAAGCAAAAAGAAGAAGAAAAGTAAGAAAAGTCAGTCACATTGGGTTGGTGGGTTTGAATTTGTTTGATGAAAAAAAGGTCCTAAGCTGGTCTCGACCTTTGCTTTAAACAAAACCGGTTTACCTAAGTCAAGTGAAAATTGTTATAATAAAAGTTACCTTCAAAACCGCCAACAGGTTCTAAGGTTTTTAACAACTCTCTTCATTTTATTCAACCTTCATCATCCTCTTCTTGTGAGTCTGTTTTTTTTGTTGTTCATTATTCTGTAAACTGATTCACATTTCTTGATCATGATGAATGCCCTAACTAGAAGGGTGAGTCTAATCATGACGTAAGAAAAAATTTGATTAAAATTTAAGCTCAAAAAGAGAGAGCTTGCTATTGAAATCTTAAACCAGATTTGGATATAAAAATGCAGTTGAGCTTATTGCTGTTCGGCTTATTCATACAAACTGATAACAATTAGCTTATCCAGTTTCGTTTCAATTCACAGATTCAACCAGACATTGAAAAGCATGATGAAACCATTGAACATCAGACGGCTGATTTTTTAATTAAACCAAGTTAGCTTTAATCTGGTTGGTTTAAAACATTTGAACTTCAAATTGTTTCATCTGAAGTTGGTTTTTTTGTTAATCTATTAGTTCCTAGCGGCATCTTTTGAGCAGACTTGATACAATGGCAAGTTTTTTGTTTAAGTTGTTAACAATTTAAATTGCAGATGGCTCTCAATCTTTGATTTACAAGTGTTTTGGAAATATTTATCAATTTTTATCCTTTTTCATATCATGATAATATATTGATTGATTTTAATTTGTGTTTATTGCTTGATTAAGAATTAAGTAGTTGTCATTATAAGTTATCATTCACTCGTTTAGTTGAGCAAACAACTAACAGATTTCGTTTTGTGAATCACGTTCTCATTCCCTTTCTTTCTCTTCCCTTTATCCATTTCCAGCTGATGGATGAGGCAATAATGTATTGCTTGTTGTTGTTTTAAGTGAAACGAAAGCATCCAATCAACAATGTCAACCTATTGATTGTCAACGTAATCACACATCTTCATTCTGGTTAATTACTGCTTCTTTCTTTCTTTCTTTTACATTCTCTTCACTGTGGCTTGTTTTGTCAATTGACATCTATCAACTCATTATTTCTCACACGCACTCTAAATCTATTTCTCTCTCGTTCTCTGTATCCTTCTCATTGTAATACGGGATGTTTAAAGGATTATGATTGTGTGCATACATGATTTTGGGATGGTGGTAAACTTATGTGATTGTCTTTTAATCGATGGCTAATGTTAAAGAAATACCTACTCCTTTGACTAAATTTGCTGGATTTTTAGCTTCCGTTGGTATTATCTTTGGTGGTATCATTCCTTATATACCACAGTATTTTGATATCAGGCGGACTGAAAATGCCGATGGATTCTCATTATTTGTTTGTTTGGTTCTTTTAATTGCCAACATTCTTCGGATATTCTTCTGGTAAATATGTTTTTATTTTTCGACTTGTTTCTTCAGTCAATCATTGCAAGTATAAATTTTTAATGTAAATTTATCTTTTCCATTTTCCAGGTTTGGTAAACAATTTGAGACTCCATTATTGTTGCAAAGTATCATCATGGTAGCTGTTATGTTTGCCATGATTGAGATTTGTGTTCGAATGAAGACCAAAAATCTGCTAGTTCCAGTCAAGACACGCTACTTTTTTGGTTAGTAAATCATGACTTGATCGCATTCGAGTTCTTATTATACTTTTAATTAGCTGCTGATGGTTCATTGAGGATTATTATTTAAAATTCATTTTTGATTTCTGATCAACTTATTTGTTATATATTTTATATTATCATCTTGCATCTCTCATATTCTAGAACCTTTTGTCCGTTTTTTTATCAATAGGTTTAGCTTTACAGCAACACAGCAAACAGGTACCTCATTATTTTTTTAAATACACTTGCTTTTACTTTTTTTAATTCCTATTTTAACAAATCTAACTCACTATCCACCAAATTATTAATGGTTTTAACTCTTAATTCCCAATAATTCAATTTCCCATGGTGTTGTTTAATTTTCTCTGTCACAATTCTTACTAACATATGGTGTTAACTTTCTTTTTCTCTATTTTTTCTACCATTTCCTTTTTCCCATTATCACTGTCCTTATTCCCAATCATCTCCAACTAACATGCTTTTCTTACCTAATTAGACGATAATAACTCGACAGTAACCAAGGATGATCCACAGTTGATGCACCGATTCTGGGGTATGTCACGTCTCATACTCTTTTCAATGTTAACTGTATTACTAGCAACGTAAATCTCTGTTCAATACATCATAGCATTTAATAACTTGTCTCATTTTTCCAATTTAAGTGTTTATCCATTTCAGCTTGCACCATATCTACATTATTTATTTCTGATTGATTAATTTTTCATTGAAACAAACAATTCCTCTAAACTAAACAATTGTCACTCTAACATTACTCACCTTTTTATTTTCTCCTTTTTTTCTATTAACACTTGTCACTTCTACTCATTTTTTTGTATACAGATTTTGATCTCAAGTATTTCTGGGATTGGACTGATTTTACTTCATATGTTGAATTTATTGCTTCGTTTACTGTGATTGTGGGACTGTTAATGTTTATGCTGATAGACAATCCTTATTTTGTTGAAACAATCGGCTATGCAGCTATGTTAACTGAAGCACTCCTCGCTTCCCCACAATTGATACGAAATCATCAAAAAAAGTCAACTGAAGGCTTAAGCAAACAGATGGTTCTGCTTTGGACTCTTGGAGACTCTTATAAAACAGGTTACTTCATTATTAACCAATCACCGATTCAGTTCCTAGTCTGTGGTCTTATTCAATTAACCATCGATTTCATTATAGCTTTACAAATTCTCATCTACAACTTACCTTCAATGCGTAGCAAAACATCAAGTCATCATGTTAAATAATCAGTTACTCAACGAACCAGTTGAATGTTTCAAAAATTAAACTGCTACTCAATCTTGTGCTTTCAATTGATACAATTTTTTATGTGCGCATTAGATTCATAATTAAGCTGTTTTTGTTTGAATGAAACGACAATAATTTTTATTCGCTTCAATCCAATCAATTTGCTAACCATTTTATTGAATCATCAACGCATAATGACTCCTCCATCCTAAGCTTACCAAAATTTCATCCATTGATAAAATAATCAAACGTTAAATCAGATTGGCTCACCGATTCCATTGATCCACCAAATACAATTTATCGAAGCAAGTCATTGAAATTCTGTGCCACAGCATATTTTGTGATCTCTCTTAATTTTAATTGATTAAATTAATAATGAACTTTACCGGTTCAAGACTAAATTATATTAAAATTATTCTTTGACAAAAAATCCATCAAATTGCAATCATTTCAATTGTTAATCAAAATAACTTTTAAAATCTTAATGTGATTTGAATTTTATAGATGGCTCTACAAGTCATCGCCAATATTTTGATTATAAAAAATTTTCCTTATCATTTGTCACTTTTTAATGTTTTCAATTGTCATTAATTTGTTTCTGTGTCTTCTTTTAAATCAAAAGCCATTCAGCACTTGATTCGCGTCAGTTTAATGTTCGATATACGATGTGAAGATTGAAAAGTATTCATGATTAAGACCCAAGGTTGAGTATATTAATCATAAATACAATAAAGTGATGAACCATGATGCTATTAGCATGTGCAAATTACATTACTCTTTCATACTGACACCTTATAATGCTTGTGACTGTGTAATATAAGTCGTATGAGTTTAATATAAACTTATTAACTAGAAATTAATTTATGTGACTTGACGAGAGATTTAAAAATTACGCAGCTTTAGAGATTAGACTTTCAATCGTGAATTTATTAGTTTGATTATAATTTGTGATAAATCAATAACAAGTAGAGACGCGTATTAAGTATATTGCGTTAATTTGCTTGATTAATTAAACACATTACAGTCATGACAGTGGTAGCACATAAAATAAAATGGCTAAAATAATTGATTACAACATTATTCCAATAAATTATGCATGATAATAGGGAACTTTTGAAGAAAAGAGTTTCAATAAGTATTTTAAAGAAAATATTTCCTTGACAATCTTTGGCTATTTATTGTCGAGGTTGTGCTAAGTTTTGTTGAAAAAAAGATTCGTTGTTTGTAAAAGAATGAGATTGATCAGAGTAATTAACAATCGTTAAGCCAGATTTTTGCTTGCGAGTAGTGACAAGAGGTATAACAAAATAATGAGTGATTTGTAATAAATCAAAAGTAAAGTATTATAAAAAGGATAAATAGCAATGGAGTTATTAAAACGGACTACCTTTGTTTATCAAGATAATCATAGTGATACTTATAACAATGACTAGACCGATGAAGATACTTAATACCCGTTTTTTTGATTTTTCAATGGCCATAATCACAGGAGATGATGGTTGGTTGTTGGCTTCATTTTTAAGATCAGTCAGTTGAATGTCAGCAATTATGTTGAGGCTGGACAAGAGGTGTGGATGAAATTGGAGTATTAAATGAGTTGAAATGTAAACAGCCAGAAAAACGGCAAGAGTCCAAATGTAAACTTTAGATAATGTGACAGAAGAAAGGCTGAGTACGAAGAATAAAGCGAATATGGCAAGGGTATGGGCAACATTACCGCCAAGAAAATGCATTACGTTGAAAAAAATGCGTTTAGGGTGATCTGGGGCTGGTCGGAATAACGCTCCTAAAGGTTGTAAAAACATTAATATATTGGCGATGACTCCGAGATATTGATGCGGCGAATCTGCCCTCCAGCCTTTGACATGGACAAATATTGAGATCATTCCAATGGTGGCTAAAGAAAGCGCGGAAACCATAAGAGCTCTATGTAAAGCGAACCAAACTTTTACATTACAAATAGTTTCATCCCTCCAAGTTTCCTTGTGGTAACGAGCAATGACCATAGCGATGCTGACTAAACATAGCCATGCAAGGGTCATTAAAGAACCATGAAGTCGAATCAATACAGGAAGAGTTGAACTTGAAGAGACAACACCAACTGATCGAAGGTTAATTGTGTTATCGGTAATTGATCTTGTAGTATGACGGCGAACCGCACCATTACTTAAAGGCCCATAAGCAAGTTGTACATAATAGGGATTCTTGACGTTGAAAGGAATGCTAGAAGATGAATCGACAATTCCTCTGGGTCTATGAGTCCAGTGACAGTGGATTTCACCATTTGATAATCCAGCTGAAGTTGTTTGAGTCAGCGTTCGATCAGAGATTGGTATAAAACTATATCCTTCAGTAATACCTTCACCGACTGAAACCGTCGAGTCTCGGTTATAATCACAATGAACAACAGTTGCACCAGACATGCCCTTTTCTGGTACAAATCCAACAGCATAATAAGTATTGGGCGAACCTTGACCATAAACATCAACATCTAGACCATGCTCTGGATTAGCTTTAGCACTTATGAGTACCAACATTGTACAGTCAAAAGTAGATGAAGTCGCACAACCAGCTGGTAATCCGAAACAAAGTTTTTCCCCATTGATACACTTTTTAGAGGGACTTTCTTGACCAGAGACTGTGGTGACATAAAGGAAAAAAGAACAGACCAACGAGATCAACAATTTAACCATTTTTACGTGAACCATACAAAAAAGTGATCAGTAACGACAGTGATGTTGAAAATGATGAAGATAAAGGACACAAAAAAATACAAACACAAGTGGCAAGAAACTTTACAGGTGAAGGTGAGATTGTTGAACAAAGTAAAAAATTGCTCAAAAAGATAAAGTAATGAGACAAGGTCATTTACCAATATAATTAACCAACTATTACAGCCAGCTAATTGACTAACTTGTCAAGAATGGTGGAAAGGATTGCGACTACCAGATTCAATGAATACATTAACTCAGAATGAGGCCGGTGAAAATTTACCTGGGAAAGTATAAAAGAAATAAAAAAAATGAAGAAGATGAAAATAATGATGAAAAAAAGTAAGTTATGAGCAAGGGCAAGGCTTTTTAGGTCATCAAATAAACAAGTAAATGAGGAGAAAGAAGGTGGAAGGTTAGAAACTTAGTAAGTTTGGCAAATATTGAGTACAGTTACAATTAGATTTGACAGTAAGAAAAAAAATTGGACTTACCATTATAAAATGAAAATTCAACTTCAAGTCAACAACAAAACAAGATGAAAAAAAACAGTTTTAACCAGATGAGATTCTTTTCTTCCTCTCAACCTTAACTCTTCTGGTCTCTTTCTTGCTGGGCAAAACACACAATAATGATTAAATTAATAATCAACACGACAGTTATAGGAGTAACAATTTAAACAATGATAAAATGTCTCCAATTGATGAAACTGAGCAACAAAAACAAGGTTGAAGGCAATGGAGGCCTAACCCATCCGGCATGGAGCCAGGTTGAGTCACTAGTTTGACGCCATAACCTTCTAGTCCAATCTTTGAGCTCTTTTGTTGCCACCAATTTTAAACAAATTAAACACAATCGATTTGCTCTAATGGACGTATTTACCCGATAATAAATCAACAATTGCTCTCAAAAATAAACTAAATACTGATTTTGATCAACTTCACTCAATTTTACTCAATAAAGTTGAATTAACATTCAACATTTTGTAATTCAATGTAACGTAATCTCTCAACATGGTAACTTGACCAAGTACATGTATCAACAGCATATTAACCTTTAGGAAAAAGATTAAAGGTTCATTAATTGTTAATTTTAATGGTACAATCAATTTAGAATGAGATTGAACTTGATTCATTTTATTGTAGATTAATTAATAAGATTGGAAACAAAAAGCCACTCAGGTGAACATTTCCAAGGAAAATCAAAATCGGAAGTTATTGTTGATAGCTAAATGAGAGTTTGTTGATTGTCGACTAAATTGTTTCCCTCTCATAAATATTGAGCATTTAATTTTGGGAAATTAAAGCTAAAATTGCTTTACAATTACCATTTTTAATACACACTTCATGTTATCAATTTTGGTCAATATAACTTGTAAGGTTAATTGATTTATGGTACAATGCGTTTAATGTTTACTCCAACAATTAAAGTCATGTATCTTGTTAATCAAGGTTATTTAGACCGTTCATTATTAGTGAATCTAAAAAGCAAATTCACATTCATTTTTCTTGATTTAGATTACAATTCAATGATGAGGACAAATTATGTTATTTTCATCTGTAATTGTAAAATAACTCAAACTATTAACAAATGAAAGGAAAGGTTTGTATGTTGAGTTCATTGAAAATGGTCAATCGATAACTGAAAATGGTGAAAAAATCAAAATTATAATTGAACGTTTCAAATTAAATTTTCAGATTAACCTTGCTGAGTTATTGCTTATGAATCCATTCATCATTAAACATGACTTTTTCAATTTCTTATTCTTGTCCAACACAAGGTTATTCAATTATAATTTGTTTCCAGGTTTGGTGTTCAATCAATATTGATTTCACCAGATTCAAGTAAAGGTTAAAATTGTTATAACCATTATTGGTGCCATTTAATATTGAAACACATTTGACAACATGTTTACATCCATAAATTAGGCTGACATAAGAATACAAAATAAAGTATAAATAAATGATGAAAATGGGGAAAAATGAGCTTTTCAAGCTAATCTATTCTGTATTGTCTGAAGATGTAAAGATTCAAATTAAACGGCGATTAAGGTTTATTGGTAAAATGATGAAGACCAGAAAATTAAGTAAAACTTGAAAGGTTAACCTGAAAATACATGAAATTAGTTGATTGTTGCTGGCTCAGTCCACTTCTTTTATTAAATAATGAAATTGGATCACAAAGAAACCTGATATTCAAGATAGCTAATTGTTAAAAATAAGATTTGATCCTTTCATTTGAGAGACAATATTTTTGAATTTTCCGCCGGATCAATGTTCACATAGCAACGCAATTTTTGATAACATGAAGATTAAATTGTTGACCATTAATTTGAAAAATAATGACAAAGTGTGAGTAATTTAATGTTTAGTGTCAGCTTGATTCCTTCATTGTATCCATTCATTCCGGGAATATCGACATTTGTGGTAAGAAAAATCTGCCAGTATATTAGCATTCGGCTAACAATTTGTAAGGTTTAAGGTGTACTTATCTTGTAACATTGTTGGAGACTCAAGACAAAGTTGCCACAGATTAAGTGTTTGTAAGTTTAACTAATCAAGTTGGTAACATTAATGAATAATAATTGATTGAATCTACTCTGAAAAGATTATAACTTGATGAATGTTATGAATCTTAAATAAAGATCACTTAAAAAGCAGCTTTTACTTTTCCACTTTCATTTGTTCATTTTAGCATCAAAAGGTGTCACTATGTGTTTATCATGCGACTTGAAAATGTTTTACATCGGCTAAATTAAATTAATTTTTTTGTTGATTAAGTGACTAAATAATTAGGAAATTTTGCTCGTTTTGGGTCTGTGAATACCCAGGGCACCCAGTGACAACAATTGCGTTTAATTAAACTCCTATTAAATTGTCAAAACTACGGTTAAGTTAAAAAAGTGTCCATAAATAGGAAAATAAAATTGTTTCAAGTTTGTCAACAAATGTAATTAGAGTTGATCTTCAATTAGGTGTCAATATGTTTATGTTTTGTGTAAAAGTATTCTTTGCATACATAATTGGCTCATCGATTGCATGGATTTACAGAAAATATCAGCTGTTTCAAACATTTACCAGGAAAGGGATTAAAGGTAAGATTCTGGTGAAGTTTTTATGTTACTGTTTCAACTTATTAATAATTTAGGGAACCAGGACTTTGACATTAATCATTTGCTATTACCAATTACTAATTCCTTTAAGAACTCTTTCTGTCTTTGACCGTTTCACCCTTTAATCTCTCAGATTCATGAAGAGTTTTTTGTCCTTTTTCATAATCTCTTAGGTTTATTTTTCACAAAATTTGCTTTGCAAGTTTTAATAGGCTGACAAGTTATTCCTATTTCAATTGTCCATCAATATTAACCCCTTTTAAAATGATTTTCAATAACTATGTCTGCTTAAGAAATTATAAATTGATTCAACTCATCCCATTGATCACGTTAACTTGAGATTAAACCTCGCTTGACCAGTAATGCCCATAAATACATTTTAATAACATGTGACCTTGATAAACCATGTTTTTTATACTTCCTTCATTTTCACCATTAATCTAGTGTAACATACTGTCGATGATAATAGTTACAATCAACTTAATTCTGTTAACTTCAATCTTTACCAAGACTGGGTTATGTATTTGACTCTAATATTTTATTTACAGGCAAGTCAAATGGTTCTGTCTTTGTCACATTCCTTCCAAAATAATCAAAATATAAATCAAATTACAGAGTAATTTCGTGTTGGCGCCACCTATTGGATTAGACATTCGCAAATCATTTAATCTAATTTTCTAATTATTTAACCAGAATTACTCAAATTTTAGCACCAAAAGTTAAATCAGCGAGTCAACTCTACCAGAATCATTAGGTAGTTTTTGTCAAATGGCTCAAAATAAGTCAGTAAAATGCTAGTTTCAATATACAAAAGACAAGACATTTTCGCATCTTTCAAAAGCAAGGGCGACTTCGTAATATTTAAGAGATTAAGCTTATTAATTATCCAGGGAAATCGTTTTCTGTTAAATTTGACTTGCTTTTATAGCTTTTTTGACTGAAAAATTGAATAATTAGATGAAAATGATTCTAAAATGGTTAACCCAATAGGTTGTGCGAACACGAAATTGTAACAAGTTACTGAGTACTTCAGTGTTTTAATTCATTTTTCCCTTTTTCTCTCATTTGAAGGTCCTAAGCCTAATCTATTGGTTGGTAATTATTGGGATTTGCGTCAACCACCCGACAATAAGTTACCTCATGAAGTGATGAACGATTGGATTGACCAATATGGCAATATTCTTGGCTATTATTCACCAAATAGATGTCACTTGGTCATTAATGATGTTCATATATTGAAAAAAATATCCGTCCACAAAGCTTTCCAGGATCGAGAACCATTGGTATTGGATGTTGATCCATTACGACATTCATTGTTTGCTATCGGCGGAGAATCTTGGCGCCGATCTCGTAAAACAATTTCACCCCTTTTAAGTCGATTTAAGGTCAATTCCCCACCAATATCAGATGTAGTCGATGACTGTGTCAATAATTACATCTCCCATCTTAGACCAGAAGAAGTGCCTACAGATGAACCTTTTACCATCAACATTGTTGAAAATGTTCATCGATTTACTTTTGACGTAATATGTCGCACATCATTGGGAATGAAGACTGACTGTTACTCCGAAAATGATCAACTTGTTCAAGCTGTTGTTGACTTTTTTGAAAATGCATTCAATAATGCAGTCTTGTTGGGTGAAATGTTTCCCTTTTTCGCCTCCATCTTAACCTTCATCAACAATTATCTAACTGCTGGTAAAATGACAGACACAATTGTTGGCCATCTTAAACATCAAGTTAAACAATTTCTCGATTCCAAAGGAAAAGATAATCAGCAAAATGAGAAAGTCGTCTTCTTGAAAGCCATGTTAACCTTTTTAGCAGAAGAAAAATTGACTCAACAAGAATTTACTGGTAAGAACTGTCATGTTGTTCACCCTTCCTCATCATTACCAATTGAATTGAAATTTTACATAATATTTAAATTCAATGTGATCCTTATATTAGTTACATAACGATAATTGACTTGATTACTTTCTCAAACACTATTTACTCAGTCATTTAAATCATAATTTACTAATGGATTAGACTATTTTACCCTTAATTTATCATGAGTTTTACTCAAAGAGTAATCTCGGTTGAAAAGGGGAAAAAAGGAGTTGAAAAAAGCCTTAAATAACCATCAATTTAGGTATAAAAGGAAGACCAAAAGTGTTGAAAATTAACCGTGAACCAAATAAACCAGAAATTAATGGTTAATCTATTTATGGGTCGTCTCTGGTTACAGAGTTATATCAAGATGATTGTCAAAAGACGCCTTTGCCTCAACTAACCCATGATTGAAAGGATTTTGAAAAGGAAGGTAAAGGACGATAATGATGATGATGTCCAATGACGATAATTAAATGCCAGAGAAAGTACGGACAAAAAAGGGAAACCAAAGATAACTGCTGATGACCTTTGAGGACAAAATTTACCATAAAGCGTATAATTGTGAAAGTAAACCTTTTGTTGTTCAACATTGTATAACGCTGGCTATTCATCACTAAGCGAGCTTATTGTCAAAAAAAGGATTTTAAAAGCAAAAGGATTTTAAAACGATAGGAATGTCAACTATAAATACAGTTGAATATTTGGGAAAAGCAAGTCCAAAATTAGCCAAATTTCCTGCATCAAGATCATCTTTTCCCTCATTTTCATCTTTTCATAATGCATCAACAACTCCTTGGCTAATATTTTCCTCTTTTTTCCACCTCCATCCTTTTTCCCTTGCAACATCTTGAGTTTTCACGGTTTTCTGGATCACAAGGTTAAATCTTATGGAATGGCTATTAAATTGAAACAAGCAAGAAGATGGAAATATGAAAAAGAAGAAGAAGAAGGAAGAAAAAATGTTGGAAATAAACCTTATGGTTGAATCTGAATTAGATGATGTTGGTCATATTGAACAGTTACAATAATTATATAGCCTTTTAGTTATGAATTGTTGCTCTTTTTGTTCACAGCTCAATGTGTGTTTCCAATCGTAATACATATTTTGCTCTTAAAATTGGCCAAAACATCATATTCAATCAGCTACTTTCTTTCCCCTTCTCACTCTCTTCCATCATCATAATCATCATGATATTGATGCTGTATTTTCTTGTTCTTGTTGTTTTTCACTTTCATCCTGCTGTTACCATCTAAACTGAATAAGCATAATCTTTTCATCTTTTCTTCTCCATCAACTTGCATTTTCATTCTTACCTTTCCTCAGTTCCTTCTTTCTCACCATTTAAGGTTATGTCGAAAATAATCTCTCAAAGGTTCCAATATTAACTGCTTATTTCAATATATTTAACCCTCTCCATGACCAGTCAAACTGAGTAATTTTTCCTATTCCAAATTTCATCAAAATTTCCTTTTACTCTCATAACCATTTTTGATAAACTCGTCTTCAAGATCAACCAGAATCCTTATCATCTTATGCAAACAGATTATACAATTATCCATGTGATTGCAGCACATTGACTAATTATGAATTTCAATTTCAATGAAATGATAATTTATTTAACCTGTTGAATTTTGATCTCATCAAACCTCTAAACTGTTTAATCAATTTCATTAATTTCTTGTTTTTGTTTAGGAAACATTTACTTGATTGTTCTGGCTGGTTTCGAGGCAACAGCAAATGCTCTGATATTTTGTCTTTATTTAATTGCTAAACATCAACACATTCAGGATAAAATTAGATCTGATTTACACCTTGAACCATCAAATGAACGATCATACATTGATATGGTAATTGAAATTGAAATTAAACCAACATTCAACTAATGTTTATTACAATCTAATTTCTAGGTTTGGCTTGAATCGTTGCGCTATTATCCGCCTCCAATTTCAGTGGTTAACCGACAAGCTTCCCAAACTGTAAACATTGAAGGATTAACCATTGAAAAAGGTTGGGTTGTTGAAGCACCAGTTTGGCAGATTCATCATTCAGATGTTTATTGGACTGATCCATGGTTATTTGATCCTGAAAGATTCTCTCCAGATAATAGGTAAACTTTATTCAACATTATTAATATTAATAGACAAGATTGTTTAGGTTAAGATAATTCATTTCAATCCATTCAAAATAATCTAAAATCAAAATTCAACCAAAAAAGATCAAAGCAAAGCTGATTCTTAGAATCTTTAGATTAAAATTTTCCAAAAATCTCAAGTTCTTTCAACAAACAAAGAAAACATGAAAATTTCAATTCTCATAGTTTTTCTCATTATTGAGCTTGATATTTGCTTCTAATTTAATTTCGACGCGACTGTTCCAAGACTCGAATCGACAAAATACGATTACATGAACTTGTATCAAATGACAAGGAATTATTTTGAAATTTTTTTTTTCATTTTGATTTACAGTAAAAGCATTGAACCAGCTGCATTTTTGCCGTATGGATTTGGTGGTCGAACCTGTCTTGGAATGAATTTGGCCAATCTTGAGGCTCGAAAATTTTTAACCACAATTCTGTCCAAATATCGAATTACTTTTTCCGAGAAAACAATGGATCCAATCAAATTCAAAGTGCCAACCTCAATTTTAAACCCAGATGGACCAGTTTACCTTAAATTTGAACCTCTCTAATCAATTGCCATTCATTGACTTTTAGACAGAAATTTATTCAATCTCTCATCGAATAACCATCATGGAAATTCAGATAAAGTTCAATACTTTGATTCAAATTTCAACTATTCAATTTAATTGCACGTTTCCTTTCGACTTTTAATTTACATTTAATTTCTCATTCCTTGATTTGGACACACAAGTTGTGACAAAATAGTTATCAGTCGATAATTATATATGATAGATTGAGAGTTAAATGGAGATAATTTGTGAATCGTGTTGATCTGTAGACTAATATTGATCTAAAACAGCTCAAGTAAAAAGTTACAGATGATTTATTTCTCAGGAAATCTCTTTCATCTTCTGTATCATCATGATTCTGGAAAGGGGAAGAGGAAAGAAGCAGCAAAAAAAAAGATATTGAAAATGTTCTTGTACCATGGAAAGATGAGGGCACCCGTAAGTCTCTCCTTCATCCTATTACTTTATGTTTTTCTTGAAGAAAAGAAGACTTGATTATCATCAGGAATACTGAAGATAATGATGAGAATGATGATCAATGTCGATATAACAACAGTAACAATCTAATGGCAACAAGAATATGAAAATATCAATGATATTAGCAACAAGAGACAGTCGCCTTTCTTCCCACATTAAAATCGATTGATTTCTTCAATCAACTTATCCATTTTCACCTTATAACACCAAGTTCATCAATTGTTTCATTTGCATACCCAAACCATTTGATCTCAAAAAAACACAATTGACCAACAGTCCCATTGACCGCTTAACCAAAAGGATAAACCGTTCAAATGGCAAACAAAATATCGATCTTAGACATTAAATTAGATTCACTTTTAGTTGAATCAAAACTGATCTCCTAATAACCATTTTGGTTAAATCACATTGACTAAAGCTGAACCCAAATCATTGATCCATTTGCATTTTTACCAGTAAATTGTAAACATTTGAAATGTCAATTCTAATGAGGACTTGACTAAAACTGATTGTTAGCTAATCATTGATTTTAATTTGATTTCAGACCTGAAACAAAAAGGTTTCATCGGATTGTTTTGGTTCATTATTTTGATGACAAATTAACTGATATGAAAGACTAAAGTTGACACATTGATGGTTAAAATGAATAGAAAAATGTCTTTCTTTTTCTCTTCTCTGTTTCAACTAATACTTCTAAGCTGATCCCATGAGAAGCAGAGAGAGAGAGAATGATGATGAACAAAGGGAGATGATGATGAGAAGGTGTAAAGTAAAGATGAAACTCGTTACCTCTTGATCATTGTGTGTATTGGATGGATAAATTTCATGTATCGTAACAGACTGTTACTGTTTGGGTGAAAAAAGGAAGAGAGAGCAAAGTGAATGAGTTGGATGATGATGAGGATGAGGATAGATGGTTGAGGGAGAAAAGGTCTTATCATATGAAGCAGAGTACATGAAGGTGTTGTCTTTACCAATGGTTTGATGCCGTTGCTTCCTTATCGACACTTCACCAGACTCCGTTATTAGAATGAAAAACTAAACTTTCATTCTTAGTGTTGTTCATCAGCCAAGTGAACACAACTCTCAGTCAACAACAATAAGCCAACAATCAACTCAAGTCTCTGTAACAACATGTTTATGAGATCACAGGCAAGCAAAAACTAAGAAGAAGAAGATGAAGATGATGAAAGGATGAAAAGTTTATTCAAAGCTAGAAAACAGAGAAAAAGCTTTATTTCCAACATTCATTTCTCTTCTCATTCAACCAGAACTTTACTCACTGACATTTAACCCAATATTAGTTAGCAATGTTAATTCAATTGTTTAACCAAAAATTGATGAACAGTTGAAATGCCAATAAAAGCCAATAAAGCATAAAAAGACTTGACACTCAATTTTGTCTTATAGCCAAGTTGTGGGTTTACATTTTGTAATTGTTTTAGTTGTTGCTTCAATTAATAATCATGAATTGCATGGAAATGACGGAAAGTGAAAAAATTGAAACAGAGCTTCCACCATGCTGAGGTTAATCAGGACCTTTTTTCACCAGAAATGGAAATAAATCTTGAATGGAAAAAAATTTACCCAAAAATGTCAATCTCATAAGAGACAGCAATTAACCAGATTTGATCAGGTGTCAAAGTTTAATCATTTGTTTGGGTTGAAGTTGGACTTGAAAGTGAAAGAAGATGAAGAGAAAAAGAAACCTGGAATTGTGATGATAAAAATGATGAAAAAAAATGATGGAAACAAGTTAATAGTGAAAAGCAATTTACCTGAGGAAACGAGGAACAACTGATTCTGACAGCAAATTCCTAATTTCGAGTTGCAATTGCAAGTGAAATGAAAGGTTCACCGGAGAGAGACACTTTCTCAAGGGGTTTTCCTTATCCTGTCATAATCAGTCCTTCATGATCAACATCAATATCAACTGGCAATCATGATATCAATGATGAACAAGAGAAAAGAAAACTTGTCAACAATTTTTCTTCTTTAAAAAAAAGGAAAAGACAAAATTTTCTTCAAACAAGAATCAATATTTCATCTTGAATTTTACTCTTCTTCTGTATTTATCATCATCTTGTTGCTTTACCATGTTTATTTGTTGTATTGCTCTTGTTATTCAACTGTTATTGTAAAGGATTTAGAACGAGCTTTGTCTTTCTTTTCATCGTTCTTCATGGAACAGGGAAGAAAACATGAAAACCAAGAGTCCAGTGAAAAACCACACAAAACAAGAAACATTTTTGCTTCCAAATGAGTTCCAATGACATCTTTTTTTTCCCACTCTTTCCAAGCCGTTTGTTTCATTGAGAAATTCAGTTCAATTATTGACATTCTTTCGGACAATAATCGTTCCCTGACAAGAACAGAGTTTCATGTTTTCAGTTTAAGGTTGGCTAAAAATTGATGTCTGTTTTGTGCACAGTTTGACTCTTTACTAAACACACATTTCAGATCATTTTGCATTATCATTGAAACAAGAAGCTGATAACATTTCAAGAAAACTGATTCACATTTTCTCATGAAATGTCTAGAGTTTATTTGATAGCGAACAATAGATTCTCTCATTGATTCAATAACTCTTTTATCCCAATATACTTGAGTTATACTCCAAGTCTCGTCATTTTTAGATGTAAAAATTGATTGAAAACAAACATCACAAAAATGCACCAAATTGTCCGAAAATCTCATCTGTTGAGTTATCTTTTTCAGTAAATTTCTTACTTTGTAGCTTCATCAAACCACCTGTAAAGTCCACGGATATTTCATCGGAATCATTCACAATTATTAAGATTTGAATCGAGCGATCTGGTGATATGGTTTGTTCACTGGTTTAATATGCACCTAAACCCAAACTGATCTTTGAGTTACTGTTGAAATTGTCCAACAAATTTATTGGGTTAATTTGAAGCCTTTTTGGGTTAGGTGAGAGTCAATTAAAAGTCTAAATTTGGTTTGATTTAATCTTGAAAAGGTTTCATTTTTTTCATGGTTTAATATTGGAATTGAACTTTTATCTTAAAATACAGACTTGGATTGCTGAGTGATTTGGGCATTTCACTTATTAATTGTATTGTAATGGTAAATCAATAGCGTAAAAAACACTTGCAAGGGTAAAAATTGAGCCTAAACAAGTAAATCTCTGGACAGTTTCATGTTAGCTCTAGTGGAATGGCCTTACACAGACTCATGTTTTATATCATAAGTGTTTATGAATTGAATCAGGTTTTATCTGTTTTCAAACTGAACGGTAAGCCTGGATTCAATATTTAGATAACTATTGGCCTCCATCATGTTCATAATTCATCTTTATAACAGTGAGCAGACCTTTCCAAGTATACAGGCAAATAAAAGTGAAATGTTCACTGTCAATGAACACTCTACACACACAAAAAATTCATAGCAAGTCTGCTGTTTGTTAAACACCATTTGCTTTCAATCATTAGTAACATTTTAATCATGATGAATAAAGCTGATTCCATCACAAAATAGCTGCTCAAATTAGTTGAAAGCAGAAAAAGATTTCTAGAAAATAAAATCTCACCAGATGATAGACAATCACATTGAACATTTTAAGTTAAAAACCCAAAATTTACACTCTAACTCCAAGCACACTTCAATAAAACAAAAATTACTTTAATTAAACAAAACCAAACCAATAATTGAGACCAAAATCAAGATTTAATCAACAATCACTGAAACAATAAACAAAATAAAAAACAATATTCACCTAAAAAATAATGGATTTGATCGTATCTTAAATCAAAGTGGATCCGATTTCCCTATCAGATCCATTGTTTAACCGGTAAACTCAAACTGGTTGAGATCGGGTTATTGTTCATTATTTTAACCAGAGTTTAACTGTTAACCAACTGTTGAAACCTTTACTCATTGTTTTTACATGATTTATCAAAAGGTAGGAAAAAGATGATAAAGATGAAATTAAATCGATATTTACTCAGTGATTGGAAAGACATAACAGTATTACATGTTTAACATTAAGGTAACACACAATTTATGAGAATCGTTAGCAATCTGACTTTTAGAGATAGTCTTAAGAAGGTTTCTTCTTCTTCCTTTTTTCCCCTGTAAACACTTTTCACCAATAAACTGTATACCAAGTTAAGCTAAACTATAAGCTGAGCCACCGTTATCAACGTGTTTCAGGTTAACACGGACTCATAGACTTTCTCATCCTCTCTTCATCTCTTCATCTTGACTTGATCCAGAATAATCACACTTTTTGTTAATCGATTTTTCTCTCTCTTCTAATATCGGACAAACAATATGTTATACATTTTCCTGCCTTTTCACTCCCAGTCAAACTCCATCTCTTCACCCATCATCATCTTTACTCATTTTTTCATCATTGCAAGATGCTGTTGAGCTCATATTTTACCAATTAACTTATTCACTTTTAAACATTTTCACCTTTTCCCTAATTCATTAAATCATTAAAATTCAATCGATGGTTCAACTTTGAAATGATCAAATTTATTGGACTTTTTTCCATCATTACTTTTCCTTTTCCAAATCGTTTATCAGTTTAAATGGTGAAAGCGTTTTTACTTGAGATATTTACCAACCATGGGAACTGATACACATGGAAATGTTCAAAGGGAAAACTCAGTAATAAGAAGACAAATCTTGTTGAACAAGAAGAAAAGTAAAAAAAAGGAGAAGAAAGATGAAGATAATTTCCTTTCTATTTCAACTGTTATTCATCAATCAGAATTTAAAATGATGGACTCATGAGTTGTGTGTGAATAAAAGGTTCATTTGATAATTATTGAGGTAACAATATTGACTAAAGAGGAAAGGTTTGCTTAGGTAAGATGACTGGAAAAGGTAAAATTGATATCAACTGTTGTCAAGTTTCCGGAAAAGTGATGAACCTTTTGCTTCTCTCTTTTAATGAGGATAAGAAAAGGTCTTTTGTGTTGCAATTTGAATACATTTTTCAAGCCAACAAGGAGTCTGGCAAGAGGTCAACACATTTTGACCCAATGGACAATAAAAACGGAAAGTCCATCTCAATGTTTTCCTTTTACTTGACCATTGACCTCAACTCCGTTATACCGGGGGAAACCGGACAAACTGACAAAAGGAAAATCTGTTAATTATTCAATTTGGTAATTGATCAACTTGAGACTTGGAATGTGCTCATCAGCCTATTTACAGTCAATTCAGATTGAAACACCTAAACTCACAATGAAACAAACGATCATCAAAATGAACAAAAATTTTACTTTTTCCAAATTGAAAAGTTCCAAGTCACAATGAAACAAAACCTTTGCTTAAAATGATCATTAAAAGGTCGATATTTGATTTTTAATTTACCAACAAATGGACAAATATTCTTGATAATTTTACTTTTTCATAAAACTGGTTTTCCCATTTCGATAGCCATTTTACCTGCTTGTGGACCAAGCTTATTCAAGTTGAAACACTCATCGGTTATTTTGGCCTGTAATTGTCACTGAATAGTCTGAAGCAACTGTAATGTTGAACAATTAGATGACTAAAGTTGATTTCAAGTAAACATTTATTTTTCTGGTTTTCCTTCAACAGTCACTGAGTTAACATTTTAACCCAAAGCCTAACTCGACTTGGCTTCAATACATACATGTATCATTGGGTTATCTTGTTTTGTTATTTATTTGTATTTTAATTGTTGAAATTAACCCAAACTAGACTAACAATCATTTTGCAGAGTAAAATTGAAACAATTAACCGGTGAACCTGTTAAAATTGAATAAACTTGTAAATATGAATCTGTTTACACAACAATAAATGCAAACTTATATAGCCTTACACAATCGATGAAACCGGAAAAAGGATAATTCAGCTGTGTTTTACTACAAACGAACCAATTATTTAATCAGCTGAACAATTCCCAGAATAAAAATTCAGAATCCAATGAACTGATGGTAAAAAGTGTAGACGCGAAAAGGCAAAGCAACAAAAAAAAGAGAAGCGAGAAAACCTTGAATAAAATCAACATAAATTCAATGAAAAAACTGTGTCAATCATTTACTCAGCTTATACGGTTAAACATTTGATTAGCTTACTGAAAGTAAATTAATTTAACCAAAAGTTTTTCATTCACAATCAACAAACTGAACCTGAAAACAAACTTGAATGAAGAGACAAAATAAGGTTGAAAATGACACCAAAATAGCAAAAAAACTGTCGATTTGTGAGAAGAGGGAAACAAAAGGAAAACATGAAAATACTAATCAAGTGAAAGATTGAAAATGAGTTTTCTTGAAATGATAATATTTTCTGATATCAAAGTACAGAATCCATGTTAACCATGGGAATATATCGACATTTTGCACTTGCTTTTCCTTCTCATCATCATCTTTATCTTTCCTCTTTCATTACGAACAATTCAGTTTTATCTCCTTTTGGAAGCAAATTATTTCCCATGGAATCGAAATGGTTCACTCCTTGGAAGCCATATCATGTGTCGATTTTACTCATTCCCTGGTTCTCATCAATTCTGGTTATAACCTATTTTCTTAGCTATTTATCCTCATCTTTATCCTGTTATGATGAGCAACAAACAAGCAACAAAAAAACACACAAAAAGTATAAATAAATTAGTAATGTTTGTGAAGAGAAAAGTTCAAGAGAAGATGAAAAACTGTAAAAAAACTGGTTCACTATTTGCTTAGCTGTTAGCTGATTAAATGGTTAATCATTGACAATTGAAACTGTTCACAATCGATGGAAAGAGAAGCAAAAAAGTAAATTTTAATCGAAACTCGAAAGTTTCAATTTCAATGTTTTCTGCCATTTGAACTTGAACTTTCATGGAAAACTGTTTTCTCCAAATTTAATTGCTCTTCCTAAATTGGTGAACAATTTGCTGGTTAGTTAAATGTTTATCATTTATCTTTGCTTATGACGAAGACACGAAATCATGGAAAGCATTGGAAACGTTTTACGATTCATTCAAATGTCATCAACAGACATGTTTAAAAACATGTTTTCATCAACACAGCTTGTTGTTATTGACATATAACCAATTAATAGGGTTTAACAGTCAACTTTTTGATTGTGTTAATATTGCATTTATCAAATGATTAAACTGTCTCAATTGTTGTTGATTAACATTGCTGTTATTAAAAAAAGAAGAATTGGAAAAGCATTCGTTTTGCTCGCAAAAAGTGCCTTTTGCCTTTTTTGTTTTTATTCACAGTCGATTAACGGTTCAAGGGTTCAATAGTTTACCTTTGTTGCTTTTCCCGTGTTAAACCCTATTTGCCTCGATTTGAACGTTTGTAAATGTCCAAGTTCGATGGGTATTAATGTTTAGGGGAATGCCATGTGGTAAGGATAAGGAGGAGGAAGACCTAGGGTGGGTGGTAAGGAGATGAACCGATGGTCTATCAATAGACCGTCTGTAGACTGCATCTCACCTCTCGCCTCTTTATCTCCATTTTTATCCCTCTTTTTGTTCCCTTGACTTGCTTTACTCACTCTCCCATTTATCATCACTTTCCTATCTCACTCTTTACCGTTAACCTCTAACCTTACAACATTTGGCATCATTGTCATTGTTGCCCATATTTCAACCTCGAACTGGTTCGATTAACATACTTTAACTCTCTATTTTTTACACTCGCTTTTTTACCAACCATTGACATCTTTCATTCACAAGGTTGAGTAATCTTTATGTCCGTTTAAAATGAAACTTTTATTAGAATCAAATCAACTTTAATAATCAAACTGTAACCACTACTATGACCAATAGTCGCGATCTTGACTCATTTTTTTGGTGCACAACAGCCTGTCAGTCCATTTTTGAGTCAGTCAAGTTACTTACAAGACTTATTGTTAGACTGTTACATAAATACGGCAAATGTACAAACGACTTTTGAAATGAAGTGTTTGCCAGGATGAACCTTTACTACTAAGATTCTGGTTCTTTCAATTGGACTATTTTTTCAATGAAGAATGCAGAATCATTCAATTAACCTTTACATTTATAAAATGAGTACGGATGTTATTGTAATAGTAAATGCTGTAATGCTAATTAGAAGAAATCAATTGATAAAGTTAACTTTATTTATTGAGCTGCACAATTCAAGTTTCTAACATTTTAATGAATTAAACCATTTTTCAATTGAAAAAACATTGAATTATTTAGCAGAATGATAATCAATAGTAACTTGGTCACAATTTTTAGATAATCAAGAGATCCTCAAACAGTTTATGATATTTTCACTTGAAATGTTTCTTGTGATTACCGAATGCATTCTTGAATCTTTCCTTCAAAATTTTTGAAAGCTTTCTCACATTGAGCTTCATGTTAAGTCAGAAATTACTAATGCATAGACTAAAGCAATTCATATTAAAATTGTTGAATCATCTAATGAGCAAAAACTTAATAAAGATCTACAAAACTATCTCAAAAAGCTTTTATAATTAGAACACACCTTTCTAACCTTTTCCAGTATTTTTAAGGCATCATAGCCATGAGATTGACACTTGATTCGCTTAATTTCTTATGGTTTGCTTTGCTGAAAATGATCTCTGATCTTGGTCAACAAGGAAGCAAAGTTTTCAAACAAAATCCCTGATCTCTAAGCCTTTTTCCAACAATTCTGTTTTTGCAAAGTTTACATCAGAATTCAATCATCAGAATCACACCACAGTGCTGGATGAAAGTTTAGAAATCATGTTTTCAGATTAGTAGCTATTATATTTGCATTGAATAATCGATCAATAGCATTGCTTTAAATATCAAATTAGAAATGATATCGTTCTGATGATGCTCTCGATTTGGTCAAATCATAAATTCTCGACAAAAGAAAGTTTTTCCCCAAATTTCTTGCCTCGAATTTGTCTATCAGTTGTGAATTTATGTGCATTTATATAAGTTTTTTTTTCATTGAATTTCATGTTTGCTCAACTTTGCTCATCTTATGCAAATCGTGCAAAATTGATCATTTATAATTTCAGCTGATCAACAGTGCTGCTATAATTTTTCATGTGCATACCTCAATTAAATCAGCAAGTTTTAATTCTTGTTCCTTTTCAATAATAATGCAAAATAGTCCAATGAAGTGCCTTCAATTTAAGTAAAATCTCGAGCTTTGCAAGCTGAAACTGTCATCTACAGAATCAAGCAGATCTAATGATGACAAAAGAAAGTCATGATATCAGCATCATCACCATCATGTAACCGGTGTGTATAAATTAATGGATAATCTGCTTTACAGAATATTCTGAGCAAATACTGTATGATTAAATGATAGTTGATCTTGCAAGCAAACAAATCATAAAATCAAATTAACTGATGGTAACGCGTGAAGGAAAAGGTGAGGATAACATCATAAACTAATTGAAAGGTATGAATGTACAGTTTCATTATATTACATTCCTAAATATAGATGAAACTAATACTTGACTCAATGTTTACTCAAACAATATGAACTTTGTATTAAAACTGATTGAATAAATAAAATAAAAAAATGCAATTTAAAAGAAGCGCCTTCAATCGGCAGCAATTTTTGCTTAAGACAATGGATTGAAAAATGACAAATCATGCAAAAGTACAATGTCTGTGAACCCAAAACTTAACCGGTTAACCCGGTCAACCAGGTTAAAACTGGTTAACCTTTTGTTTTGTTTTATTAACAGTTAGTTAATATCACAATTTTAATAATGATATTAATAATACAATTTATCAGCTGCCCAATGACAAAACAAATCAACCAACGCCATTTACTCCTCTTTCCCTTTTTTTCATATGTATACACAATGAGACAGTTTGCTTAAATTGTTTTCAATTCATCTCCAAACAACTGTGCTATTTCATCTTTCTCACTCTTACCATCATCACATCATCTTCATCCTTCTTATCATCTTTGTCATCCTCATCAGCATCTACAGCAATATATCCATGTAACTCCTTTGGCCTGGGCATTTTACTGTGTTTCTGTCTTATTTGTCTCTTCTGTCTTCTTCCGTTTATATTTCTCTCTCTTTTTTTTATCAGCCCCATCTTCCTCTTTTCCTCTCTCTCTCTCTTTCTATCTTCATTGCCATTCGTTTAAGCACGATGAATACTGTTAACTGCGTGTGTTTACAGCATCTGCTTTCCAGGTGAGTTTCCCTTTCAATTTTCATCTTTTTTTACTCTGTTTTGGGTTATAAACCCAAACTCATATAGAGTGTCAACGCAGACTCAGAGTTAACAGTTTACTTTTCAACAGTTTTTTTCATCTGTTCCAACTTCAGTTTTACTTTTGCTTACCATCTTGATGTGATAACTTTTGCTTTTTAGTCTCTTATATATATTTTTATTATTAAATTATTATTATTTGTCAATTGTTTTTTCTCTCTTCTCTCATCTCACCTTATCCTTCATCATTATCGTGTTCATGTTTAACTTTGACACCTTTTGAGTGTCAATTTATCTTGTCAATCAAATATTGTTGCATATAAAGAAAGAACCATCTATTTCATCTTGATTTCCCTGAGTTTCGTCATAGTTTCAGTTTTCACCTTGATCTCATCGTGTATTTTATTGATTAACAACTTTAATTCATTACTTGTTTGACTTTTTTCTTCTCCCAATATTTGGATCGTTGTTTTTGTTGTGTTGGAAACGTTTGTTTTTCACGCACTTGGAGACAGTTTGGAAAAATATGTTATCCAGTCAGCAACCTGGTAAAAGGATGAAGCGGTCCTATGGAGAGGACATTTCCAGGGATATGGAAGAAGAATGGAAAAATATTTATACGGTAATTGTCTAAATCCAATTGTTAACATTTCCCTCTATTATAAAGCTTTTGGTTGAAATGAGTAGCTGCGAAAAGTTTGCCATACACAATGCAACTCGAGTTTGGTTTATCACGAAAATTGTTGCAATTTTAAAATTTTACCACACTTTCTGCTCTGCAATTCAACCAAGAAATCAACAATCAAAATCTGTGTTGTAGTATCGATTGATATTCACTAGTCAGGAGGCTTTAATTTTCTTATTTCTCAAATTTTCTATGCAGATGCTTAATTGTATTATGGGAATGGTTGAGAAAACAAAACGAGCTTTGGCTATTCTTCAACATCGAAGCTTTGAGTATGCATCAATAAACTCTCTTCCCATTTGGACGCCTCCTGGAACAACGCTTCGTAATCGACTCAATGTTCCTCCACCACCATTGGATCCTTCATCACACTCTGGCCTCGATGTACATGAGCTTAGAATATCCCGTGAACCTTTACTAACCACAATACACTTCGCTAAGTCACCAAACCACCCATCAGAAGTTGATAGAGCGATGGCTTCAGCGGCAGCCCAAGCCGCTGCAGATTCAGCAAGAAGAACAAGATTAACGGGTAACAATCATTTCGGTACGTGAACAATCCCACTCTAGCCTAGCATGATATCGAAACATCGATTTGTAGATGATTAATGGCTTTTAATTCATCATAAATTGTATTGTAGAATCACAAACATCTTGTAATTGATCATTTATTTAATCAGCTCGTCTCTCTTTTCTTTTCATTGAATACAGAAGTTGTTAATGACGCTAAAAGACAGGCAGTTGTTGAACTTCATAAAGCTATGACAGCAGCAGAAAGTAAAGCAAGTGAAATAGTTAATGCTGAGCGAGCCAAAATGGAAAGAATGTTAAGCGAAGCGCGACGTCAAGCTGCTGAAGATGCGATAGCTGTTATGAATCATCAAGAGGATTCTGATGAAGTAAGATTAAGCAAGCCACAAACCTATTCAGTAATTGGCTTTACTAAATATAATGCTTGTAATCAGGCCGAACATTGAGATCTGAATATTTTCAATCGATGGTTGATCCCAAATATCAATAAAATATCAATATGAACAAGAATCGAGTTTTATCATTGAGAAATTTGTTTAGACTTGAGCAAGTTCAGGAATTGTTCAATCTTTACAATTGTTTATCCAAGTTTATTTAGGAAAAAAGTACGTAAACCAGGAAAATTGCAAGTTTTTCTTTTCATTTTCTATCTGTTTAGTTTCATCAAATATCAAGTCCAGAATTGTTTATTCTGAAACATTCATACTATTACAATCTTCATTTCATATTCATTTCGGTTAGTTTTACCAGAACTATTTAGCTAAATGTTTTTGGATCTCAATGAGTAAAATATTGAGAAATAAACAGAGCTAGATATTCAGTTTACCTCCAGTTTAGTGAATGAAATTGTTAGCTATTCATGTATTGTTGAAAAAATTAAAATGTTATAAATCTGAAGCTTTGATTAACGAATTCGTTTTTTTCTTTTTTACAGAATTGTTGGAATTGCGGGAGAAAAGCAAGTGAAACTTGCAGTGGATGTAACATTGCCAGGTATTGTGGGTCTTTTTGTCAGCATAAGGATTGGGAAGGTCATCATAAAGTTTGTGGATCATCAAGTCACCGTGAATCTGGATCAATAATGAATGGTCACCATGTAAATGTAACAAGTTCTCGAAGTGAGGCCAATAGTTCGCCCTCAGCATCACTGCCTACAACAACCATGGACTTGAAAAAGTCAAAAGAATCAAATAATTTAAGTTCAAACGATTCAAACTCAAACGGATCAAGATCTAGTCCCATTGGAAACGGAGTATCAGTCATAAATGGAGATGTTTGTGAACTATCCGAGTGATTTAAAACTGTTTAGGCTCAAAAAATTATATCAATTTATTAAATTATTGTTGGAAGGAAAAGAATTCTGAGGAGGAAGAGGAAAACAAAGAAATGTTGAAAAACCGATCGATTGATGGACATGTTACGCTAAACCAGATATGGGACATCATTATATATTTAAATATATAATTTAAGCTGAAAATTCAACAACATTGAGAGTTAACATCATAATTTAAATCAACAACTAGTCAATGGTTATGAGACAAAACGACGATGGGCTTTAAGCAACCCTTGAATTATTGTGGAGATGATAAACTCTAAACTTTACCTCAAATTGAATGCTCATCGTATCGATGAAACTTCAAAATATCATATTTTTCGTTCATCTTTGATTTATCTCTTCATCATTATTTCTTTCCTTTTCATTGTTCACTTTCTCATTCTATTTCACCAATATGTTTTCATCATTCTGATCTACATCCTCGTTTTTCATCGTTGATCATCTGGACGAATGAAGATATATAACCAGTCTACATCATCTTTTTTTTACCTCATCGCACAATCAAACAGACAATTTGATTCACATTGGTTGACTTTGATTGTTTTACTCACTTTATTGTCTCACTTTCCTCACAAGCCATCAGGATTCAATCTTTCAAGCAAACAAGAAACACTTTCAATTCATCTGATTGTCAACGATGAAAATATCAAGTCAGAATAATATAACACCATCGATTTCAAAATCATGTTATTCTTTGTTTGGTTCAAACAACAACAAAAATAGCTACTATGCTGCTGATCATGTGATCTCAACCTTTTCTCCTATCTTTCTTTTGTATTTTTCATTTCTTCAATTCTCATGAATGTTAAATTTGTTCTAAATTAGATTGTAATCAGAGTAATCTTCTGTATCAAGTGATAATTGTAATTTGACCAAAAAATGAGAGATAATCCTGAACAATCTCACTTGTAAAACCTTTATTGGAAACAAAATGAATACCTTTCCCTAATTTTCAGGCTAGTCAGCTATTGTTTCAAATTATATCTTAGTAGATAAACTAATTATTAAAATTAAAATTGCCAGTTCAATTAACTTTTTTCTTTCACTGCTCATTTCACAAACTTAATCGTAAGCAAAACATAAACCATAAACTAATTTATATTTCAATTAGCTTCTCATTTCAGTTAAAAGTTCGGTTTCGCCATTCAAGCCACTGGTTGACCCAAGAAGCTTTAATTTAGGAAAACCAATAATATCCATCCATGAAACATGATTTACAGCTGCATATTTCACTATTCCATGGAACCATATCGGAAATATTTACAAATCTACAAACTTTGCTCAGGAAAACTGATTACTGATTCCATGCATCAAAAATACTCTGTAAACAGATTTCATTTGAAAATTTGGCGTTTCAGGAATGAAAGCTTAATCGAAACTAAAGATTAAACCAAAATCAAATAGACTGGCAATATCAGTCGGAATAATAGAAATCGTGACTCTGCCAATTTCATGAACCCAAACGAGTTGTTAAACCAAAGGATTTTGAGTCACTGGTTCACATATTCAGGCGAAGATTGGTCATCCAGGCATCCGTCAATTGCTACTGATTGAATTGAACGCACACAATCAGGAAGTGCGAAATCTTATGCTTTATCTATCATCTAATATGCAGTTGATTCAATCATGAAGGCCTCTGGTATACGACTCACACAGAAGTTGACGAAATCTTGATGAAAACCATCTTTTATATTGAAAGTTATCTTAAAACAGTCAATGCTGAGGACAAATGGTTTTCAATTCATTTTTACTATTCTTTTTTTGTTCTCATTTTTTTCAATTCCAATGATTATATTGAACAATTAATATCAAAGAAAGTATAGTGACAGATTCTTCCTGTTGTTACGTTAGTTGGATTATTTGTGGTTCATCTAAAAATTGAGATATTTCATCAAAATTAGCGATGGTTATCATCTACTACCGTTTTCTGCTAAACACTGGAATGTTATCAATGGGAGAGAAGCATTTCTTTAGCAGATGAATGGAAAGATATGAGTTTAAAAAGTATCTTCCAATTAATCAACGAAATCGACACTTCAAGTTGAAATTTTTGGATTAATTTTTGGTCATCTTATGGTTTAGTTCGCTGAAAATGTTCCATTTTGACCAATTTTACAAACTGAAAAACTTTATTAAACAAAATATCGACAATTTTTCAGCACGATGATGATGATGATGTACTCCAACTATGATGTATGGTGTATCAGTCTTGTAGAACTTTTCAATGAATTTCCGATTTCGATCTGAGAAATGCTTGTAGCATAAATAATTGTAAAAATATTGTTTGGCGTCAAAAGGTGCAACAACGGGCATCTTTATAATCGATTTTGTGACATTTGTTTGCATTTTCTTATGTCTTTGAACTGAAAGACAATCCTACCCGGAAGAACCTGCAACTTAAAACCAATTTATAAAAAGTATTAATAAATGGAATCTTCATTCTATGATAATATAGTGCAGCTAGAATTCATAGATTAATTCAAATAAAATCTGGGACAGAATTGCTAATAGTAATCTAATCATCAGAAGACCAAAGAAAAGTTCAAAGTTTGAACATCTTGTTTGCTCAGCTAAATAGCTCTTTTGTAGCTCTTTTGCATCCTTTATTTTCCCCGATTTCCAACCTACAAGGAAAATATACTCATGAGGACTTTTTTTGAGTAAAATGTCTATCAAATTGCAATGTCAAATCTCTGGCCTCAACCGGGTGTCATTACATGCTGTTACCCTCTTTTAGAGATAAGATGGACTCAGGTGATCGATTAAAATCAAAACTTCTATAACTTTCAGTTTTTATTCTTAAGACGAATACTGTTGATTGAATAAAGAACCTAAAATCATATCAAAATCTTTCATTCTCTTGAGTTTTTCATATCCAATCAATACTAATGTACTTCGTCAATGATCATTGACACTAAAAATTTTGTGTTTAAAGCTTTTCTAAAAGATTTTCATTGCACACTTATTATCAAGTACAAATGGCCCTACAATTTGTACTAGTAAATCATAAACAGTTTGATCTAGAAAATCTAAATCTCATTTTCTTGTAATTTCAATTGTCGAAATTAAATTGCTGAATTTGATTCTATAATGAATTTAAAGTTGCAGAGACTGAAATTAGTAGCTTCAAGTAATATTTTGTAATAGCGTTTTCATTTCTCGACTATCAGGTTGAAAAGCATGTAATAAAATGATCCAAAATGAATTGGATAAACTTGTAAGCAATCAATTGTAAATCGTTTCATTGAACACTAAATAAAATCAATTTACCAATCTTAAAGCTGATAAATTATTTGTAAACACATTTTCAAGTGAAAAACAATTAACAAGCTGAGTAAAGCTTAAAACTGAATCAAGGCTAATCGTGTTGTGGTCACATAACAATACTAATTGTCCCAAGTAAATTGGACCCAAATACAATGCTAATTACCGCATAATGGTTGAATAAATGACAGTAATTATCAGTAGTTATTATTTAATTGAAAACCATGTTGAACGCAAAAAGGCAGTAAAAGTAAAATGAATGGAAACAAACAAATGGTTACAAAAACGGAGTAAAATTGAACTCTAATTATAAATGTAAATGTTAATAAGTTTTGATTATTTCAATACAGTTACAAGTTAATAAGGTTGACTTGAAATTAAAACACAAAATGATTAAAAATATAGCTGAGAAAAAAAAGATTTTGTTGAAATAGCAAAATTACCGCAAAGGTAGAAAAATGTTTCCAAGTAAAATGGTTTAGACATGCAAAAGCGTGTTAACCCAAAGTCTAGTTGTTGACCAAAGTGACCATTTCAAGTCGCAAATGATTAACAATTAGCTCTAAAATGGCAAACCCTTCAGCTGGAAACATTAAAATGATCCTTTTTAATTATGGATAGTTTCCTTGTTTCATCAATGGACACAATCAGACTTGTAATGAGCAAAGGAAAGAGTAATAGCGATTCCCACACACCTTAACATTAAATGCAAACAATTGGCTTTTCGCATTCAATCAGGTTGGTAATTTAATTAAACCAGTGTTGAGAGATGTTGATAATGATGATGACAAATGATGAGAGGAAATGATGTTGATGAAAGTACAACAAATACAGGTAAGAAATAAAAGGAGCGTCTTGATTGCTACTGTAAAAAGGTTTTTGTGAGATGGAGGTTTTTAAGGTTAACCATTGAAATTGTGATTATGGTTTTCGACCATCAAATTAAATATGCTAACGATGTTAATTATATTGACTACATTCAACGGCGCCCTTCAACTTAATTATACATCTTATTCTTATCAAATTATTCATATTAAGTGACTATTGTGTCCTCTTTTTGATTCTAGATGGTGAGTTAATTGCGGTTTATTTAAGCTCATTTGGTCTTCTTCTTTGCCTGCTACTTCTGGTAATTCAATGCAAGAAAATTTGATTAACAAGAAACTGGAAAAGTTAAACATTAACGGACATTAACCTCATTTACTTATAAACTTGTTGAATGGTTATAATTAAGGGAATCATTGATGGTTGACTGATGATGCCTTTAACAAATAATAATAATGATAATATTCATTATTAATATGGCTGGTAATGTTAACTTGGAAAGGTAAACAAGAAGACAATTCATTAAACTCATTGACTTCACTTTCAGTCTGTCAATACCTTTTCTGTCCTTTCCTCATGTCGCTTTTTATGCCATCTCTGACCCATCTCTTGGATTAAATGGTTGAAATTGAAAATAAATTTCCCTTTCTTTTTTTCAATTACAACTCAATTAATACATTAATTAATCGTGATTCATTAGATTGTAAAAGTATGAAAATGGAGGAAAGTTGAAATTGGTGGGATGAACCAAGGAACCTTAATAATTGTGGTAAAGGTAATTAATCTTTGTTCCTATATCCAGTTGCATCTGCGGACGGTTCTCAATTCTCATGGGATAATTAACTCTGTTAAGAATCATGACAAGCTGATTGACCAAGGTTCTGTGTTGGCTTGTTTTTGATTTGGTCAACGGTTGAAATTTGTTGATTAACTTTAGATAGCTAAAGAGCATCCATTGAGGTAATGAAATCAGTAATAGGCATTGGTTTGCATCTCCATGTTGAAACAAGGAAAGTCGTCCGAGTTTCACCGCACCAATGGCAATGATTTATGAGTTGCAACTGAAATGAGTGAGTTTCCATCCAGTCTACACAATTAGAGTTAGTTTAAGTATCGATTAACACCAAGTGAATCTTTGTTTCAAGAGTATTTATCCAATTATCTCGTTGATCCATCTTAACTCTGTGTATATTCCGTAATGAAGCTTTTGTACTCGCTATTATGGGCCGGATGGCTATCCCTGGTTGTCCAATGTTCAGCTGACGATGATAGTGGTAATGTTGACCAGGCTGATCCAGGTAAATCTAAAGAGGAAAGAGAGTCAAAGGAAATGGAAGCTTTTATGAAATTAATGATTAAAAGTAGTCAAAAACATTTAAAACGTATGATTGAGACGCTTGATATTGGATCAATTGCTGGTACCAAATGTAACTCTTCTTGGCATCAGTTTATGGCTGAGAACGAATTAAGTCCCGAAAGATTTTCAAGTAAGCCTACCTGTTCATTTAAAGAAAAAGGTGTTTAATCCATTTTCAATCCATTTTGTAGCCATCATGGAAGATTACAAATCTGGAAATCATGAAAAAATAATCAAACTTGTGAGACCAGAGCAATGTTTGACCAATCAAAATGGCCAATTTTGTCAAGTCGACCATTTAACCAATATAACCATGAAATCCAAGTCAAGGTAAGCATAAAATAAGATGACCATTTGATTAAACTTTAAGCAAAACACAAGATAAAATTAATTAACATCTAAAACATCTTATTTTCAATGCAACACAAAAAAAGCCGTTAATGTTTACAAGTTTAAAGTTTAATCAATAGATGTCGCTATTGATTAGCTACGGTCAATCAATTTTTGTAAATATTTTGTTTCGTTAATTCACTATTTATTATTGTTTTTTTTTCATTTATTTATTCATGTCTAGAGTTTTTGATGTCACATATGCCCTGTGTTACCCTAGAGGCTGCTCAACTGAAGATTTGAATTCAATCATGTCTACGATAACAGACTCTTATAAAGGATCGATGTTTAAAGTCAAGTTAAATATCGTTAAATGTATAACCTCAATGGATAATGTGACAAAAATGGAGATTGAAACAGCCCAGAAAATGATGGCCAAAATAGCGAGTAGCTCCAATCAAACCATGGACTTTTCTTCATTCAAGTTACCTGGTTCAACATCGATGTTTAATCAACCCATGCCAAGTGCAACCAATTTACCCAAATTTCCATTGAATATGCCACAAGAGATTCCCGTATTTTCCTTTGATCCCAACTTCTCAAACCAATTTTCAACATCCAAGCCTCCTTCATCTTATCAACCCATTCTTCCTCCTCCTCTTCTTCAACCGCCCCCTTCAAAATCACCGTCCTCTTCCACCTCCTCACCACTGCCTTCAACTATAAATGACCCTTTTATAACGAAGCCATCAACAGGAGAAGCAGTTCTAGAGAAACCAGCTCCATCACCAGTAATTACACCTCACTCCGCATTCAAATGGCCAGAAAATGAACCAGATGAAACCGAAGGAGCAAATCCACTTCATTTCCCTGAAATCTTCTACTCAGACGAAACAACTGAATCTAAACCACCAACAACCTCCAGTCCATTGGATATCACACGATATGATGAAACACAACTACGTAAAATGATTCCTGGCTTAATATTACCCGGCGAGGTAAACACACCAACATAAAGATCCAGCAATGGTTAACATGGCACATAAACTCATTATTTTTCACCCATTTTTCTGATGAAACGCAATCTGTCCAGGATGGCAAAGGCAAACCTCGCTAGTTGATATTGCAAGCCAATACGTTGATGAGGAAACCAACAAGTTTTAATACCATATTACAATAGACAAGGAAAAGAGGAGAAATAATGAAATTGACTAACAAGAAAAGCGATTAAACCATTTTGACGAGTTGTAATTAACGCACCTTTTATTACCCTGATTGTACCTAAGATTATCTGAGTTGCTCAGGTAAAGAAAGTAAATTATTTTACAATTACCTTACCGTGTGTCACTCAATCTTTCCCATGTAAATAGACAATAAAAAGGCCCGGCATTAAAAGGTTGATCTGTTTACAGTTACAATAAGCTACCAGTTTTCAAATGTTATATAAAAACAAAAGAAGCAGAGAAAGAAAGGGAAAAAAGTAAAGGCAGCAAAAAAAAACATCGATAATGAACCCAAAAACATAAAGAGCAGCCCAAGAAACACAAGATGAATGAAAAGCCTCTCAAGGGTAAGTTAAATTTACCCATTGTGATAGCCAAATTTGATGGTTGATTGAGTGGAACTGGGTAAAAGTATAAAAGGTAATAACATCAAATGCATTATACACAATATAATGTAATATAAATAAATAAAAAGGTAACAAATGAAGGAACCATAAAAAAGAGGTAAAATTGTGAGGAAAAGGCCCAAAAAAAGAGAGCAAGAAATGGAAACTCAATTGAAAGTCATTTTTGTTTGTTTACCATTTTATTTGTTGTCTTAACTTTTTTTGTTTCAGTTAAATATCATTATTATTATAATATCACAAAAAAAACATCGCACCTATATACAGGTAAGTTTGAAATACACATTCAAATAAATTAATAACATTAATTATTGACAGAGAAGGATGATAAAAAAAGGAAATGAAAGGGGAAAAGGTGAGTTGAGAAAAAAAAAGAAGAGAAGAAATATTTTCAGGCAAATTAAAAGGTAAATTGTTTGTTTCATATTTTGTTGTTGTATGTCATTTGTATCTGTATTTATATATTTATATTTGTGTTGTTTTGCCTGATGATTAAAACGGTTTCCAGAAACTAAGAGGAAAAGTGATGATGATGATGAGAAGAAAAGAATTGACTGAAAATTTTTTGTTTCTCTCTCTTCTCTTAAGCACGCATTTTAATGTTGGGAATGGCGCGTGCGATTGAACCAGGTAACGAGCAGCCTTACAGATGGACCATTGTGGGAGAAGAAGGAGGAGAAGAGGAGGAAAGGGGAGGTGAAGAGAGACACGCACACGGCACGTTATAAGGTTTGTTGTCTTTGAGGAACCAAAATGCAGAAATATTAGGACATTTCCTTTCCTTTGCTCTCCTTGTTTTTATTGCTTTCTTTGGGTCAGAACTTTTGTTTTGATATTTTGTTTTGTTGCTTTTTTTTATTCAGTTTCCGGAAATTTGGATCACTTTGGCTTTTTTTTTACTTGAAACTTCAACTTGGAACTTTGGATCATTTTTTATTGCTTGCGTTTTCACATTTTCCCTGAATTTGCCTTTTCTGTTTTGCACCATTCTTTTGATTCCATTGGATTCATTGGTTGGCTTTCCTCTGCTGACTTGGTTTTTGACATCACTAAAGGTCTCTTCATTTTGAGCAGTAAAAGCTTGATTATGGCTTGTGCTCGGTTATCCTGACCACTAGACAACGCTGGATTTTGTTTCAAAGGTGGTGACGATGGTTTGCGCCTCAAACTATTGATAATGATGATCATGATGATTATGATGATGATAATGAGAATTTTTTTGCTTGTTCATCTTGTCTTGCCGGGGATGAATTAAGATGGATGATTGAATCTATCCAAGGGTAGCTGTTAATTGAGAAATAATTAGTGGTTTGCAATTTAATTTGTGGCCAGTAAAAGCAAAACAGATGAATTGATGAATGTTTTCAATTTTGTTTTGTGTTGGGTTAACGAGAGTAGAAGCAAAAAAGTTACATTTCAGGACAATGAATAAATATTGGGATGATATTTATTGAGAGTGGGTTGAGAGGTTCATGATTTTTGCTTGTAAAAGGAAGTTAACCAACAACAATAAAGCCAAATAATCAAGGTTACTCTGTAAGTTTAAACACTCTTAATCAACTTGAAACCCTAAGGGCGTAAGCCATCGATATTGTGTTTTTTGTTGCTCGTTTGAAAGTCACGATGAGTCGATGAGTTTTAAATGCAAAAAATGATTGACTTTTTCATCATCATCATCAGCTTGTAGAGACTTCGATGCAGCAAAAAAAACAAGCAAAATTTGATGGCAAACTGTATTAACCTCGAGTAGTTTAATTATTATCAAAAGACAGAGGAAGGTAAAAAAATTGCGCTTTTTTGCTGCTCTTAAACAAGAAAACAAAAAAGATGCTTTTGATGCGTGTTTGATGAATGAGATGAAAAATGCATGCAAAGAGTAAAATCTCATCACAACCATCAACACAATCTTGAGGTGATCATGAAACGGGAAACTGGACAATTTAGGAATGTTACAGTTGATTATGTAAGGCTATTAGGTAAAGGTGAAAAGTACGAGTTGGAAGCTGCCCTTTACCCTGGCTATTATTGTTGTGGGCGTTTTGATGATCAAGATTCAAGGAAAATGTATGAATATAAAGAGAAGAGGAAAATGTTGAACAGAAAAAAGTAAAAACAACTCAAAGTGATGCAAACAAGATCAGGGATGTTTTACTTTGGGAGGTAAACAGGGAATGAATTGGTTCTCATAAATTACATAACCTCTGTTTAAGAGATGAAGATGGGCTTAGGTGGATCAATTCAATAAGATTGATCGGCCTTTTGTTGTTTATATCATCATCATCATCATCATTATCATCATCGATTTCTTTTGTTTTATTCTGTAAACTAATTTACTTTCAAATTATAAGCCATCAAAAAGATGGAGAAGCAGCGCAAAGTATGAAAATATGATGATCATGTTGATGATAAAATTGAGATTCAATAAGCCTTGAGGCCTGGGAAGGTCATTATGAATCATTTTTACATTGTTGGCCTTTTAATTTGCAAAAATCAAGAAACTCTACTCAAGAAGGAACCTCAATTAAATTGAAAACAAACACACAAATTGATGGGTAAACTTACGCAAATGAGATCGCCAGTGGCCTATGTTTTCCACGCTCCAACCCTGAATAGAGAAGAGAGAAATTTTTTTAGAATTGAAATTTCGATTATTGATGACTTGATGGTTGGACTAATATTGCTTGTTGACATGATTCTGATGAAGATGTTGAATCTGATTTGGTCTCATGAAAGTTGCTCTTCTTTTTTGTTTTAATGATAGACTTTACATTCAAAGTGAAAAGATGAGTTGATGAGACAATGATGAAGGTTTACGGTGAGGATAAAGATGAGGATGAAGAGGAGGAGGTGGATGAGGAGGAGAAGGTGGAAGATGATCACAAGATAATGACAGGATTGTGAATCGGTGAGAAAGCAAAAGGTATGGACGCAAAGGTAAAAACCATGGGAAGTTGTATTTATATTTAGATAGACATTTATGTATGTATTACATTATTAATACATTGAATTGTAAAATAATGATAAATGGCAAGAGCTGAATAAGTGAGTCGCACTCTCTCTGCCTTGTCTTAACGAGATTTTAATGAGAGTTGAAAGTTGAAAGACTCATTGAAGGTAATCGGTTGATGATGATGATGATGATGGTGAAGGTAAAAGGAGGACAATTTTAGAGCAATGGTTGGTGTTGTTGGTGGGAGTCGACGGTGCAAAGAAATGCATGATTTACCTGGATAAATGGACCTAAGAGAGTTGATCCCCAATAAGGTTAATCAATGAAGAAACATTTCCATTTTTCCTTCTTCTTCTTCTCTTCTCTATTCAATAAAAACCAGGGTAAAAATGTTTTGCTTTTTTTTCTCACTCAAATCATCCAACATATCATCATCATCATCAAGAGCAATGTTTATAATCAACAGGAAATACAATAAACAAGCAAACATCATTTAACTGACAATATTTACTTTACCGTAACTTTTCTTGTTCTGGTTTGAGCACAATTTGAATGAAAATAAAAACCATGAATTAACCTTTTCTTTTCGTCTAATCAATTGTACAGTTTAACTGATAATCAACACAATCAATAGAGCTGCTTCAACAATTATTAACTCTATCAATTGGCTAACTCTATGAAATGATCTCAACAAATCAATAAGTTGATAAGTTTATTCAACCTTTTTTTTGCCGTTCAAATGATATCCACAATTTTCAAGTTAAATCCCTTTTAAATTGATAAATTGCAATTGATTGTCAAGTTGAAAAATTTGACAAAAAATGTTTTCTCGCTGACTAAAGAAGAGGCTGACAAAGTCATTTTTTTCATCCAGGAAGGTGCACTTGATAGGATTGAAAATGATGACTTGTTAGCCAAGTGACTTTACGAACATGAAAATAATTAAATTTTTGTTTTCTTTAAGATTCAACTCAAGATTGACAATGGACTATGAAACAGGTGTAATAATTAATTAATTAAGAGTACAATCGAAGGTCAATTTATGTGCAAACCCGTTCCCATGTTTAAGAAAAATTCATTATCAAGAGAAAAATGAAAACCTAAGCATGAATAATCTTGCTATATGCTCATTTAATGTATGATGAGTATTAATAAATTTACAATTTTACGCTGTTTTTTCTTCTTCTCATCATTACCAAGAGGTCATTTAACAGCTGTATATTGAGATGATTTGCTTTGTACTTTTCCGATCATTGAGCCTTTTACTTACGAGATTAACAGAGCCCATTGATCCTGCACAGTTGCCCTTGTCGGGTCACAAGGGCAACTGATCCAGGTTATCATAATCATTGTAAGTATTGCAATCATAGCAATACTTTACATTGATTAGATGCTAAAAACAAATGCAAATGATTAATTGATTGAAAAGTAAAATTAAATTCGGGTTTCAATCAAAATTTCTCGCTAGGACTAGTTATCAATTTGAAATCTGGAAAAGGCTAGTTTAAGTTTTAATCAGTTCTTGTAGTACCATGGGATTTTACTCAATCAATTATCCGTAATCAATCGTGACTGGAAGAAGCTCAATTTTGCTCTAATTTTTTAATAATTAACTGATAGGTAAGGTAAGAAAAGTGAAAATCAATTTTCTTTTACCTCATAAATAAAGGTTTCTCATTGCATTAATTATCGTATCATGTCAACAGCATGATGAGAAGATCAACTGTTGCTATGGTGATGAAGATGAGATGAAAACATAGCAACCATATTGGTGGCAGAAGAGGCAAATAAAGGTTAAATGAGGGATAAACTTACCTCAATTGGATTGATATCGGTTGAACCATAAAGGGAACCTGAACCATAAGTGGACATTGACATTGGTACTTTACCCGAACTTGGACTGACAGCCATTGACGGATGATGAGGTGAAAGTGGTTTTATATTTGAAATTGAACCATTCCATTTACAGCTAACTACAGGTGATGAAGATTTATGGATAAGAAGTGATTCACTAATGGATGAAGATGAATATTTATTTCCATTATTGTTGTTGTTATTGGAGGAGTTGTTGTTATTACTATTGTGGTTGATGGTTGGTGATGAAGATGATGAAGATGATGAGGTTGTTGTTGTTGTTGTAGTTGTATTACAAGTACGGTTCCACATTAAAACACTTGATCGAGATTGATCGGCATTCATTGATGAGTTGACTGGATGATTCAATGGTGAGGCTGAAGTAAATGCTGAACCAGGGATGGACGGTGTTGACGCAGTTGAACCTGAACCTGTTTCCATTGAGGAAGATGGCGGTGAACCATTTAAATTGGTGTTACTCAACGGATGGGGAAGACTATTTTTGTGCTTAATAACGGAAATACAATCGGTATTGGATGAGGTGGATGAAGATGAGGATGAATTTGAAGGTAGCCCAAAGCCAAATGAGTTGCTTCGATGGCAGGTCAATTCGGGTGAAAGTTTATTACCATTTTCATTGGGAACCGAAGAGAGTAAAGGTTGAATGGAAGAAGCAGCAACAGCCACAGCCATTGCAGAGGCACTCCCATGACCCATTAAACCTGTCGATGAGTTGGCACCCGATGAGGAAAGGTAACTGTCACAGCATGATTTGTTTCCAATGGAGGATCGGGTTGAAGACGAGTTGCCCATTGAATCACTTGAAGCATATTTAATCTCATTTGGTGGTGTCAGTTGACAGTCAAAGGTTGACCGTCCCGTTGACCGATGGTCAAGAAACCCATTGGTGGGATACTGGGCTGCTGCCACGGCGGCAGCTGAATGATAGTCGGGATAGTAAGTGGTCAGTGCATGACGAGAATAGTGTAGGAAAGAGTCGGGTGCTAGAAAGGAACGTGGATTGTGGTCTATGGCCGCAGCGGCAGTGAATAGATTCTGAGGCATTCCATAGGCGGCGGCGGCTGCGGCTGTGGACAAGTTCATGTTTTCCGTTGCATGACTGTAAGGATAGACTGGCGATGAAACGGGACCCGAACCCGGATGGTGGTGAGGGTGATGCGGATGATGGTGATGAGGGTGGGAATGGTGTGGATGGTGTGGATGGTGGTGCGGATGATGATGAGTGTGAGCGTGTGGATGATGATTAGGATACACTGATGGGTTTGTTGCAGCCGCATGAGCTGCGGCCGCTGCAGCAGCTGCATTAGCGGCCTGAGCTGCCGCTGCTGCTGCTGCCGACATTGCACCGGTTGGTGACAATTCACTGAATGGCGGAGTGTAAACTCCACCACCTTCATCGGAACCTGTCAATGATTTACGCTTTGAATTGGAACGACAATTTGTTATTAGATCACGAATTTGAGACTTGTAACGTCGATTGCGTTGGCAACGAAGCACAAAATCACTGTCAGACAAGAAACCTGAACGATCGTTGATCGCTCCAAGGCCTCCGTCTAAATAAGTTACTTTGAAATCCATTGTCCGTTTACCTAAAAGATCTCGACCTTCTTCCTCCCTGTTGGACCACAAAATTAATGCAAATTAAAATTTCGATAAAAAACATTTAATCTGATTTTGACCGTCAAAACCAGGCAAAGGAAAAGGTAAAAGTTATCTTAAACTTACATTAATGGTTTATGAGTACAAAGGATAAAATCAGGTTTACTATTTTTATATACAAGTCGTGCGCTTGTTTGAAGCCATTGCCATTTATTGTCTTTACTAATCAAGCGATATGCAATTAACCCTGATGCGCCTGTTTTAAGAACTGAAAACATTCGAGAAACAAAAAGAAAATAATTAATTTTAATCTTTTGAAACTCGAAAAGATTCATCTGATGAGATTTGAATTTTAAGTTTGAACTTACGTTCTTGATGAGCACTTGCAACATACGCAAGATCATCAAAGTGGACTAGATCATATACACCTTTATTGGACATTTCCGTATCAGAATAACCGAGCAACTGTTTTCCCCTTTGATCCATTGAAACCAGTGAAAGGTCAAGTTTATGTTTAGATTTGAACATTGAGTCTTTTTGAGGCATTTCAAGTAACGATGGAGGACCAAACGGAGTACAAACGGCAAACAATGCCAACGGTGGGCTTTCCGTCTTATGATTTTGTCCATGAAGTACCTTGATTCGACCTCTAATATCCAATCTCTGAAGCAAAAGAAAACAAAAAACATTAAAAAATGACTTCCACAAACGAACACAAAAACAAGGCAAAACCTCAAAAAAAAACATTTGATTGTTACGTGTTGACCATTTATAATCAACTTGAAAGCGAAACAAAAAGCCAACCAATAATAATGATTCAATAAAAAAACCATTAAGAAGGTTAATTAACAGTAAAAAAAATTATGTAAACCACAATTTAATTGGCAAATAGTTGAAGTGAAAGTCAATCAAACCTGGACAAGAGCAAAATTAATGACATTGACAGCAATTTGCGGTTTCAATTAGGATAATAATAATGAAAGGTGTTAAACAAGGCAAGAGAATCACAAATCAAAAAAAAAGTTGATTGCAAAGCTCGATGAGCAGCAAAAAGCCAAAGGTACAGAAAAAAGCAATTATTTCAATTTCAATGATTAGTTCATTTTGGAAACATGATTAAAGTTGAACATCTTTTGGCCCAACAAAACCATTAGAACCTCTTGGATTGACCTTTGTTGCCCTTTATTACACTTTTGGTGTTACCTTTAAAAATACTGGTAAACATTATTCGCCCTGCAGCATTGTTTACCAAAACAACGGACAAGAGAGATTCACTTTTTCCAACAATTTGCTTCTGAGGCAAAGTCAACTCACGCAGTTGAACTACTGCGGCCAATGGTCACTTCTCATCATTGCTTCTCAAGTCATTTACAGACTTGCCTTTTGGATGACACTTTTCACATATAATGTGATTTATAAGCAACTAATTTTGAATGGCAACCGCAACACCAAATGAGTCAATGAAACAAGTTTAAACGTTTTTTGTCTTTACGCGCTTTTTATTGTACTTTTTACAGTTTGGGCCACTTTTGCATTTGCTTTTGATGCAAGGAATTCATTCTAATAAATTGCTCATCTCCGCCTTAATTGTTGTTAATTACCTTGTCCACTTTTTTTGTTGTTCACTTACGACTAAATTGTTGTTGTGATGCAAAGATAATCAGGTAGAAACATCTTTACCTGAACATTAAATTGATTAATGATTTGCATTTTGCTTTCTGTTTTTTTTGCTCTTTTCTTCATCATCATCATGTTGTGCTGTAACATCATCAAAGTTTGAGTCAATTTTTAACAGATGAGTGGCTTCTAAAAACTGTTATTAAATCTCACCGGTTACATCAATTTCCTGAGCCAAGCAAGAGAAAAGACTATTTTTGTTTGTCATAAATTTTATTTCATTTTTTCGATTAAATGAGCATTATTTTTGTTCGCACATTAAGTTTCAAAGCTGGTGAAGGAAGGCAACAAACTTGACAAAAGATGGCCAATTTGTCTAGAGACAAGAGTGTAAATTATTTTGACAGGTTTGCAGGTTCAACACATTTTGCATTATTTTAGTAAAACAAAAAAGTTGATTGAATAAGAAAATTCGTTTAACCATTGGACGATTAAAAGTAAACAAACTTGATTCTCATGTTGAATCACAAACAGCTGACAAGGGAACGTCATGAGTTACCCGAGACCGAGTAATTCATTAGGTAGAAGATGATGAATTATGATGAACATTGAATGCTTAAAAGTGAGTTGGAGGCTCATTAGAGGAGTAAGGATAACTAGGGTTTTGGGTTCGAGTCTCGTTCATTTTATAATTTTATATTCTGCAAATTGATTCATTGTGTGACACCTACAAAGTATCTCATTGGAATCGGTCTCGGTCAACTCATGTTATCTTGAGTCAAATAGTTGGGTTACTTTGTTGGGTTATAGCATTGATAAAATGCTATTTGATATCACAAGTTACTCATGACTGCGCACAGCCAATGAACAGTGTTGATCTAGATCTTTACGAGATGCTCATTGTCAGACTCAATGTCGACCAAAGAGGAAGAAGAATCAACTTTTTCTTGGACTTCCATTTGAGAGTCAAATTGAAATTACAAGTTGACTATGTAGATCAAGGACATAAGATGACCAATATAAAAGTCCATTTGTTTTTCAGATAGTCTATCCAGTGTCATTGTTTGCTAAAAGGTATCATTTGATTAGAAACGCAATTCTTGCAAATGTACTTGAATAACCTTGATCTGAAGAGATGAACAAAATATTTAGAAAGATTTGCCATTTTGATTCATTTCCTTCATGATGGTGAGGGTGATGATAATGATGTGAGAAGGAAGAGGATGAAAAATTGATGGATGATTGAACATCAGATAATAGCTTTTACTACACTTTTACAGATTATTATTGTTATGGACAATGAGAGAAGCAATGAAACAAGGGAAAAGATGAAAGCAGAAAAAGTAAATCAAAAGTGTTCCAAATTAGAATGATGATGATGAACGGAATGGAATGGAATGGATTCAAGATGGAAAATATTTGATCAAAATCAACCTTCAGATACAACAGAATCAATCGTTGAAAATTCTGATTACTGCTCAAGAAACACAAAATTGATCTTGCATGGAAGTTCAAATTTATCTTAGAACTTGAGAAAATTTATAAAAAAAATTAAAAAGGAAAAGTAAAGGACAATTGGAATCGGGATTTTCCAAGGATTCCGAATAATTACAAACTCTATTTCAGGCTGCCAAAGTTTCGAACCAAAAGAATTTCTGCTTTCGATCGACATTAAAATCCATTTCTTTATTCAATTTACTGGTTTCAATCATTTCAATGATCAATTCATTTCAAAAAATGTTATTCGATTTCACTTTTTCACGTTCGATTTTCCGGCTTTTCCCATGTTTTTCAATGTTTCAATGAATCAACATTAATTTATTCACTGATTAATTTGACAAAACGATTGTTGATAAATTGCTTGAAATGCATGAATGAGTAAACTCAACAATTGTAACTAATTTTGTTGTCTTTTTGCTCTTCTCTGGATTTGTTAATAATAAATTTCATTAATTTATAATAACTACTAAATCAACATCCTAATCACGTTTAAATTACAATTGAATTGGCACATTGTTATTCAGTTGTAATGATAATAGTCAATCTTTAATTAATATCTGGACAAGTTGGACTGAATGAGAGAAACACAAATGATTGAAAATGAAACATTGTTAACCAGCAAACTGATTATTATGATTACAATTAATGGTGAATTAATTGATGGTAAAAAGCGCAAAGCGCAGCGAGAAAACGAGAAAAAATGTAAAATTTACTTTTCCATTTACAAGTTGATATTAATTGATATGAAAATGTAGAAAATCTGTTGACTATGAAATGAACAAGAAAAAGATAAATGAAGGTAAAAATGAAAATAATTGAAATTGAATTGCATCAATCAATCATTGAAAGTTGGGGTTAAACTGACAACATCAGTAAAGGTAAAAAGGTAATCAACAGCATTCAAACCATGTAATTGTAATGCAAAGCTTTCAACCATTTGGGAACAGTTTTAATCAACAAAGACAATTACAACTAGCAATTAACATCAATCCAAAGAGATTCGTCATTTTTCCCTTCTCTTTACTTCTCTGTCTGTTTGGTGTAATATTGCATATTAATTTCATGTTTCTTGTTGCCACATTAAAACAACTAATCAAGATAATTCATATTCATCATCGATGCAGAAAAATTTAAATGCAATAGTTGATTCGAAAAGGCGAAATTAATTTACTCTGTTTGCACATGTTGACTGTTGATTGCAATTTCAATATGCTAATTATTAGTTTGTTTGTCAATCCAAATCAAGTTTGACTTCGAGTTGACTTTCGATAAAACATATTTTCAGATTGAGATTGAAGTCACCGAGTATTGATGAGAATTTTTAGAAAAAATTTTGCGACGAATTTTTGAATCAATATTATTTCGAGACTCAATCGATACTGTTTTGAAGTTCAAGTATCCTTCAGTTAGAGGTTGGTTTTGAGAAAACTCGTGTATCTTCCTAATGATACAAGTTATCGACTTGAAACAAACATCAACCAGGGCAGAAAGCATAGCGTTTCAAAAACAAACTTCGAATGTCGGGAATATTTTGATGATGGTTGTATATTGCTATTGCTTCGATTGGGAAAAGCGTCAAGAAACATCTCAGAGTGTAGATATTTTGAAGAAATCGATGTTAAAAATTGTTCGAACTCTTTTTTAAAGTTGATCGGCTTAGTCTACCTGGTTAGGGTTACTGTGATTGTCGGGTTGTTGTACTGACAACCCGACAATCACAGTAACAGTTGTTGTGAGTTATTGTTTAAATCTGTAATCGATTGTTGTGAATGTTTGTACAGGAAGTCATTGAAGGTTCGATTGAGAGATTTTGAAGTTGATTATCGGCGTTTGCAAATGAAAAATATCAATTACCATCAATTAGCAAATGGAAATGAAATTTTTATCCAATTTTTCTCGTTCTTTGGCCAAGTCAAGCAGGCGCAACCACATAGATCTAAGATTATAATGATGATTGTGTTTTACCTTTGCATCTGTCAGGAGGGTGAATACCCATGCTCAAAGAGCCATGGAAAGTCCAAAGGGAAGAAGAAGAAGAAGAAGAAAAAATTAATTGGAAAATACTTTTTTCTTCTTTTTCTTCAGTTTCAATGGAACTAGATTTTTTGTTGTTTCAAGAATAAGAAAAGGTAATTATGATTCTCTCCAATGATTTGCGTGATTATCATGGTAAGGTTATTTTAACAATGGAAGAGAGAAATTAAAAGAAGATGATGACAAAGATGAAGATAAAGGTAAGTGTAATAATGAATTGGATGAGGTTTATGGAAAACAGAACAAGTGAAAAAAAAAGTTAAGGTAATAATTGAATGATTTTCAGGTGATTACAATTGAAAAAAGTGAACAAGAGAATCAAATGTTCCCAAATGAACAATCAACTGGAACTTTTGCTCAGCTTTCTTCCAAATTCATATTCAGTTCCAACTGACAACAATTAATCCTTGAAAGTTCAACATTGAATAATTTGTATCAAGAACGTTGTGAGTTGAAAGGTAAGAAATGATCTCGGAAAATGTAATGACTGAACAATCTGTAAAGATAATCATGTTGGAATCTGTGAGGATAAACATGCCAAAAGACGATTGAATTTACAACAATTGTTGTCGTTAACAAGGTGAGATATACGCAAGGTTAGACTTTGGTGTTTCCGTCCTTGTTTGGCCTTCTTTATCAACTCATTAATTTGTCTATCAAATTCATCTAATTGTTACCTTTTTCTTGACACCTAGGCTGATGAAGATGATAATGATGATGATAAAGATTGTAATGATTGCAATAATTGTAAAAGAGAAACCATGAAAAATTGAAATACAAACTCGTGACAAGAAAGTTTCCATCCATTGAATCATCAATTTTACCTGGAAAATGAGACAATTTCATTTCAACGACACCTAATTGTGAGATAATTTAACCATATTCTTGTTCATAATGTTAACCATTTAATCACAATTGGATTGGCCAATGTTGAACAGTCGACATTTGCCTTTTCAATTGAAAAGTCAACTTTCAGTTTACTCTATTGTCAAGTAATTGTTGACAGATGAATTGATTTGCCTTTTGCTATTCAGACAAGAAGGGCTTTTTAGTTTGAAAATTGGCCTGTAATGTCAATAAATAATCAATTTAGTGAAACTTCATGTTCCCTTCAACAAAACCTCAAAATCCCTGTAGACTGCGATTTGCGTAATTTATTCATTAGTCAATGATTTGCAAACCATTTCAGATCAAGTGGACAAAGTTGAGGACAAAGCATTAATTTTTCAAGAGTCGAGTCTAATTTACCAAAGCAAAGATGCTAATCTAATAACAAATGTCGAGCAAATTTTCAGCACATTCATCAAGACGAATCAAAATAAATAATTACTGACCTTCAACACTGAAAATCTTGAAAATGGAACAAAAATTTTACGGAAAAAAGTCAATCACGAAGTCTCAAAATTCATCTGAAATGTTTCTTTCTTTTGTCAACTTGGATCTTGGTTTTGAAACAGATCATAAAAGTATATTTTTCTAAGAATTCCAACAGATAATTCCAATTCTATTTGAGGTAAAATAATCTCGACCCGAACATCGAAATTGGAAAAAAAGTTCTAGACCGAAATTCAGCAACTCGCATCATTTGAATTTTGTGACAAAGTCCAAGTCATTCCATTCCAATTCCTAAAAGTCAACAAGAATTTTGCTCGATTATCTTCGAATCGAGAATTGACAATTTTTGGCCCTTTCATCGATCGACCTTATCTATTAATCGATTAGTATTGAATTTCAAGAGATGATTTGCAACTCGATAAACTTTCAATTTACAAGTGGACCAATTATCTTCAATTTACCCTGTGTGTCTCTATAAGCAGCAAATTATCATGTTCATTCTGTTAATGAGTAAAGATAATCGTTACTCAGGTTTACCTAAAGGACCATTTATTATGTTATGGGTTGACCTTTTTATTCACGTTTCTGCTTTACTCCAAGCCATTTCAATCCAAATCAATGTTATAGATTTAAATGTTGGTATTAATGAGCATTGTGATAATAAATGAATGAATAAATGTTGAATGAGAAATAATTTGTTGCTTTTGTTTCCCTCTTCCCTCTCTCCTATCCACCATTTTGATCAATCTAATCACATTTCTCATCAAGCTAATTGCATTTCAGTTACATGATATATCCTACATGATTAACCAATTGTAATGAACCTTTTGTACAACTTTTACAATTAACATTCATCTCATCACCCCAAATGATAGCCACAAACCTGATTAAACAATGTTCCAGATAAACCTTGAAACTGTAAAAAAAATGTTCCATCAATTCAATGAATTTCATCAATTTTCGCCATTCAATGAATCACAAATTGTCCAATAATTTATCGCAAAAAGCAACATGAAAATGGTCAAAGAAGATGATTTATGTTTCATCATTTCGTGCTCATTGTTAATAGTAATTGAAATAATTTCCTCTTGATTGATATTAAACACTTTACACTGTGAACCCATGATAATGAAGCGGTAAGAGAAGCCATTTCAATTTGATTAGATTGACTGGTGGGTGGTAAAGGTGGGAGTTGATGATACATTTTAATTGTTGTCAGAGCAATTTGAATGTTGAAAATTGAAACTTTTGTTTTGGGCTCTTGTTTTGTGTTTTGCCTTTTTGCACACTTCGCTAATGGTGACTTTAAGTAGAACCTTTTGACGGTGAAAAATGTTTCTATTAACATAATAATTGGCAAACAATATACACAGTTTAATCCAAGTGCAACTTGTACCATTAAAATAGATAATATTTTTTTTAAAAAAAATAATATTACCTATTATGATATTACCTGGAAACACGGAACCAGAATAGTAAAAATGATAATGCTTTAATAAACTTTCCTAAATGTCTATGTTTAAATGTGCTCTTTATGTTGCCTTTTTTTTGTTGCTAATCTTTTGCCTTTTCATGGTTCCAAAAGTTGAACAAAAAATGAGCAAAAAAAAGCTTTGCGTGGTTCAAGCTACTTTCAGTATATTGCTTCTATGGTCTTCAGTAGTTATCTGTATTGGGAGTTTATCATTATTGCAGTTGGTTAGTTTTATCAAATTGGTGTAAGAAGAGTAGAGACAAAGGTTGAGATGAAAAATAAATTTGTGACTTTCAAGGAAACAGGTAACGATGAGTTTAAATTTTTCAGTGTAAATTGGAAAGGTTAAGGAAGGAGTTTCAAGATGTGCTGTGTCAATAAATTGTCACGCTATTTGATTCATGAGTCGAGTTTAGTTTAAACTTTGTCTCTTTCATTCACAAAACTAACCATGAATATGTTGGGATTAGGTGGAAAAGTCTTGACCAACTTATCCATTGCCTGTTCATTTGCATATCAAGGGCGAGCTTATTACTGTACACATTTTAGGTTAGGTAAGGTTAAGTTTCGAATTGATTCAAGATGAGAATTTTTTCATACTCTTTTAGGTTTTTATTGTGATGGGTAATCTAAAAATACTTATGATTTCGATGATATGGATTTTATCGAATTTTGACCATTTTCTAAATGTGTGGTTTTAGATTTGCTATGCACTTTTCGCTATTTTTCCATGCAATTATAAAATGCAAAGTCGGGACGTTTCTTTTTTACCCTATGAAGACCACATCAGGCTTACTATATATTGTTCAGCACCCTTGAAACTATTATGAAAGGTCAGAAACAATTTTCTAATATTTAGATCGACAGAAAGGTTTTTGAGTTCTACGTCATTTCTTACATTTTTGACTTTTTCGTTCGATTTGATTTTTAAATTTTTAGGATTTTTTTACATTGAAAACACTTTTTAAAACGGTCTGATTTTGGATGAATACGCCTTCATATTACAAGTTGGTTTACAATCAATCAATGAATTTTGTATGGTGAATCGATTGATTCATGGTTTTATAAGCTTATTAGACTTAATGGTTATCTAATAGTTGAGTGTCTAACACTACCGAATCGGCATGTGATATTATTTTCTGGTTCAATGTCATTGCATGCCTTTTACATGAAATGTTTTCCCTTTCAATATTTACATTTTTTCTTCCAGAAACCACTTTAAAAGTCAATTTGATAACATTGAGCAACAGACTAAATTAATGTTAAAATAACTTGAACAATTACATTAGCACACTATGAGTTACCTCTAGTTGATCGCAAAGAGCAGGTTAAACATTATTTACTCATTAAATGATTTTGATAAAAAACAAGATGCTCAAGAAGATGATTATGATTAAGAGATAAAAATTAAAAGCAAACATGGCTCTTAATGGTTAAGAGTTGAACGCATGATCTGAATCTAAATTGGAATGGTCATGATTACTTGGGAAGACGCTCTTTGAAACCTGTGATCATTAACAAAACCTATGAAAGTGAGTGAGAAGGATAAAGGTAATGATGAAGATGAAGATTCTTAATGTTGTGTGAACTCAGCAAAAAAAACAAAAGTTGATTAAAAAAACACTCTAATAACTGATGATTGGTTTGTGGTGAAGACAAAAGAGGAACCAAAAGAGATGCTCTTTTCCCATCTCTAATGAAGACATCTTGAGCAGTGAAACAAGGCAAAGTGAAAAAGCAAATGCAAATACAAAGGCAAACATAAATGTTGACATTTCTTATAGATGTCGATGTAATCTTAATGCATCGCCATCTTCAATCAAAGCCTATAAGAAGTAAGATTTATCATATTATAGACGCAATATTGATCTAAAAATGTTCCCATCTGACAAAAGTAATGCAATCAACCTTTTTTTGCTTCGGATAATCAATCTTGTTCAATTAGTTGAAGTTTATAAAGTTTCATTTGTCAAACAAAGTCAAGTTGAATTGGTTGCCGTTTTGCGCAGTAAGTGATGAAAACCTTTGATTAAACCAATGGAAACGTAACAATCAAATGAAAAGTGACTTACCATGAAACCCGAAGTATTGTCGAGTAAACATCGAAATCTAACGGTAAAGTTTCTCTCTAAATATTGCAAATTTTCTGGAAAAGAAGAGAGAAAAGTAAAGAGAAGAAAAAATTAGTTGATTAAAGTTGATGTCCAAATGGTCAACATTTGCTCAATTTGACCAGTAAAACCTTTCAAGTCATTCAAGATTTATAGTGTTCAATGTTGACCTATCATCATGCCTTTCCCAAGTGCCTTTCATGATTACTTTTTGACCTTTTTCAGTCTGGTTCAATATTCGCAATTGACCATTAAACAATGGAAAATTTTCATCCAACTAATTGACCCTTTAATTAACATTTAATCGTAATTTATTGACCCCTCAAGACTCTAATCCTTTCCAAGTTAATCGAGTTTTGAAGCGATAAATTATCCAATTGTCGACCGATTGCTGCCTATTTCAGGGTCAATTGAATGTATCAACAGTTTATCTTCAGCTGTTCAGTTCAATATCTTAATTTGCTAATGAAGGGCAAAGGAGCAGTTGAAAGGTAACATTTAATTGAATTGTTTGCTTCAATTGTTGCATTTCAAAAGAACCAAGAAAAATGTGGATTTAAATTTTACTTTTGTATTGATCGCTCAATGAAAACACTTTAATGTTTATTGAACCTTGCAATTGGTATCTATGAATGGGCAAACAGTGAACCATTTGATTTGATAAATAAAGGTATCATTGGAATTGAAAATTGGCGCAAAACTTTTCATCTAATGGAGTGAAGTGTTTTGAGTAAAAAAAAGTTGAGCAAAACTGATCTTGTTACAATCGATGAAATTGAGGTTTGAAAGTTGAAGGATGAAATACAAATAAAAATGTTAACCTTTCAATTGAAAAGCAAAACTTTACTTCAACTGTGCAAGTTTCATCAAAGATTCACTTGACTGATCACAACAAACAAACAAAACTGAAAATGTACTACAAATGAATGAGCATAAATAATTTACGAGTTTTCATTTTTCCTGTCTTTTCGCCCAAACTATCGTAATTGCTTACTCTTTATCTTCCTCTCTCTCTCTCTTCCTATAGGTCATCATTTCGCTTTTTGTTTTTTATTCAACTTCTCATCATAATCATTCGTTTATTATAGTTGGTGAGAAAGGCAAAGAAAAGCAATTTATCTAATTGAACTTGAATTGATCTTGAATAATATAGTTTTTCCTTTTCTTTTCACTCGATTCACATGATTGTTGAAAGCTTACCTTGTAAAAAGGCTTCTTGTAACGATGTGTTGGCTCTTTCATTGGGTAAATGTGAGTTCCATATAAGGTGCCTTTGAAGCTCTTCACGATCCTCTGAATGAACCAATTCGTAAACACTTTGATGGCAAATATCCGACTAATGATTGAAGCAAAAAAATGAACATTAATTGTTGGCCAAAGTATCGATGGGCGAATAAAATGGATGGGCAATTGGGTGACATTTGGACAAAAAAAGGCGGAGAATTTTTGATAACTTTTCTTCTTCTTCCATCTCCAAAGGCGGAGTTTATCAATTAAATTGTACTCAACCAATCATTTTATTCATTGATCATGATGAACATTCGAATTTCAAAAACTTTCTTTTTCTCTTCGCTCAATTTATCAATCTTTTCCTTTCCCAGTTTCAAGTTGATTAACTCAACTTACTCAGATTTTAGATAAAAAATGAGAAATTCAAGAAAAAAATGAGTTTCTTCAAAAATGATTAAAAATTTATCGAAATTTGAAAAATTAAAAAGTTGGAAAATCGATTTCGATTGTTTTTAGTTTTGAAAATTCAACTTCGAAATAGCTTCATGCAGTTTCCATAAAAACTGAAAAATCTATTTCATTGTAAGTTTGGAATAGAAAGAAATTTTTCTCTTCGATTTAGTGATCAAAATGTGTTCCAATGTTCAAATTGGAATAAAGAGGAAATCGGAAAAATGGTATTTTAATAATTTAACATTGCGAGTCGATTAAAATCAAGACAATTTTCATCGATTAAGGAAGCAAATGAAAGGTGAAAAATGAAAATGCAATGTTTGCATAAAAAGCGAAAAAATTGATTTCGATTGAAAAATTGAGTGAAAAGATTCTCATAGTTGGTTAGCATTGTTGACGGAATTGAATGAAAAGCCAAAAAAAAACCTAATGCAATGATAATCTCAACAAAAGACTGGAAATCCTTGTTAACAAGAAAATAAGAAAATGCGATTTAATCTTTTACCCAAATCGTGGTTATCAGGCTTGCTATAAATGGCGTTATTCAGTCCTGGTTATTATTAATATTATTACTGTTATTATTGTTGTTATTGTTGAATATATCTTTTTATTGAATAAGCAAACTGAACAAAAAAGCAAATGAGTTTGACAAGAAGATGAACGCGAAATATGTTAACATGTATCAGTACAAAAGGTTACATCAGATGAAAAACTGAAAGATGATGAGACTGAAGGTAGGAAGGAAGGAAGAAGAAGAAGAAAGGAAGAAAAAAAATAGATGCTGATGAGTTGCAAAAAGAGCTCACGCAATTCAACGAACCAAGAAATTAGTGAATATTTAGATGATGATGATGAAGATAGTGAAGAGCATTTCAATTTTCAATTTTGAGCAAAAAATAATTTCTAATGTTGAACAATAAGCTACGATTGCGAAGGTAAATAAATGTTTTTTTTGTTTCTTTTTCCTTCGATTCTTCAATAATGACATTTTTTATCTGCTCTTTTCATCATTAATTAAAGTGTTATAGGTTAATTATGAACAATTGAGTTTCTTTTCTTGAAACTGTTCGCTGGAAATTCAATGAGAAAACTTTTTCTCTTCTCTCTGTACCTTTGGTTCTGATGAGATTTTGTGTTTACCTCAAGAACAAAAATCGATATCAAAAATCAAATATGAAAAAAGGTAAGAAAAGAATGATGATGATGATGCTGATGATGATGGAAGAAAGGAAATGGAGAGAGAGGTTAATTAAAAGATGAAGATTGAAGATAAAAGATGGAAGAGAAGGAGATACCAATTTTGATGATTGATGTCATGTCAACGAAAGAGAAGGAGAAGAAAAGATTGAATCGATTTTAGTATTTTTTCATTTTCCTGTCATTTCCTTTATATTTGTTACTATATCATCATCATCTTTCAAAGGGATCAAGGTCATTCTAATATCAACTGACCCTTGTAACCTGTATTTGAAAATGAAAACTGAATAACAAATAAACTGGTGAAACGAGATTTACTATTGAGTTTGTAGATTGGAATAGTTTGGTTTACAGAATTTTGAAAAAAGCAAATTTTCATTTTTGCCTTTTTTTCAATTGAAAAGTTTACTTAACAAAATTGAGCAAAATTGAATTTCATGAAAAGATTCATTTCCAAATTTTGAATGATTGAAATTGTATCTGATTTGATTAGGTACAATGAGCTATTAAAGTAGATTAAAAAGCGATTTGTGAGTCAATTTAAGATGTGAAAAGTGCAATTAAAAACTGTGAAACTGCTCAAAAGTTGTCAATATTTGAAGAGTTGCGATAAAATTGTAACTTGATATTTGATATAAATCTTTATAATATGATAACTTGCTTGGAAAGTTAAGAAGTTTAAAATTTTCTGATTATCTGATTGATATTACATTTCTGGTTGCGTTTTCAGCCGATCAATAGCCTCAAGTTAGATGCTTGTTATAACAAAATTTAACCCGTTTTTCCCAACAGTAGCTATTGAAATCGCAATTTTAATTTGAAATCATTTTCAAATGTCTTGGCGATTTGGCCAGAGTGGAAATACAAGTTTCAAAATTTTAGCATCATTTGTCTAATTTTTTCAGCAAAGAAAAAATTGATTCTTTAACAAAACTTTGCCCATTTACACCAGAAATTTTCCCTTTGTAAGATCCGAAAGTGTTGTGTCCACATGCAATTGTAATTAAATTTAAGATTAAAATTTCTCTCAAAAGATTGACTCAGAAACATTTTCTTTCGAGTTGAGAGTTGAAACTCAAGTTTTTAAAAGCACAAAAACTGAGTTAATTTTCGCGATTTAAAAATTTCTATCAACAATTTTCGAGAAAATAGAGTTCAAAGTTGAAACTTGGATCTCTTTTTGTACAATAATGGAAGTAGATTTTTTCATGAAACTCATTTTACTGAGAAACCAAAGTTTTCTGCTTCTGTACAACAGATCAGTTTGATTTTCAGTTAAACCGACCACTTTCTGTGACCGTAAGAGTTGAAGAGCTGAAACTTATTTGTCGATAAAACTTTTGGTACATATCAACGATCGAAATTAGCTGAATTTTCCAATTCAATTTCTAAGCACTGAACGAAAAGTCAGCTGATATAGGCATTGAGCAGTCATCAATCAAGCGACCAAGCCAGTTTTCAATCGACAATAAAAGCCGTTTCATTCAACCCTCGGTATTAGTAAAATGACTGTAAGCTCTTGCTTATCACATTAGATGTCAAAATCACAAAACACAAGAGAAAAGCAATTTTTGCGCTTTTTAATCTTGGGGTTTCAGATTAGATATTTTTTACCGAACAAAAGTTAATCGGGATCCAAGACTCACCTCGACTTGGTCAATGAAAGTCGCAAAATTTTCTCATCACTGACAGTCTCTTAAGCACCATTTACATCATTAGTAAAAGTGTGTTACTTTATCATTATTAATGTCTGATTTTTTCCCTTCAACTGTTCATCATTAATATATTGTTTGAAGGACAATTGATGACAAGAAAGTAATGAGTCAATGTTTTTACGGCCAACTATAGACAAAGTCAGGTAAGGTTAGATGAGAGCAACAACAAAGGGCAACAATTGATGATTAAGTTGATGGTGATGAGATTAATCGATTTTGATATAAGAAAGTGGAAAAAGAAAGGCAAGAGAAAATATTTGTCTTAAATGATGATAACAATAATAATAAAAATGATGATAATGGTAACAATGATGTTTACATTGTCTCTCAATCTTTCATCAATCATCAATCAGCTTATTGGCTTGTAATACTTATTTACCTGAACTATTATTACAGAGGTAAAAAGCAATCAAAATCGATATTTATCTTGACAATAAATTTACCTTTTCCATTCTTTCTCATTACCATTCGATTATCGATCCTTCACTTGGAAATATTCACGTCATCTGGTTCATGTTACCTGTTTACCTTTTCTTGTCTTATTTTCTTCTTCTCTTCCTTTTTTTATTATTATTACATTGTTAACCCAATAATGATTAAATTAACATTCCAATTCACTATTCATATCATTATTGAATAATAAAAAATTTCATTTCGTTTCAACTTACCTTTCCATGTTTACTTTAACGTAATTGTAATCAAATAGAAACAAATGTTTCATTCATTCAATTTTTTACAAGTAAAAAGACTTAATCTTTACGTGATTTCATGAAATTAGTTGAACGAAGCTGCTTGAAACTAAATATTTTCAGAGAAAAGAAAGTTGCAATTTTATCCAATTTTTGCTTCAATCAATTGCTTATTTCAAGACAATGAAGATTGATTAAACGATTGCCAAGTGAGCGACATAAAAAGTATTTGAACAAGTTTCGATTTTTTCAAAGTTGAACATTTTCTCGAGTAAAATTTTCATTTCAACATTGACTTGAGTCTTTGAATGAACAATGAAACTTGTGACTTCAAAGTGATCAGAAGTGCCAATGGAAATGTCAGCGATGAGATGGGATCGAAGTTAATCGACTTTCGGAATGAACTTTAAAATTTCAAAAATCTATTGTTCGAATATTAATCTTATAATCTTTTCAATCGGTTATCAAAAGGATCGCAAGACTGTCAGAAAATTTTTTTCGTGAGGCTGTTTTATTAGCTATGAATCGATTAAAGTTTTTAACAATATTATTAATCATGTTGCTCTCATTCATCATGAAACATTCAATGAAAATGATTGACTTTAAACCCACAAATCTAGAAAATAAATGATCTTTCAATTCGAAAGCGAATCAAATTTAACTTTAAAATCTGTCTGAAAACTCGAGACTGATCAACCCTAGAAGCTTAAAGGCTTGCTCATGCACTTTGAAAGACTTCCAATCAATTCTGAACAGTTATTCCAACCCAACTTCCCTGTTGATGGAAAATACTTTCGTGTCCAAAATCCCGTGATTTTGCTATTCGACAAGTTGAGAAGCTCAATTGAATATTGAAAAAATATTTGCATGAAAAAAGGGAGAAAAAGTAAACTTTTCATTTCAATTTCATTGAACCATGAAAAGTTCAAAACTCAAAAAAAAGGAGAAGGGAAAAGTGCCCAATTCTTGGGGGACTTTTTTGTCTCACAAAAGATCAACAGGATCTCACCTTAGGTGTTGCTTTTGTGTAAAAAGTGTTTACTCATTGAGTA